TAAAACGCGACTGTGATGCGGATAATAAAAACGTGAGGAACCTGCCTCAGATAGCAGTCTCAAGAATTCACCAAGAAGGTACAGCTCTGGGAGGGGATACGAAACGCAAATCTGAGGGGGCAGCGGCGGCTTTAGGTGTCGGAGGGCGTGTGAAACAGGAGACTAGTGGTCTCACATTGATCTATTTCCGCACACCAGTCAGCGGCCTGGCCAGTGCAGGTAGCGCGGCCAATTGGGGCGCCGACGCGAGAGCAGAGGCCAGGTTGGTCGGCAGGGGTGCTGGCGACTCGTGCGACGGCCGTGCATGCCGTGATGAGGGCGCGCGAAAGGTTGGCTAATGTGCTGGCCTGGCCGTCCATGCGTTGGGGTGCTGGCTGGTGGGCAGAGTGGTCAAGGTGGAGAGCGGCTTTTTTTTTTGTGCTCTGGTGCTGGGATCCTGCTGGCTGTGTTGGCTCATCTCCCCGGGCGCATGTTGCTGGGACGCGCACTGGGTGCGCTGCGTGCTTGGGTCGCCCTTTCCTCGCGCCTTGTTCACTCCTGCCTTCCCTGCTGCTGCTCGCCGCTCGCACCTGCTCGCACCTGCCCTGCGCGCCGCCCTCGGCGCAGAGGCCACATCCGGTCTAGCCCCGCCTTTCCCACGACGCTCCAAAACCTTAACCCTCGCTTGCAGCCCACCACGAGGCCCTCGAGACACAGACGTCCAGTTTGCCCATCTCGAGTATTGATCATCGCGGTCCGATGGCCGCCGCTGGTGCTTCATGCCATGGAAAACACGCTTCTTGCGTCAGTTTAGCGGCCATCGTCATGTGCGCCTAGTAGCACCAGTAGAGTGAATGCCCTGCAGAGGCCCAACTTTGCAGCCACCTGGAAGCCCGCCGGCCTTCTTCGTTCCATGGTCGTCAACACAAATACTCGGATTCGGTATAACCATTGTCTTGCGTGCTTGCGACATTTCCTTTTTGCCGCATCCGACCGCTGTCAGATGGACCCTCCACTACACCCTCACTGCTGCTAGACATTCCCGGGTGTTGCTGTGAACCATGTTTGCCTGCCTGCGATGGCCGGCAATCGTGTCGCGCAGAGCATCGATCAACAAGGTTGCGCTACGGATGCAGGAACATCACACCCTGAACGTCCGCACTCTGCAGCTTCGTGCAAATGCGGCGAATGCGTCACGGGCACATGTCGTCAATGACCACCACCAACACCCAGCCTCGTCGCTCAAAGTCATCACTCGTGGCTGGTCAATCGTCCAAGTGAGGTGCATCTAGATGCAGGAACCAGCAGAAGGAGCACACTGGGCATCGTTTGATCTCCATCTGAAACGCGCATTTTAGCCAGCCTGCGGGAGCGGCCATCGGCTCTTGCAAATCTCCCAAGTCATCGCGAAGTAGCATTCCCGTCCAATCTGTCGCCAATCTGCTCGTCACCTCCTCACGTCTGAACTTGTCATCCACACGTTAGGAGCGCCCTCTCTGCGATGGACTCAAGACTGTCTGTACGGCGTGACGCTCCGCTCGCAAGCCAGTGAGATGGCGGATCTCGTTTCAGAACTTACTTTTGGCTAGCCGTTATCCACCGGCTGTCTTCGCTCATTGGTCGGGGAACGAATCAAAACCTTCGGCGGCATTCCCTCTCGCGTACAAGTGCTGCCTGCTTGGGGACATGTAATAGGGCACCGTTACCTGGACATTCATGCGTTATGATGACTTGATGTCACAGACACTGCGCTCCAAGCTTTTGCTTGCAATTGATGAGGTGGAGATTTCTGCTGGTGGAGCTGCACATGAATGCTGGCCTCATAGCACCCCCCACCACATGCATTCAACGAGTCGCAACTCCACACTAATCAGCGTTTCTCGACTGATTGCGGACTGTGCGATGCTTTGGGTAGGCTCATGTCCGACGCGATAATCGGGCGAACCTATATCTGAATACACGACACAAACATCGGCGCCGTTTCTGCGGAGACTTGTGCTTGACCGTGGACCTGCAGTGCCGTTGCCGAAAACAAATGCTCGCGGGGACGCAAGTGTACTAGTCATGATACGCCTTGCGGAGTAAACAACACTTTGGGTTGGTGTGAAAGTGTACCTGCGTTAGCGGAGCCTGGAGTCGCACTCCTGAAACTCATGGCTCTCAGGCCAACTGCCGGAACGGGACACGAGATGCCGGTCAAAAGTGGAATGGCTATTCGCTTCAACGTCGCCTGTGATTAGGACCTGCATGTACAAATCTGCGCTTGTCCTTATCATGCGATGATATAGAAGCACTAGGTTAGTTGCGTGCAGTGCAAACCACGACCTGAGATATTGAATAGTCGTTAGTGCTATCGGTAAGTCATGGCTTGCAGCGAACATGGCAAGTGTGCCATTCCGTCGATAAGATGTCTTGAGTAATCATGCTTTGGCGACTTGGTCAAGGAGCCGACGGCATTGGAGTAGCCTGGCAAGTTTAGCCGTTGCAATCGCATCAATACTGATGGACCCCTTTTACTCTGCATCGAGCAACCTGGGCAAAATCCACAACTCAAGAACTTTAAATTCGTCCATTTTCCAAGCAGAGTTTCCATGCCATTGTCGCAAGCTTGAGACTGCTCACTTCTGGCAGGCGTAACGAGCCAAGTCAGTGCACCTCTATGCACATGGCAACATGGACAGAATAGCCGAAGCAGGGTCGTTTCCGCGTTTACGTCGTTGATCTCCTATCCGTGTATCAGATGTTGGAGGCTGGGTATCAGACTGTCGGCAGTTTCACGTCAATTTGTCACTTGCAGAAGGGTCCACGAGGGCAACATTACCATTGTCAGCGCATGGCGGGGTGATCAAACTGCCCGTGGGTAGTTCTTGCCGGCTTGAGCCTGAGCTGATCTGGAGATCAGTAACGACTTGTCGAAGATCTAACGCTAGACAGACATGGAAAGTGTAACTTGGTTGTGCAAGCCGAACATTTGCCGCCAACTGTGGAGAGCTGACTTCCGCGTTTGCATTACGTTCTTCTGGAACGCTTCTACGTGCCTTACTACTAAGCCCCACTCCGCTTCTCGTCATTGCGCAATAGTCTCTGGTGAGTTCATGGCGTGGACGCAGGACGATTAAAGTTCCTCAGCGGATGCTGTGGGCTACTAACGAAGCGAGGCCACCGACTATCTTCTAGTGTCTCGATGCACAACACATGACACGGAGCAGACCCAAAGTCAATTCCATAGGCAAGCTAGTGTAGCCACTCAGAAAGGCGGCCCGCAGAACACTACGAAGAGGGTTGGCGATTTCACCAAGGATTGCCGGACCTCTCAAGTGGCGAAAATAGCAATACCTGTTCCAGTGAGTTTAGGGCCAATAATTACAAGCAGTTTCCTGTCTCAAAGGTGGACTACGGAAGAAGGCTAGAGATTCTGTTCTCGGAGATTAGCAGAGGGTCTGCAACCCCGCCGGAATCGATAGTGGTAGCTTCCATTTATGGATTCTGCAACTTCACGACAGCAAATCTCCAGCCTCTCACCTGATGCCTGAGTCGACGGCTGATTTCATCGCTCGGTAAGACCCGGGCGATCAGTAGATCCTGTTCTCGCGTCGACTGCGGCTATCGCGACATATTGGTCAATAGAGATTACTGGTGGTCAAGTCAAATGAAGACTGTACAATCCCCAGGCTGAGAACAATTCTGACCAGGAGGACAAGAGAAATGGTTTGCACACCATAACCCTGTAACAGGGAAGCCTGGGTGCGGAACTTGATGGAAGTCCCGCGGGCCAGTCTGAGACTGACGATGCGTGGAGAAGTGGCGGAACAGCTGAACCAGACGTCCGCGATGTTTGAACACATGATAGTCCCTGCGAGTATGGATTGCCTTCGGCGACGTCGAAGTGTAGTGGCAAGAGCGCAAGCGTAGATCTCCAGCTCGTGAAGTGGAGGGTTGGTCCGAGTCTCGCTGGAACTGAATCTCGAAACGAAGGAAGCTCTGCCGAGCTGAAGCTTCTTACTTACCATGCTTTCTGATCTGTTTCAACTGCTACTAACGTAATTCCAGTTCTTCCAGAGCGCAGCCAAGCTGTCAAGATAGTGTTGAGCTGCCGTTTACACCGCCCATTATCGGACCCCGTTGTCGATACTGGTGGCGTCGTCTAGGATGTGTCAGAACGTTCAGTGTGGAAAGTTTGCGAGACCCTAAAGATGCATCTATCGCCATCTCTAGCAGTTTGTCCGCAGTGTCGCCGCGATAGCTAGGCGTTCCCTTTGACGAGCCTGCATAGACGGCCCGTAGCCTCGAACTGACCTTTTCCGGTGGCAAAGCACCGTCATGCGCATAAACATGCTGTCTGTATGAGTATCCTCTAGGTCTTCACGCGCAATGTAGCTTAAGTTGCTATACATCTCGTTCATTTGGCGAAGACGGCGTGTGGTGAAAACGAATTTGCGTTGGGAATTCGCGTACTATGTCGTATGAGACGAGAATTGCGTCCTCATAAAATTGGAATTGGAGCCGTTCATCTCGATGGTTATCAGCAGTCGAGAAAGGAAGTGTAGACAGCGTTTGTGAGGCGTCTTTTGCTTTTGTCGCTAGTGGCTCTTGGCAAACTCCAACGGCAGCTGCGAGCCTCAAGCTGACCTCTCAGCGCGACGGTAAACACGCGAAGGCACCAGCATCGATGGTTCCTTCATTCACGGCGAGGGCCAATGTACCTTTTCGCACCATTGTAGCTCTCTCGGAGGCATCTGTCAGTCTAAGAACGCTTTCGCGGCTTACACAGCATCGACAAACGCTGTGTTCAGTCTCCTCACGTGCCTCTTGTACCTGGAGTCGCGATGACGTCAAAGCAAGCCGACATCCCTTAGTATACAACCCCTACAAGCAACGTGGTATTCGGCCCGTCAGTCTGTTCAGTACATCAACCACACGAAGACTGAAGCTTGAAGATGAAGCAGCAAGTTCTTCCGCTGCTAGGAGTGGCACAGAGGTAGGCGCGTAATTTTCTTGTAACAACCGCATATGTTCCAGTCATGTCTGAAGATTCAATGTCGCATCCCGATCCCGGTGTACATTCCGAACTGACATATGTCCATTCTATCCGAAATTAATGGACTATGGGAATTATCTCAATTCAAGGCTTTCAATTCTTTCGTTTGAAATACTTGATTTAATTCTAGACGGATGATACCAGGTTGCCTTACCGGAACTCATAGCTAACTACATCCCAGCACCCTCCGCCCGCCTCAACTTCCGCCAAACTCGCTACAACCCTAAAGTCCACCCTCAAACTCGACAAACCACGCCACGAGCAAATCTGGAACATCCCCAATATTCTTACGTTCTCGCGCCTTATTGCAACTCCCGTTGTTGGATATCTGATCATACACAACCACCATCTCTACGCCTTCACCCTCTTTACCTATGCCGCTTTCTCCGATCTCCTCGATGGCTGGATTGCCCGGCGTTGGAATCTCCAAACCGTTATTGGAAGTGTCGTTGATCCCATGGCCGATAAGTTCTTAATGACAACTCTAGTAACGTGTTTGGCAGTAAATGGCAGTCTACCAATGCCACTGGCCGCACTGATCCTAGGAAGAGATGTCAGTCTGGCGCTGAGTGCGTTCTACTATCGGTATGCCAGTCTGCCGGCGCCCAAGACGATGGCGAGGTACTGGGATTTCAGCTTGCCGAGTGCGGAGGTACATCCCACTACCATCTCCAAGTTCAACACCTTCCTGCAGTTGAGTTTGCTGGGCACACTGCTCTGCACCAACTTGCTGCACGACCCTTCCGCCACCACGTCTGCGGCGGGTGGCTTGCTCATGTCGATTCAAGATGTGCTGGGAGGCGAAGACGGGGTTAAGATGATGATCCAGGGCATGTCAGCTATCGTCGCTAGTACTACACTTTACAGTGGCCTCGAGTATACATGGTCAAAGAAAGCAGTGGTTATCCTGGGCGGAGATGAAGCCTTGAAAAGAAAGCAAGGTTTCCGCGGTAGGATGATCATGGCAGGTGGATATGGTTCTTTCATTGCGCTCGCAGCGTATTTGTGGTTCAATGGCGAGGCTGAAGAGGATCTGAAGAAGGAGGCCAACAAAAAGCTAGGCAGCAAAAGTGCATGATTGCTGTTAGCACAGCGTTGTTGTATCTTCCGGGATAGTAGGTGTTGACAATCGACGTTGAATGCGTCAACACGAAAAGAAAAAAGTGTAGAATATAATTCCATGTTCCTCGAACAGCGACCATCCTCCCCCATAAAACCATTCCTATGCGGCGAATTTCTTCACTATCAAACTATTTATTCTCCAGTCACCACGGACATGTCCAGTCTCTCACAGATCAAGCATAGCGCGTAGTCTTATTGCAATAAAATACCAACCGCTCGCATGCACGCTGATATAAACTACTATGTTTGTGCATCCAATGAGCCGTTTCAATTGATAGGCCACTTGATACCTAACCCATCCCTAACCTGAGCGAACCCAATTGTAACTTATTTGCCAGCCAAAATTTTGAGGGGGTTAAATTCCCCATGGTACATCAACATAACGTGAATCAAAATGAGTCATTTTGCATCATCTCTATTTTCTAAGATCTCTTCGTAAGCCTGTATTCAAGCTACGACTACTTTGCGCATGAGAATATGTCGCAGTCTACGTACAGCTTGCTCGGTCCGATAAGTACTCGGTCCTATGTGAACAGAGTTTCACCATAACCCTGCTGACATCCGATCATTCCGGTATATCAACACGTAGACTTACTTCAATTCAACTTCAGTGTTCCTACCAAATTCTACTGCCTAATAGCCTATTACTTAAACCATGATAGAATATGTTTAGTCCTTTTTCATCGCGCTCGCCGACATGAATAAAGATAGAATCATTTCTGCGATCAAAGTCTGTCATAGATGATATAGAATTGATCCCCTGCCGTGCTGTATAATACCCTTGGTTATAAGCATTCTTGCTCGATGAAATCGAGTAAGTTCCTGGCCCTTTTCTACACAACACTTCAGTCCCGATGATGAAATGGTTCTTCACTCGCCGTTCCTATTCTACATGAGCAGTGTTTACCTATCTGATCGCCATCGCCTCGTCCTAGAGTCGGCCAACCTTGGTCACTGCTACGGGCATGTTCCTATCGACTCAACATTGCAATACACAATCTCGTTTCTGGCACCTCGATCATCAACGGCCCGACCTGAACAGTCGATGTGTACCCACACAAATCACAAAGCCTACACTAGCAAATCGCTCAACTCATCTACGATGCCTCGTTCTATACCAGAATGGGCATGGGAAACGATATACGCGTGCTGAGAGTGAAAGCTTGACGTTCGAAAAAGTGGAGATGTAAATGTAATGAATCGAGCATGGAGAGAATGAGGCGTGAATAGTATGAGTGCAGGATTCGTTCAATGAGGCGAGCGAAGCGGATAATGCATTCTGAAGCAAAGTGAATGTTCTCGTAAAATGTTCGTAAGTATTGATAGTGTTAACAACGATGATTTACAATACACGATACTATATTACACACCATCCTGTCCACCTTCCGCTCTACCTCAACACAGCCTTCTCCTCCCATGTCTCCACTGCCTTACTAAACAACTCCTTACATGGAACCCTCGACCCCAACCTCGCACAAAGCAAGAAAGCACCCGAAAGTTTCCTATGCAATGAATACGTCTCTTCAGGCGGCGGCGCAAGCCTCTCCTTGACCATGACCGGAATCAAACCACGCACTCTATCTGTAATCGTTTGGTCTCTGAAATCGTATATTTCAGGTCCACTGCCACTGAAAGGCTCAGCAAGCGTGAGGACACTCTGGATATGCGCGTCGAGCATGGCGGGGCTTTCGCTGCCGGTTAGGTAGCCGAGTTCGAGGGAGAGGTCGCGGATAGACGGGCGGTCGCCTTTGGAGGCTGCGATGAGGACTTTGATGTATGGCTCGACGAATTTATCCGGGTAATCCCGTGAAGCGCCGAAATCCAGCAATTCGATTTTCTGGGCAGAAGCGTTGTAGAGGAAGTTTGTCCAGTTGGGATCTGTTTGCATGAATTTAAACTCTACAATCTCGCGGAGACAGAGACGTAGAATTTGGGTGCCGATCCAGTCGCGTTGCTCTTGGGTTAGGGTCTTGAGCTTGGTGACGCCGACGCCATGCATGAATTCTGCAGTCAAAACAGTGGGCCCGCAGGCTTCGGGGAAGACTTTGGGAACAGTGAAGACGTCTGTGTCGTCTTGGAGGAGATCGCGGAAACGGGTCTGGCATTCGGCTTCGCGCGTGTAGTCGCATTCCCAACCTAGTTCTGTTCGAGCGTTGGCAATGGTCTTGTCTAAGTACAGACCCTTTGGTAGAAGACGAGATGCTGTCAGGAGGAGGGAGAGGTTGCTGAGGTCAGAGTCGATGGAGTTGGCAACGCCAGGGTATTGGATCTTGACAGCGACTACCTGGCCGTTAGACTTGAGCACTGCTTTGTGTACCTGCCCAATCGACGCTGCTGCGATAGGCACATCGTCGATCGATTCGAAAAGGTCACGCCAGTTATCCCCAAGGTTGCTGCTCAAGACTTTGTTCCGTTGTGAGGCCGGCATATAGTCTGCGCTATCCTGCACTCGCTGCAATACATCGTGAATCTCAGGCGGCAGCATCTTGATGTCCTGAAAACTGATCATCTGCCCCAGCTTGAGAGCGGCACCTCGCATGCGCGAGAGTTTTGCGACCAGTATTTCCATGTTCCCAGGGCTGAGCATCAGCGACCCAGTTGCTGACGCAGCGCCGCCGGTCGCTCGTCGAAGACCTTCACCGACAGCTCCGAGCGCCATACTTGTGCCTAGACCAGCATACTGCCATATGCGACCAAATCGCGATGCAGGGACTCTCGATTCTCGTAGCGCATACGACTTCTCTGGTTGTGTGGCTACCTCGGCGGGTGACTATTATATAACTGTCAGCAAATCAGCAGGCTTCAGGCAAGCAGGTGGACTTGTCATACCTCAGACGCAGTCGCGTTTGACTGCACGTCTTGAGCCAATTGAGATGCTAGGTCTTCCATCTCCTTGGAGGTAGTCGTTGGCTGAGCTGTCTGTATCGGTTTTGACTGCGTCAATGGTTGGCTTTGTTGCTGCACTGGAGGTATAGGTCTGTCGTCGAGGGGATGCCTGCCACTGCTCTTCGGTGCGGGCCTATCGTCGAGCGGGTGTCTACCACTGCTCTTCCGCTCCGCAAACTCCTTCCTCGAGAAAGGGTCGCTTCCTAGCATCCTCGCAACCTTTCTCGAATGGAAGACGTCTGTGTTGATACCCTCTGGTAGATCCTCCTCCAGTTGACCCTGCCCAGGTTTGGGGGGATTATAGAACACATCCTGGTTTATCTGCTTGTCCTCTACGTGTTCGTCACTTTGCTGTCTCGTTGCTGAAGTCTGAGGTATCTGTGATTGAGGTTGTGATGGGACAGTTGGTTGCGATTCGACGGATCGCGTGTAGAAGACGTCTCTGTCATGACCTTTCTGAAGATTCTCAGCCTGCGGTGAGATTGGAGATTGTTGTGGATCATTGGCGTGTGCGGGAATTGCTTCAGCGGTTTGCGTCGAAGCACCTCTAGGATTTCCGGGTAGCGGTATCGTAGTCTCTGTAGACTCTACCGGGTTGATGCCCTCCTCTTTATGACGGACCGATTCATCCTGGTCCTCAGCTAGAGGTTCCTTCGGCGCCTCATGTGCCGGCCTCTCCGAGAAAGTATCCTGTCCCTTCTCCTCTTGTTCGAGGGTCAATCCTTGGCTTGGGATGCTCCCGTCTGGTAGCGGCGATCTAGGAGCCTTCTTCTGCTCAACCTCCAATTCCTCTGTAGGCGGAGGTGCCTGAGCGCTATTCTGGCCGGATCGATCATAGTGATGATCTTGATCTACGCTGTTCCTCACGTCCTTTGCTGACGCTTCCTTCTCCACCGTCTCTCTTCTAGGTATGTCGGTCTGTTGTGGCCATTGTGTATTCGTTGCTCGATCCGCTGCGGCTTTCGCGTACGAGGGAGCTTCTTCGCTGAAGCGTTGTGAGAGGGCGATGGCAGCGGCTGCTGTGAGGGTGACGCGATCGGTCTGATTCTTGACGGCTTTGGCTAATGACGAGGTTTTGTTGTAGGCATCCCACTGGTTCGATCGAAGCGCGATGTGCTTCTGTGCGACGGATTTCGAGGCATTGAAGAGTTTGGCGGCATCGACGAGCCGTCTACCTGCCATTGCGATCGGATGAAAGGGCTACCGGGAGGTGCAACACATGACGAGAGGTGCTAGGGCGATGCGTGAGATGTGGAGGCTTTCGTGAGTCCATTAAAAGTTATGCGCGTCATAGCTGCATCGAGTTAGGCTCAAATGTGGAAAAGGTGCGATTGGCTAGCTATCACGACTGAACAAGGGTCCTGATCGTCTGGTGGGGCATTCATGCCCTCAACAGTGCAACATCCGAATTGTCATGCTCGCACGATCACGTTTCCTGGAAAACCCACCATCCATATTGGTCACTCGAGCCGGCCCTACTCAACTTCTGGTCACCAATCAGAAAGCGTAACCGTCTATCACAACAAATAATCCAGTGCTTGGTGCCTAGTAGCGCCAATCGGTACCTTCAGACGGCACGTGAAGATAGCAACTATTTGGCCTATCAGTCTGGACTGATTCAAGTGAAGATACAAGCGTTCTCTTGGAGATTTTAGAACATCCATAGTCGCCTCGAGAATCCCACATCAGAAGCTCAGAGGCCACTTGAAACCACCCGCCTGAACCACCCCGGGAGCCGCAACCATGAAAATCGCCTGTCTCCAATTCGCCCCAGAAGTTGGACGCGTCCAAGAGAACATCCAAAGAGCCGAAAACATCCTCCAATCCACCGCCATACCCAGCGACCTAACCTGGCTCGTCCTCCCTGAACTCGCCTTCTCAGGCTACAACTTCCAGTCGCTCGAGGAAATCAAACCTTTTCTCGAGCCTACCACATCCGGCATCTCAACTCAGTGGGCACAGCAAGTAGCCAAACACTACAATTGCCACGTTACAGTCGGGTATCCGGAGGTTACTACCCCAGATATAAATCCAGAGGACAGTCAAACGCAGTATAACTCCACCGTCACCGTATCCCCAAAAGGAGAAATATTGCACAACTACCGGAAATCCTTCCTTTACTACACTGACGAAACATGGTCGTCCGAGGGCCCGGGTTCGAGGTCGCATAACCTGTCCGACGCTTCATCACCTGATCCACCTTTCTACGCTGGCCAACTAGGCGATTTGGGGAAAGTTACCATGGGGATATGTATGGATATCAATCCCTACAAATTCGTCTCTCCGTGGTCTGATTACGAGTTTTCTTCTCTCGCCTTGTCATCCCAGTCTCCAATTGTTTGCATAAGCATGGCTTGGCTATGTCATCTTACGCCTACGGAACTCATGCAGGACCCATCACAGCCTGATATAGCGACGGTAGCGTACTGGGTCGAGCGTTTTCAACCGCTCGTCGATGCGAAAGGGGATAAACCCATCTTCGTTATCCTGGCAAATCGGTGTGGAATGGAGAAGGGTGTCTGCTATGCGGGTAGTAGCACGGTTTTGCGGATTGAGAGGGGTGTTGTTAGTCTGTATGAGACAGCGGGGAAGAGTGAGGAGACTTGTTTGATTGTGGATCTGACTGAGCGGCCGAAGTTCCAGGTGAGGAGTGGACGCTGATGGGGCAGAGGACGTCAATATTAGGGCTTGCTTTTTGTCGCAAATTGGCTAATCTCCACATGCGTAGCACAGTTGGCACAGAGATCCAGAGATCTTCTTGGAAGCGTCCTTCGTCGAAAAACCTTCTTTGAAGAGGTGGCCGTTGGAGAACCTTCGTTTCAGGAAGCGGCCATAGATTTCCTGGCATCGTCGAGAGCGACCAAGAACATGTGTAGATGGAAGAAGCATTGAAGGCGCTGTTGGAAGACTGGATAATGGTTGACGATTGCTGGAACCGCGTCGACATCACGAGTGTCATTAGTAGATACAAAAATGCTGTAATACCAACAGTCTTCATGAGAGTATTGTGGATGTGCATTCTTCCCAGGCTCATCTGTCCCTAGACAATGGCAAGCCAGGAACGGAGTCTAGCGTCATCCCGCATTCGGCGTTCATGGCAAAAGCGACGCCCGCTACGCATTTCGCATCTGTCTTTATTGTGTAAAGCTCCACATCACAATAATCAGCACTCCAACAATTGTTCATTGTGACCCAGCAAGTGGTTTCATTCATCACTGCCTAGGATCTAAACCATCATGAATCGATTCCTTTCATTCCCATTTACAGACCCAAAGCGCCATGAATGAGAGGTAGGTAGGTATCCGGTAACGTGAAAAGAAATACCACCCATAGCATCCCTCGTTTGCAGATGTACTTCGCTTAGAAGACTGGTCGCTCGGTTCCCGCCATGTGCGAAATTCCCAATGTGATCGCTCGTTTTGTGTAGAGAGGATTGTCGTTGCAGGAACAAGTAATAATTGGGAATCGAGAGTCGAGTGAGGGATGGTTTGTCGGGGGCGATACGCTTAGATACCGAGACGGGTCTTGCGCCAGTGTCGTCGCTTGGCGTTGTACCTGTAGATGCAATGTCAGTCTCGTGCTCTCACTATCGTGTCGTGGTGTTGCTCGTAGTCTCCCGTAGCGATGATCGGAAGCGGCGAGAGTGTGCGTATCGTGGGCGGAGCGTACCTGATAGTGTTGCCGGTCCTCAGGCGAATCCACTGAGGGATGGGGCGGTTCTGCTTCTGCGCGCGCGCAAGCTTCTGCTTGGTGCGGAAAGACTTCTGGGACTGTAAAAGTGTCAATAGTTGATCCTAGATAGGTTCGCACCCGCGGGGGGTGATATCATACCGGCATCTTGACTGCTTGTTGTGAGTAGTCGGATGTCGAGAGGTGTTGTCGTTGTCGGAAAAAAGCGTGGAATATTGATCGATGTTGGTGCGCTTGGCAGGCGGCAAGCAAAACTGGCTAGGCTGTGTTGGGTGCACTAGCGGGGCTCTAGCATCATCGCTGCCTTTATCACCTCACTTGCAACAACATCGACAATTCGCAACTGCGAACCCTCAAGTTACCAGAAGAGAGGCCTGGAGATCTAACGGAAAGACTGTTACGGTGTGCTAATGATAGACACAGCTTTAGGTTTTAGCCTTCGTGGCTTGTACGTGGCTCTACAACGTGACCCGCGTTGTGTAGATGTGCATGGCTAATACTGTACAGACTATACAAAGTCTGGGGCTTGCAGTGTAGACTGTGGTATCGGGGACCGTGACGGCAAGCTGAGTTGGGCCCAACACCACCACTCAAGGTTGCGATTGGACTGTGCCCCGCTGACATATGACGTCGCTACGAGAACATGCCTAGGTATGACATGATGCTGTGCCACTCAGTTTGAGGGACGGGTTTCGAGATGGGGCTTTGTATTATTGCCTGGCCTCGATTGTATTTGGGGAATCTAAGTTTTGAGTCTCTTACAACAGTGAAATCACCCGTCTTCAACAGGGTACACATCCGGGTAACTTTCGCTCTAGACATCACTAGTATCATCACTAGACGCAGAAATGGAATAAGGTCAGAACGGTATGTCTTTCTTTTCTCAGTCCGCAAAGTATTCGTTCGTCTGTTTCAGTCTTCGTCGCAGTGGGGGGCTAGGTTCTTGTTTGCGCACCGAGGAAGTTCGAAGATCAACCGAGGGATGGGCCGGTATAAACAGTGCTACGCCGCCATCAGTTTGGGTGACTGCGAATTTGAGTTTGAGTTGAGTCTACGCCTCATCTGGGTCAGATTACGCAGTTGTGTTTCTGTGCCTCAGACGGGGCGGGTTCGTCTTGAGTACCATCGGCAATGTTTGAAGACGAGCATATGTGTCGAGAAGGAAGTTGAGTATAAGAAGATGCACTTGACGGCCGGTCTGGATGTCAACATCTTTCAGGTAGTCTCATCATCACACTATTCTCTTGATCTACTATCCTCTCAGACTGCGTCCCAATCTTTCTATTCCAGTCATGAGGATTTACTTGGCAACAATCCTCCTCTTTCAGATGACATTATCGAGATTTTCCTCTAATCATAACGCCATAGCTACTCTCGAGGCAACAAAAGACGAAGAAGCACAGCAGAAGGATACAATCACATCTGTCAACCAAGATGCCCCTCATTCGACACCCAAAGACGCTTCACGCATTACAAACACTATCGAAACGAGACAAGACGCTTCAGCGGAGACGAAGTCATATATGGTCTACGCATCCGACATCCATAATGAAGCCCAAGTCAACGAAACGCGGACTTGGCTTGAAGGTCTGACCAAAGATAAGTCCAAAATGCGTGAGGAGACAAGGTTTCCATGGGATACACCCGAAGATATCCCAGAAGACGAGCTTGATAACTACGAGGTGCCGTATGCATGGTTCTATGTCATGCTAGATCAAGCAGGGTACCAAGAGGTCTCAGCGAAAAAGGAATGGGTAGAGGGCATTCAAGATATGACCACTATCCACTCAAGCCCTATGATTGCTATCCCCAACTTGAGTTCAAGGATGACGAAGATGCTAGAGTCTTTCGAGCGAGATAAGGGCGAAGGAGCACCACGGGATGATACAGTCACGTCAATCAACCAGTACACACACTCACATGAGCCCAGAGATGCTCCGCTCGAATCTACCCCCGTTGAGGTGCGGCAAGACGCTCCGTCAGAGACCCTGACGTACACCGTCTATGCAAGCGACATCAACAACAAAGCTCAGGTTAATGACACGCGCTCTTGGCTTAAGGGTCTAGTCAAGGACAAGTCCAAGTTACATGAGGAGTTGGGGTTTCCCTGGGAGACACCTGAAGATATCCCTGAGGACGAGGCAAGTCTTCAACATGACAGATACATGTGAAATATACTGACATCTTATCATTACCTCTGCAGCTTGAAAGATTACGCGAAGAAGACAGATGGGATGAAGGGCTCGATGAAATGGAAGTGGTGCGTGCATGGACAGGCGTCGTCTTGGATCAGGCTGGGTACGAGGAAGTTGCGGCCAAGAAAGAATGGGTAAAGGCAATTGAGACTGGCTACCAAGTAGTCGAGATGAGGGCACTTCCCGAAATCGAAAATAAAACGGCTCACATCTTGGAATCTCGGGAATTTGAATGGGGGGACTGGAAGAAACAGGAGATGGCGGCACCGGAGTTAGTCCAGGCTAGCTGTTACGAGTAAGCACCATCCAACCTCACACTGTAAAGCATGACATATCTAACTTTTTTACTTTGAAGAGGTGGTAACATCGCCGACTTGTAAGCATATGCTAGTGCTGATATAATTATTGTTCGCCGCTAAGTAATGCTAATGTCGGATAGAAGCGATTTTGTTTACGAAGACAGAGCTGGAAAGGGAGTTTTCGTGTATGTCATAGATACCGGAGTTCAGATTGACGTGAAGAATGTATGTAGAGCTCTCTCCTATATATCGTGACTGTTATATTTACTCACAATTAGGATGCCGACGAAAAGGTATTTGCCGGCTTTGACAATGAGGAGGACAACAGTGGGATTCTCGAAACAAGACAGTTCCGCGATCAAAGTGAGCTGCACAATATACGGCACGATCATTCCCCTAACGGCCACGGTACTATGGTAGCCTCCAACATCGTCGGGCAATGGGGGACGGCGAAAGGAGCAACCTTGGTGCCAGTACAGGTCGTGAAAGGTGTCAACTATGATATTGTCCAGGGAATCCGCCTGATCTGGAGACATGTCGGAGCACACAAAACCTCGAAAGCGGTAAGCACAATCTCCACCAATCTTGGTACAATCCCAACGTCTCCCCATCGTATTGGATTTTAATAGGTTTATACTAACTTTGAGTCTTTTCTCAGATTGCAGTCATGAGTGAAGGCATAGAATACGAGTATCCATCTGGCGCTACTAAAGGCAGGACGCGAGCAGAAGCAAAGAACACACAAATCGGTAGAGAGCTGATTCGCGAGATCAACATTCTGTTCTCGTATGGAGTTCCCCTTGTTCTTTCGTCAGGCAACGAAGGCGAACAAGAAGGCCGACAAGTCATTGACCATATGCCGCAAGTTTCGGAGGCTGAAGACTTCCCCCTTATCAACGTCGGAGCGGCCACTCTTGATGGTAAAGCAGCGCCCCTTTCGCAAGGTCAAGGCACGCAAGATGGCACACAACTAAGTATTTACGGTGTTGGCGTTGATGTCCAAGTCCATAACCATGTAGATGGTCCAACCAGGCAGATCTCAGGTACATCCTTTGCTGCCCCTGCCGTAGCTGGTATCATCGCCGTGCACATGAACTATCAGCCCTGGGACCAGAGCAAGAAAGGGATCGATCGAGTAAAGGAGATCAAGCGATGGATCACCACATCCGAGTCAAGCTGGGAGCGTGCCACAGATCCCGACAAGCAAGTCAACATGGTAAGTTCAGTGACAGCAACCCGACCATCATCTACACGTAAACCACAAAACGCGACGAAAGTGCTAACCACTCAACAGATCTGGAATGGCGCAGACAAAGCAGCCCACGACAGCGTTTCCAACAACCAAGCACCCGAATCTTCCTCCCCAGTCCAAACGCGCACCTTTGTTGTCGGTCTCGAACAAACAGCATCACCAGACTGCGAAATCTATACTCCCTGGGGCGTAAACCAACTTCCCTCCACCGTCTGCAAAGCGCTACCCAGATATGAGAACCGATACTTCTTCTATCGCCTCGATGACAACGCACAAGAAGTCGACAGCCTGTGCACCTCTCTACTAAACGACTTCCACCAAGACAACCAAGGCGTTACAAAGGATGAGAATTTATTCGAACACCCAACGTGGCCGGTAGGAGTATGGACACTGAGTCTCTTTGGAGAGGAGTTCACGTATAAGAATAATGGACAGAGTCCTGGGGCGCTGTTCAAGGGCGAGCAGCAAATTGGTTGTACGGGGGATCTGGGGAATCATGGTAAGTTTTGAGTTCTGGAGTAGGAACTTCGGCTATTGGCCTTTCGCTAATAGAGACTTGCAGATCCTAAATCGGATGAGTGGTGTGAGGATAACTTGACCAAGTCCCAAGGTCGCCGTAGGAAGCGAAGGCGGCTTCTCGCTTGCGCGTGGTGAGGGACGTACGTACGATGATGGCGACATGGGTATTTAGTTTTTCCTTTCTTCCTTGTTTTCCAGTCGGTCTCGTCTGCTTGAGGTCATGTTTTTCTTCTGTAAGCCCCTCTCATTTCGACACTCGCTACTGCAGCCACCATATTTCTTGCTTTAGAAACAACATACACTACACAAGTTCGAGAAGGCTTAAGAGACGTTTAGTTCCGAAATGCGAGTATACTTGTATGATGCAGTATTGTGCTCCCAGCTTCGAGCCAGGTTCGTTCTATCCAAGGCCTTTCTATTTGATACTATATACATTGCCGGCTCAAATGCCAGGCCCATCTTGCGCTCACTCTTGCTGCGACATATGTGTCGGAAAGTTATAATCCGTATAATCGATATGTACAAACGCTCGATCAACGTATGGTACACTCTCTGTAGTTTTATTAGCTCATGTATCTTTAAAAAGATAGAAAGGAGGGAAAACTTACCAAGCACATATTGCAAACTCTCGCCCAAATCATGGCTATCCCTCAAACTGAGATTCTCATCAACCACGATATCGACTTCGACATTCAACTTGTCACCAGCGTGATAGGCCTGCAGTCCTTGGATTCTCTTGATAGACTTTGCAAAGCGCATCGTCATGTAAAGAAGGATGTTCCGCTCATCCGCTGTCGCACTGGCGCCGGTCAAGTTTCGGATGTGTTCTGCGGAGGTAGCACTCCAGTTGATGATAACGTATGCGGAGAGCAAGATACCACCGAGCGAGTCGAGCCACCAAATCTTCGCAAAATAGCCCACGAGCGGGAAGAGGATGGAGAATGTGTTGAAGACAACATCGGTTTTTGCGTCTTGGGCTAGCGCTTGAACGGAAGAGTTGCGGATGAGGCGGCACCAAAGCCAGCAGAGACCTTTGATAACGACTGTAGCGGCCATGATGGCTACAGCGGGAATAGTTAATTGCACAATTGTATGATCAGGTCCAGAGAGTCTGGAAATGCCTTCGATGCCGACTTGAAAGAAGGATGTCATCATGATGACGGAGAAGATGAGTACGCCGATGGGTTCGAGACGTCGACGACCAACCGGGTAGGCGTATCTGTCTTGACGCGCGATCATCCATGATGTAAACCATACAATGGCGGTAGAGAGGAAGTCAAGAGCTGCGTCGACTAAACTAGCGACTACGGAGAGAGACGATGTAAGGACCGTGACAACGATCTTCATGATCAAGAGGGCCGTGTTTGCACTGAGGTTGACGTATAGTGCTAGCTTGACGATAGGGCTTTCGGTGTCTTCGTCTTCTTCCGGAACCCAGTCTTTTAGCTCGGAGTTGGCGATTTCTAGGTCATCTTCATCTTCTATAGCGTCGTCGTGTGCGAGGAGCGGGGTGTTCTCGTCTGCTTCGGGGACTTTGTAGAGATTTTTGGGTGTGCGCTTGACCATGGGTTTCTGTGCGCCATTGCCGTTATTCAGACTACCTAATGAACCACTTCGCCCATTCTCACTGTAATAGCCAGGTGTGTTCGTACCATTGTTACCATTGCCGGGTGTAGCGAGTGGGGTGGTGGCAGCTGAAGATTCTTCGGTGATGGTAGTCGGGATCTTGACGGCGCCGGATTCAAGATTCGTGTACTCTTGAATGAGATTGTGAGGGAGCGAAGAGTCCAACAGACGGTCGATGTACAAGTAGTGTTGAAGGAGCTGGTTGTTGCGCTCATAGTATTCGCGTATCGGCTTCTTCATGCCTTTCAGCTCTTCTTCCGTCTTGTAATACCTCTCCCACTTGTACCTGGGATTAGAATTGCCAATCAGCCGCTGGCTTCTCATCTGCGGCGTGTTGAGCACATGCGCGCCTATGCTGCTCCTCCGATCTGAGTCCCGATCATAAGGCATCACAAGCCCGTGTCTGTATGCTTCCAAGTCTTCATCGTCCGTGTCGCTGCCCCGGCGCTCACTGCTGCGTATAGTAGACGGTCGACGCGCGCTGCTGAGTAACGAGGGAAGGTGGTGACCGCGCGTGGATATTGCAGATGCTTCGTTCTGAATAGGGTTGAAAAGCTTTGAACTTGCCAAACGCGGGAGGCTCGAGGAGCGCGGAACTGGCGAAGGCGACTTGGGCGGCGGTGGAGTGGACGGATAGTCAGTCATGGCTGCGATTGGAATGCAGTCGCTGAAAAGGCGTGATTAGAGAGCCAATCTCTTCGAATCAAATCCCTACGCGCAGACGCGACAACAGGAATAAGCCAACCTTGTGCCGTTCTCTTATCTCTGTGGCGCACCGCGATGAACTGCGGTAGAGAACTTGAATGGGTAAGCGCGCGCGTCAACCGAATTCAATTGAGATGAAGGGCGATGCGAGTCGTCAAAAATAGATGTTGTGAAGCATTTCAGCCGTGTCAAAAGCCCAAGGGACTATATGAACCATGGTGCCGCCGACGCGTGCGCAAATGTGACGAGCAGGTTCGCCGAAACAAGAGGGTCCTGCACCGGAGACGGGATCGACAAATCTGTGGCCCACAAATCCTTGCACCTGCATCCACTTTAGCTATGGCCATAGCTTCCCACTAGCGATCTGGGGTTCGTGAGCCGAGACATCACCGCAAGATTTTGACCATAGTTTCGTCTCCTAAGTTTCACGCACTCACATATAGCTCGTCTAGAAAGACACTTTGATTCGCTTCTACTACGGTATCTTCCGCTAAAACCGCATCCCATTCAATTTAGCCCATTTTGCCGTTCTGTGTCCGCTTTGCTGAAGACCCACACTGACCGGCAGTCTCAAGTAATGTACTCGTCCCCACGATGGTACAGTAGCGCTGTTCCAGGTCTCAAACTCCTGTCTTGGCGGTCCATCACATCTCAGAGGCCGACATAGAATCTTGGACCCTTGACACGAATCTGTTGGTCATTTTCCGTGTGCTATAGCGCATACTCGAGAATGCCTTCCCCGCCTATTCCCCGTCACGCTCCTCTGTCATGCCCAAGGCATTTTGTGTGCAAGTATCGATTAGCGCGGCGAAGATATGCGAGTGGTCGCGAATGCGTTTTCGACACTGCTCCTTGTCGTGGACTAGATGCTCGTGCAAGACGCAAGAATGGGGCATAGCGTCCGCTGACCAAAACTGGGCACCCTCCTTTGCTTCCGGCCACAGCATATCCTTACATCTCTCGGCCTGCACAACGGCGACATCGAAGGCAAAGTCTTCATGCATTTCCTTCATCGTCCGCAGTGTGGTAGCGCAGCTCTTCCCAGGGCTCGAGAGCCAACCGTAAGCTGTGGTAAGGACTAAAAAGCGAATGAACTTGGACGACGGTGGCAGATTTGCGTACGCAAACGTGAGCAGGTCTCGTTCAATATCGGGGAACCAATTCCATGCAATTGACTGCATGACTAAGGCAGTCAACACGTCGTCTCGTAGTTGAGGCACGTTATACTTGTCGGCGAAGATGTAAAGGCGGAGGAAAGAACCGAGCATCAGTTGATAATTATCCAACCACTCTGAGTTCCCATAACATAACATATTCATCTCTTTGGTCATCATTGACTTGTGATAGACGCCTGGTTCGTCGAGTGCTGGCATACAAGCCGGCTGGCATTTTGTGTCTGGGCTGCTTCTCGTACTCTCTGCGGTCTTGAGCTCTCCATGAACCGTGATGGATATGTCCGGGGCCTCTGTTGTTGATTTCCCGAGGAGTGACACAGGTTCAGGAACCGATGTGCTACATGACTGCTGATTGAACTGTGTATAAGCCCACTGCAGAAACATACGGAAAGTTTGTTCTGAGACATCTGACAAGGACAGAAAGCGATCAGTGGCCTCCTTGAAAGAACCATCGAACGCGCTACGAAAGTACGGCGAGAGAGCGGACATATGATCGCGGTAGACGGAGATGTTGACAGCTGTATCTGCTTCGCCGACGCACACGATAACTGTGTCGAGAGCCATGGTCCTGCCATACGTGTTAGTTCTGGTCCGAATGTCACGACATTGCTAGTATGTAGTGTTATTTACAGAAAGTTGGGAACGATCCTTGCGCTATTTTGTAGGTTCAGAGGCCATCGAGATGAATGTGGTTGGGTTGGGTTGGGTTGAGCGTGTTTGTTGCTTTCTATCATCTGCAATCGTGAAGTGATTCTGTTCAGGAAAAATATATTATATTCCTGCTCTTACAAGCGAGAAAGTTGCATTAAAATGAATTCACAAGGCCTTTGCACGATGATCATCACCGGCAGGATTACAGATCCATCTACCGTTTCCACCAATACGTTCGGTGTGTTCTGAATCCATCTTTGCATATCCGCTATGTGACCGAGGTTCTGAGATGCTGGAAAATAAGGTGGTAGAGATGGGAAGGCTGGATTGAGATACGAAGAACGTGCAAATGCGCAACAGTCGCATATCATATACTTAGACGCCATGCGAGAAAGTAGGGGAGGCGTGGTAGACCGACATCAACACTGCCACCAAAGCTAGCATGATTGGATATGCCAACATCCCTCTCCTCTCCTCTCTAGCCTTTTTGCCGCCCACATGTTAAGCCTATCCTAGCACGCCCTGTGTATAGAAAAACGCCGCCCAATGCCATATAATACACAACTCCTGTTTCCACAGGCACCTGTCCTACAACCCCTCCATGCTCAACCCCGGTGTCGCACCTCTATATCTCTCCTTCCTCGCTTCAATCTCCTCCTTCATCCTAGCCTGCCTCTCCTCCTTCCCCACACCCCTAACATACTGCAGCAACCTCAGCGCACCCGTCGGCGTGACACCTTCGACGCGTCTCGCCATACCCACGCTTTCCGGTCTCGCCACCTCCAACGCCCTCTTCTCTTCGAAACTCAGCCCAAAGATAGATTCGTAGTCAAGATCAAGCGGCAACTTGAGGTTTTCGTCTTTGAGCCACCGAGCTTGTGAGGCGGTTTGGTAAGCGACATAGGGCGCGTATGTGGCTTCGATATGTACGCGGTCTTTTATGCGTTGGGCGAAGTCTTTGATCTCGGGGAGGAGACTTGCGAGGCTTGATGGGGTAGTGTTTGGTAGACGGAGGAGATCGTAGGCGGAGCGTTTTGTGCTGTCGTTTCTTACAGAGAAACCTTCTTTGTTCCAATCTGTCCATCCCATAGTCTTGGACTGCATAATTTGTGTCAAAGTAGCCATTTGTTCAGCTTCGTCTTCAAAGGCTTTCCAGCGGGAATCGCCAACTACGCCGGCGGCGCGGCCCATGGCTGTGAGACGGGTGTCGGCATTGTCGGCGCGGGCGGACATGCGGTATTCGGAGCGGGAGGTGAACATGCGGTAGGGTTCCGAGACGCCTTTTGTGATGAGGTCGTCGATCATGATACCGATGTATCCGTCTGCTCTAGTCAAGACCATGGCTTCCTTCCCTAAACTCTTCAAGCCGGCATTGATACCAGCGATCACACCCTGGCCTGCTGCTTCTTCGTAGCCGGTCGTACCGTTGATCTGGCCTGCCAGGAAGAGCCCTGAAATGTTCTTCGTCTCGAGTGTAGAGCGGAGATGTCTTGGGTCAACGTAATCGTATTCTACACCATAACCAGGCTGCAACATGGTCACGTTCTCAAGTCCCTTGATAGTCTTGAGCATAGTATTTTGTACGTCTGCGGGAACTGTGCAGGAGATCCCGTTGGGGTAAATCATATCGCTGTCGAAACCTTCCGGCTCCAGCCAAACGATGTGTGATGTCTTATCGGCGAAGCGTATCACCTTCGACTCTAATGAAGGGCAGTATCGAGGTCCTTTGACAGTTTCGCGGATGTGTATCGATTTGTCGAGATTGTTTCGTATCACGTCGTGCGTTGCTTCGTTCGTTCGTGTCTCGTGATTCAGTAGTTGCTTCTCAACCTGTACGCGCTCGTTCATATAGCTGAATGGCATGGGTGGGTCGTCGCCCTCTTGTGCTTCCAGAACTTTGTAGTCGATCGTCTTCCCGTCTAAACGTGGTGGTGTCCCTGTCTTCAATCTTCCCATTGTAAAACCGGCATCCTTCAGACTCTTACTTAGTCCAAAGGTCGCAGCTTCGCCCATACGACCCGACGGATATGACTCAAGCCCAATGTGTATTTCACCACCAAGAAACGTGCCAGTCGTGATAACCACATTCCCCGTTGGTATAATTTCCCCACTCTCCAACCTCACTCCGGTAATCTTCCCATATTGGCCCTTGGATCCCTCCTCCTGCGTCCTGTCCACGATGATATCCGCCACACTGCCCTCCACAACACTCAACCCCTTGTATGCCAGCATCTCATCCTTCATATATCTCTTATACAACGACCTATCAATCTGTGCTCTGGGTCCCCACACCGCAGGCCCCTTCTTCCTGTTCAGTACCCTGAATTGCACACCCGCTTTGTCCACGATGCGACCCACGACACCATCCAGCGCATCGATCTCGCGAAGCATAGTGCCTTTTCCGATACCGCCGAAAGAAGGATTACAGGAGCAGACACCGAGGTTGTGGACTGAGGGTGTGATAAGGGCCGTTCGTGCGCCAGAGCGGGCTGCTGCTGCGGAGGCTTCGCAGCCTGCGTGGCCGCCGCCGATTACTATTACATCGTATGGTCTATGTGAGAGTCAGAATTGGTTAAGTGGTGAGGTGTAAGAGTATAGTGGCGTACCGATCTGCGCCGGACACTGTCGCAAATGTGCGTGGGCGGCGATTGAAGCGGTTTAACGACCGTACACGAGGCGCATGGCCCCAGAGCTGACGCGCTGGTAAGGGCACGACTCTGTGCATTATGTAAAGTTGCTGTGTTGAAGTTCAGACGTCGTGCTACAAAAAGTTGAGGTGGGCCAACTCGGAGGTCTTTCGTTCGCCGCATCACGTCCGTGCACCGGTGGGCAGTCTGGAGAGACGCAATACTCAAGCTGCGCAATCTACGCCTCGAAAATTCGACGCAGTGACACTGAGGATCTTCTTACCATGATTATATTGGACGTAGGTATGAATCCATGCGTTCTGAAGAAAAAAGGTATCATCCAGTAAAGATCCGAGCCACGCCACTCTTAGAGTTGAGATCATACAAAGTGAACTTCAGTCCATAGTCGTACATTCAGATATCGTGAAGAGAAAACCCATAAAGAGATCCCACAGCGCCGCGCAAAGATGTGTTCCCTCGAGAACCCTCTGTTCAGTACACAAGGTGTGCAACTCAGAAATATTGTAGAACAAATGCCGTTGTGGATCATGATAAACAAGGTACCAGGCAAAACTGTCCGTTTAACCAGAAGCTTCCTGGATAAGGCCCTCGTCGTTAGTCTCGGGCTCCTCGGTACGAGGGCGAGACAAGACATCGAAGTTACCTATATCAGAATTAGCATTACGTCCCCCCAATTCACCTAATTCTCGAAAACGTACGTGCAACCAAGCTCAAATTGCTCTTCTTGTTGCCCTCACTGTCAAGGTACGTCTCCATGCGCGCATCAGCGTCAACATAGAGCATCGATCCCTTTGGCACGTTCATCAGGAAATCCTTTTGCGCTCCTTGCACGAAACTCGCAATCCGGAACCAGCTTGTCTTCTTGTCCTCGCCCTTACCATAGCTCGTTCCAACTACATATCGTACTAGTGTCCTGTCGCCGGATACGGTGACTTCTTCTGGCGCAACACCTAGACGGCCGATGACGGTCATGCGCGCGATTTGCGAGGGGCGGGTGGAGGAGAAGCTGCGTGTGAAGACCGAAGTGGGTGCGCGAGCCGCAGCGCGGAAGGTGGAGGAGAACATCGTCGCTATCGTTTTGTGGCGGAATTAGTGGGTTGCGTTCTTTTTGACGAGCGGTCGAATTGGCGGTTGTGGGGTGGAGGTTGTTGCGATGTTGGCGGGTGGGGTTGTTTGCGTTTGCTGATGTGGAATGGGGCGCGACGCGGTTTGGGCCAAGTTGGGCTTGGACGCTAAGGGGCGCTGACACGTGCGTCCCTGTCGTTCATCTGCACATCATCTCAGTGATCTACCAGTCGTCATCACGTGCGTTCGGGAATAGCCTAACTGCTCTATAGTCTCTTTTGCTATCGGGTATATGCTTTTGTAATCCAAATGCCTCTTCTAGGCGTTCCAAGTCCCTTATAGAGTCTCATCTAGCGGGCTCAGTCCCGTTTCGACTACCACTTCGCCTTCTTCTTCTCCCTCTCATCCTCCTCACTATCATAATCTTTGTAGATGCCAACTGGTTGAGTCTTCTCCCACGCACCCGTAAAGACAGCCTTCTCTCCCTCTTTCAGTGCATACTTGAGCAGCGCCTCCCGAGGGTCCTCGTCTCTCATATCACTGCCTTCGATCTGCTCCATAACATACTTCTGATCAGGCGTTGACTTCGCAAAAGGTGTCGTAGCTGGAATATGCGGTCTCCGTGGATCTCTGCTCTTGCCTGATGCTGTGAGACCGATGGTGGGATGGCGCGCAGAGAACGAGGCTGCGTTGCCAGAGGGATCGTGTGCTTCACCGGCCATGCCGAGCGGATCCATGTCTACGGTGAGAGACGGGTCATCGTCCAGATGTCGCTTCTTCGGTGCCTTGCTGAGAATGGTGAGAGCGCCAGCATTGGAGAGCTTAGGGTTGAAGAGGATTGTCGTCTGGCCGTTGGCTGAACCTGTGATAATCTGATTGAGCCTAGGATGCCAGTTGACAGTGATGAGCGGAGAGCCTGGGGTCACTGGTGTAACAAGCTCCGGGCGAAGAGTTGCTGGGTTAAGGATGTGTAGATGGCCGGTCTCCGATCCTGTGACTATGCTTTGCGAGTTGGGCGCAAACTTGATGTTTGATGTGGGATATTGTGAAGACGTTGAGGGATGTGACGTGGTGTTGAGGGGCGTCTTGAACTTCCTCGTATCCCACAGCTTGATTGTGTCATCTCCTCCTCTTGTTATAACCAGTCTGCCATCTGCACTAATATCCAATCCGCTCGTCCATGTATCCCTTGCATGTGCTTCTTTAATCTCTGCTGTCGGCCGGTGGTATGGACCTTCGCCACCCCACATGACCAAACTTCCGTCTAGTGCCGCTGACACCAGCATACTGCTTCCTCCTTCAGCCGCAGCGCCCCATGCAATAGCTGTCATTCTTGTCATGCCTGCGCTACCAGCAGCTCTTGACTTGTGTACAATGACTTCCTCCTGCTTCATCCTCTTGTTCACGTCCCATATCCGCACCGTACTGTCTGTGCCTGCTGTAGCAAAACGGTCGCGATTTGTCGGATGCCATGCGCCGCTCGTGATTTCAGCCGTGTGTCCTTTTGTGTTGTGCTTGTCCCTCAAGTACATGTCGCCCTTAGCAAATTCTGATATAAGTTCTCCATCTCTGCTGAACAGTCTCGCCTGTGATGTTGCAGTGATACACAGGAACTGTCCTCCAGAGTGGGGGCCGAAGAGTACCTGGTGTATCGAATGCGACTCGGCGGTTTGCGAGGGCTTCGTGGTGAAGGGATCCACCGTCTTGAATGCGCGGATAGTACTTGGTGTCAGCGCACTCAGATCATGCAGCTTGAGAGTGCAGTCATTCCCTCCGGTCACCAGCCGCGTGCCAGATGTATCGAGCGCAATCGTCGTGACTGCGCGGTCGTGCGTCTTGACGATCAATTCGTGAGAAACCGGGTATTCGTCCTCCTCATCGCTCATATCGCTATCGTCGTCGTCTGAATCTTTTCCTTCGTCCGAGCCGGCCTCTTTCTTTCCCTGCTTGCTCTCATCGACTACTGGCCTACGCGCGCGCTCGATTTGCGCCTCGACGTTCACAGAGCCATCCTTTTTTCCAAATTCGCTGGGGAGATATTGCTTGAGAGCGTTTTCGTCGTCGGCAGAGAAATCCATTGTCGTGTTGTATGCATAGCACGGTGGCTCAAGTTACTGGTGAGTCGATAGCTGGTCGCGAGAAAGTTCGAGGTGAAGGCTGCAGTATGACGCGCCGCGCTAAGATAGGCGACCGAGCCGTCGGGACTACTCTCACCCATTGAGGTCTCTACTTTCTCATCTCAGCAACATAATCATCGATGCCATTACTAAGGTCTCTCAACACTCCAAGTATTCTCAAGGCTTACATTAGAGTTTTGCCTAGGTTCTCCATACCCCGCTCGTCTTACGCACCACGACATGTCATGTGTGAAAGTGTAATGTGCGTCCACGCAAGACGATGCTCATATAATCGTCAGGCGGCTGTCATGATACTGGTGTCAGCTAGCAAGCACGATGTTCATTGACTGGGCATTTGCTTGCATGATCATACATACTTCTACTGTTGCCCGAATTTTGTCCGGGGCACTCATACGATCACACCAGCAGCAGCTCAAGGTGGCGGCATCGTCATGCGCCAAGTACTCCGCCATGGTTCAGCCACAAACTTTGGTTTGAACAAGTATTTTAGCGCGTGTAAACCTCACATTGCCAAGAGCTCCGCTGGGAATTCCATTGCCAAGTTCTGAGTTGGGATTCTAGATTGTGGTTTGCCATGGTTCGCACCACTCAGGGCTTCCCAAACTCCGACTATCCCGGGCCGACGTCATGCGTGCACCTATAACACCATCAATTCTCCTTGGCAACACCTTCACGCTCCTTGTACCCTCAGCCTCAACACGTAATTGTGTCTCCTCGGAGCCATCATCTCGCTTGGCAAGCATCGTGCCTGTAGCATATAAGTAGTTTGCTACCCCGCCCGACTCCCATCATGTACCTCATTGAATATATACACCGTTCAATACAGATATCACAGATCCTACGAGAGCGATATCTACCATGTCTCACCACCACCCCGGAACCTGGGCGAGCAAGAGCGACATCGACCCCACCAACGCCCCTTGGGCGGTCACAACTCATCTCCTCGCCATCAACCATGAACAACTGCTCCGCGTTACGAGACACCCCTTCCTCGAGCGTGCTGCAAAGGGTACCCTCCCAAAACCTTTGATCGCACAGTGGCTTGCAAACGACAGGCAGTACCTTCAAGGTTACCTCGCCACTATCAGCAACACTCTAAACCTCATCCGCAATACACACAAATCGACGACTACACCTGGTGATGAGCCAGACATTCCGACGCGGTTCATCGCGTGGTTAGAGTCTGGTATTAAGAATGGAGAGAGGGAACTTCGATTCTTTCAAGAAGTTGCTGAGATCTACAAGATCGACCTCCCTCCCTCGCCGCTACAGGAGAACGTCAAATCGGAGGGTCTTCGTCGCTACGAAGCGCTATTTGCTAGTGTTGCTTCCCAACAACCGAACACATTCATACCTTGGCTCGAAGGTGCCATCTTGCTATGGTCAACCGAGAAGGTATATTACGAAGCTTGGTCCTGGGCTCGCCGACAAGACGCCCAGTCTTCTCCTCGAAACTACGACAACGACCAAGACGGTGGTGCAATGCGCAGAGAGTTTATTCCCAACTGGTCAAATCGCGATTTTCTCATGTTTGTTGAGCAACTTGAGCGCATCCTCAATGAGGGTGTAAGCGACGCCGTTGGTCGCGATGATGGAAGATGGGCAGAGGTCAAGGCTAGGGCGGATCCCATTTGGAGAGCGCTGCTCGACGCCGAGGAGGCGTTCTGGCCAGATGTACATGGTAGCGAAGGCAGTCTAATTGAGCCTGGTGTTCAACGCGGCCTCGATGGCAAGATGGATGGAACCACCTTGCGCAGTACCGGACACAATGAGATATTGAACAACAATCAGGGGGTCCGCAGTGGGGATATTACTACTTTACATAGTAACGAGCATGGACAGGTAGTGAACTAAGAAGGCTAGTCACTGAGCAATAGTTTCTATGCAGAATAGGCACATTCTACTGGTCTGGATTACCTTCTGTATAAACAATGCAATAAATTCATAACAACTCTCACACCTGGCATTTTTCCGTGACATGCCGTATGACTACTGTCGCGCTACTAGATATTATAGGCCAGCCATGTCGCACTGCTGATGCGTGTTCAGACTAGAGGACGGCCCGACAGAAGTTCCGTCGGGGGTGGTCCATGCGTCCAATAGCTTGGACGCCGCGAAAATACTGCGAAAAAGTTCGAGAACATCGCATCGCCAATTGCAACACCACCAACCGACACAATAATCGCCATGGCTCTCGTGCAGACCGACCCCGACGCGTATGTGATCAAGCCAGCGGCGGCTGCGCCTGCCATCGACACCAGCGACTGGCCGCTGCTGCTCAAGAACTACAGCGACCGTATGCTGCAGCTTTCCCATAGCTCCAGAATGCTCTGCTAATGCGCGTACAGTGCTCGTTCGCACATCGCACTACACTCCCATCCCCAACGGATGCGCACCGCTATCGCGAGACCTCAAGTCGTACATTAGCTCAGGTGTCATCAACCTCGACAAGCCTTCCAACCCATCCTCGCACGAAGTCGTGTCATGGATCAAGCGCATGCTGAGGTAGGAAGACACTTCGCGACTATTTCTATGCACATTCAGCTAACATGTCTTAAAGAGTCGAGAAGACTGGTCACAGTGGTACTCTTGACCCCAAGGTCACCGGTTGCCTCATCGTCTGCATTGATCGCGCCACCCGTCTTGTCAAGTCTCAACAGGGAGCCGGAAAGGAGTATGTTTGTGTCATCCGCATGCACGACAAGCTTCCCGGAGGCGAGGCACAGTTTGCGCGTGCCCTTGAGACGCTCACCGGAGCTCTGTTCCAGCGCCCCCCGCTCATTTCCGCCGTCAAGCGTCAACTTCGTATCCGAACTATTCATGAGAGCAAGCTCTACGAGTTTGACAATGAGAGGCAGCTCGGTGTCTTCTGGGTCAGCTGCGAGGCTGGAACCTACATCCGTACTCTGTGCGTGCATCTAGGTCTTTTGCTTGGTGTCGGCGCCCACATGCAGGAGCTGCGCCGTGTCAGGTCTGGAGCTATGGACGAGACGAAGGACTTGGTCACTCTGCACGATGTTCTCGATGCCCAATGGCTCCACGACAACAACCGCGACGAGGCCTACCTGCGCAAGGTCATCGCACCTCTCGAGAGTCTTTTGATGAGCTACAAGCGCATCGTTGTCAAGGACAGCTCTGTCAACGCCATCTGCTATGGTGCTAAGCTCATGCTTCCCGGTCTGCTGCGATTCGAGAAGGGTATCGAGATCCACGAGGAGGTTGTCCTCATGACCACCAAGGGTGAGGCTATCGCGCTCGCATACGCGCAAATGTCAGCTGTCGAGATGTCATCGTGCGACCACGGTGTTGTTGCGAAGATCAAGCGTGTCATTATGGAGCGCGACCTTTACCCCAGGAGGTGGGGCATGGGCCCAGTTGCCACCGAGAAGAAGAAGATGAAGGAGGCTGGCACTCTCGACGTAAGTGATCAACACACTAGATTTGCGAGTGCTATACTGACATGTCCAGAAATTTGGCCGTCCCAACGACAAGACCCCTGCAAAGTGGAACACCGAGTACAAGGACTTTAACAGGAATGACGTCGATGGCGCTTCTGCACCAGTTGCTGAGACCACATCCACATCTGAGGTTCTCGCCGCTCCTGCAGTCCCCGCGACCGGCCTCGCCCCTGCTGAAGAGGCTGAGGCGGAAGCTGAAACCGCCGACAAGAAGAGCAAGAAGCGCAAGAGCCGTGGCGACGGTGATGACGAGGGCGATGAAGACAAGGCCGAGCGCAAGCGCAAGAAGAAGGAAGAGAAGGCTGCGAAGAAGGCCGCCAAGAAGGACAAGAAGAAGAGCAAGGGTGATTCTGACAGCGACTCCGACTAAACGATCAATATCTGAACGATGGACGTCCGAAAAAAGCGACAGCGCTCATCGCTGTTGCCTGTACAAGCGCTGTACACCAAAAAGTGTACATGTCATAGTTACTACTACTCTATCCTTGGATACCAGCTTCTTCAAATGTAGCATACCGGAAAATGGCGTTAGGGATCATGGGCATGCCGGCGTTTTTTTGGCGCGTTGAAGCTTTCTGCGACAAAGGTGGTCGATTGCGTGTTGACGTGCGATATAGCTTATTGCTAGACATGTTCAATTCACTGTTTAAACTTCATCTTTCTGACTCTTCTTCATGGTCATTGCTAACCTGCAGTGATCTGTGTACTATGTATTCATGCTCGCGTAAGCTGTTGATATAAGTCCGAAGAGTCTTCAATGAGATACTAGGTGGACTTTGACCAGACCATGGCCATGGAGTTATCGAACCATCGCTGGTGGAGTTAGGCTCTATGTTGAGGTACGCTTGCAGTAAGTCAGTGGGTCAATAGCATTGAGAAGCTAATACGCTGTGCCTATGAGCTGTCATTGAATCGTTGTGCTGTCGATGCCATTGCTGCTGATGTGTAATAGTCCCGGCCGTACATGGAGCAAAACAAGGGCTCAAAGACATGCGATGTGGCCGTCACGTCCATGACCATGGAGCTATGCTAATGTCATGCATTGCTACCCAGGGTTTTATGAGGGTATTTACGCTATTACTAGCAACACAACGCTATCATGCAACTCTGGATAGGATGATCGGAACGCAAGCGTATTTCCTAATCACCCTGCCCCCGCAGTATGTAGTTGTACATGCATACTCTTTCGGAAATTGATGATGAAGTCGTCTAATATTATGCATTGTAAGTCCATGATAGCTGCGACGTGCTACTGTGTAGAAGTGAAGCTTCTCGGACTGCAAAAGCGGGGCGCGTCAAGGAAGACCACGAGGAACAGCAAGCGCACGTCGAGTGGAACGCGACAGCACATTGCTAGGTACCCGTGGACATCAATTCGATGCATCCCCTGTGATACAAATTCAGGTTTCTAATTTTGAGTTAAAACGCATGATGCACGACATCAGTGATTGTGATTGTGTAGATATGGTATTGTTGTTGAAGCTTCTCGAACCTTCGCTTTCTTCGCTCCGCGTCAGGGCTCGACGTCACCGCTAGCGCCGTTTGGCAAGTGGAGAGACATCCAAAGCTCGAGTGATAAATGCGACCCAACCTCATAAGCTACGACCCAAGACATTCACGAACACTGATTGTGCATATACGTGATACCCTCCTCTTGTAATTACCGGACTTCAAGATGGTCAAGGAGTCCAAGCTCTACGATTCATTAGGTACGTTTGCCTCGGATATACCCCTCCACCACCTTGCTCTGCTAGAAAGCGGGTATGCCAGGGCCCAGAATGCTCGAGGACTCGGGTAGGCACATTAACTCTTGCTGACTTATTTCTAGGTGTATCGGAAACCGCAACGCAAGATGAGATCAAGAAAGCATACCGGAAGGCGGCGCTGAAGTGGCATCCCGACAAGAACAAGGACAATCCGCAAGCTGCTGAGAAGTTCAAAGGTACGTACACTACATCTCTAGTTCACTTAGAGAAAATATAGCATACTAATAGCACATCTAGAATGCTCGCAAGCCTACGAGATCCTCTCCGACCCTGAGAAGCGCAAGACATACGATCAATACGGTCTCGAATTCATACTACGCGGCGGCGTACCACATCCTGAAGATGCCGGAGGTGCTGGTGGAAACCCATTCGCAGGCGCAGGAGGCGGTGGCGGCGGAGGCTTCCCCTTCGCGTCAGCTGGTGGCATGCCCGGCGGCACACGATCGTTCCACTTCTCGACAGGCGGTGGCGGAAACGGCTTCAACTTCTCCAACGCTGACGATATCTTTGGCGAGTTCATGCGCAACAGCGGCGGCGGCGATGACTTTGACTTCGGCGGCTTCGGCATGGGCGGTATGCCTGGCGGAATGGGTGGCATGGGCGGCGGTGGTGGAGGAGGTGCAAAGGGCGGCCGATTCCGGGGCGGACGACGAGCACCAGAGCCTGAAGTCACAGTTGTGGAGAAGCCGCTTGCAGTGAGCTTGGAGGAGCTGTACAATGGCACCACCAAGAAGCTCAAGATTAAGCGCAAGACATACGATCAGGGTACCGGCAAGCAAAGTACTCAAGACCGGATTCTGGAAGTGCCGATCAAGAAGGGGTTGAAGGCAGGCAGTAAGATCAAGTTCTCAGATGTGGGCGACCAGGTGGAGGGCGGAACACAGGATCTGCACTTCATCGTCTCTGAGGTAAGTCTGAACTCTTCTTAAACTCCATGCGGAAGCTTCTACTAACAACACCAACAGAAACCCCACGCAATGTTCACCCGCGAAGGCGACGACGTCAAGCACACCATCGAAATCGACCTCAAAGAAGCCCTCACAGGATGGCGCCGAACCGTCCAAACTATCGACGGCAAACAACTCAGCGTCGGCAGCGGCGGTCCCACAGGTCCCACCTGGACAGAACGATACCCCAACCTGGGCATGCCCAAATCTAAGAAACCCACAGAGCGCGGAGACTTCATCGTCGGCGTAAAGATCAAGTTCCCAACAAGCTTGACAAGCGCACAGAAGGAGAAGTTGAAGGAAATACTATAGTGGACAGATTGGGCATGGTGATGGACGACTTTGATTCTCGTATATCTTTTTGCATTTCCTTATTCTTTTTACACCAGGCAGAAGCCTACATAAGCTCGAAGCGAGCGAAACGAAGGCGTTGGCGGAGTTTTGATATCTTGATTACGAATTGGGAGGTGGGAGGAATGGCATACTGGTGGAGACGAGAAGATGATACATGAAGTAACGCGTCTATGATAGACGAATCAACGACTCATTACATTGCGCAACATGTGGTTTATTTATGTGTGAAGACTGCTACTGTTCCTTCCCCAGCGAAAGAACGATGACTAACGGTACTTAGCGCGTCCATCTCGGAGCTTCATCCTTCCCACTTACATTCACCAGCCATCAACCCTTCAATAACAGCGGACACAAGCACCCGCCTATGCCTCAGCCATCAGCTTCGGAGACTTTTGCCAGCATGCGCCACAGAGATGCACCACCCGCGCTGCAGGGAGAATGCACGCTGCCCCACCTCTTGGCATCCTCCTCCTTACTTGCACGCTATAAGATGAACTTCTTTACTGATTAACCTACACTTTGTTCGTTTCCTTCATGTTCCGAGCGTATGCTACCCGATAGAAATGGATGTCGAATCTCTAGAAAGTGGATCCGTGGACCCGTGGGAGGATTTCACGGCTGGTCTGTCCTCGATCACCAATAACAAAAATGATAACGAAGGCCATAAGCCTTGCCACCTGCTTGCTACAGATTGGAGAATGTATGATGTTGAAACAAACATTACAAAACTCCGAGCTGGAGCAGCGGCTGCTTGCCAAGACTGTAGCCTTGTACTTGATGCTATCACCAGCTATAGTAGCGGGCGACTATCAATGGAAAACATCATAGAAATTGCTGTGCTATCAAGATCTCAACCCATACGCGTTCACTACCAGTCAAAGCAGTCTCCTCAGGCCTATCAGTACAATAACGAACTACCCTTTGTGGAGTTGGAGCTATTTTAGTTGAAAGGTAAGCACTCTGTTTGCTTTCGATGGCCGGAATGGTCAAGAATACCTGACAAGGGTATACAACCCTCAGACTACGAACAGATCCACAAATCTATTGGCTTCCCAGGAGAGGGCTCGCACATAGAAAGAACCAACGACACAAACGGGATTTGACTTCCTGTAGGTCAACAACTAGACACCTCTCACGTTATTTCAATCAAAGAAGTACCCTTTCCCACCAAGATACTTCCGTCAGAAGACACATCTTCAGACTAGGCTCTCCAAACACTGCACAGTTGGATCGAAACCTGTATTGAGCATCATGAGGCTTGTCCCGGAAGCAAGGTCAGCCAATTGCCAAAACGAATTCTTGAAATAGATGGCGCGTATGTCTATCTTCGCGAGCGCTTGAGAATACCAGCCATGTACGCTTGTCTTAATCATTGTTGGGGCCCATCAGGCCCAACACTCAAGCTAGACAAGACAACTTCCAGTTGTCTAATGGACGGCATGCTCATCGATCAACTGCCGAAGACCTTTGCTGATGCCGTCTGCCTATGTGCAAGGCTTGGTCTTCGCTTTATCTGGATCGACGCCTGCTGTAAGCTGCTCTTAGCGACTGTGGTTTGTTGCGTCTGATCGAGAACGATACAAAGCCAGAAAATTGAGAGACCACGAACTCTACGTACGGGAAATAGCTCCCACATTTCCCTACCCACGTTCTTCCTCAGTGTCTTTCCCACTTCTAAGTAGAGCTTGGGTGTACCAAGAGCGACTTCTTCGCCGCGGATGGTTCATTTCGGCAAAGATCAGGTAAGCCATCGATACCCACACTCCTTTAAGGACCTGCAGCCTAGGGCTGTAAAAGTGATCTCGATTATATGAATTTAAAATTGAAGCCAAATTGGGAGATTGTGCTACTTTTGGCTCGTGCGAGAAAAGTACATGAAATGACTAATCTTGTTCTCAGATGTATTGGCAATGTCCGGCTTTGTTCATCCCAGAAAGTGGGATGGCCTACCGTGGAATTTACTCAGTGCACGATACTAGTGACTATAGCCTCTTTGAGAACATTGAAGATCCGGTCAAACGCTGGCATAGAATGGTAGAGGCATATTCTGGCTTGGCCCTGACCTACGCAAGCGATCGCTTGCCGGCTATCGCTGCTATAGTTGAACGTAAGATGCAACTACGCCAAGACGATATATACATTGCTGGTATGTGGACGAGCAGTTTACTCTCGATCTCTGTTGGATACCTCTGTCTAACAAGCCCCATGCACGGCCTCCACAAACCAACTCTCCAACATGAGCGTGGCCATCCGTACAAGCGCAAATTCAATGGCCTATCGGATCACTCTAACCATCCCTCAGACTAGTGGACCTCTCATTTGCGCAAATTGGACCGACTCATGTTGGGAAAGTCTCGAACGCTAATATCACCTTGGAGGGTCACATATACACGATTCGGTTAGAGAGATCGTACGACCCGTGTCGACTAGATTCCTGCATGTAAATCGTCCCACGCCCATTTATGGATGTTTGAACTGGACGATTGGATGGGAGGGGTGGACTTCGATTGGATCATTGGTGATCAGCCGGTCAAGGTAGGAGATACCTTCGTCGTTTTGCCGATTATCTTGGTTGCAAACTCTTATTCCCATTCTTACAAGGGGCTCATCCTTCGAGAGGTCAACGATGGCGTCTTCGAAAGAGTGGGATTCATGAGCATCAAAGCTGTTCATCGGTCGGAGATGACCACTTTACAAAAGACTCAGATATTTGGCGATTTTATCGAGGCGCTGCCCATTCGCACGATCAAAATCATCTGATGGAGTGGCAGTGGACCGAATGTATGCTCGGGTACTGTCTTCGAGTTAGCCTGTAGACTCTTCACAATCAACGGCGAATCTTGAGATTCTTGGTCGTGTGCAGCAAATTAGTCTTGCACGACCATACTAAGGACACCCTGCTTTGTGGTACTATTCAAGTCGAACCGCCATCTACCGATCTAGGATTCCGAGGCAATGCTGGGTAAAAAACAGTTGCCAAAGCACTCGCCGTCGCGCCCTATAGAAACCGAGGATCTATCGATTTTGCCAGACTGCGGTGACACTTTAACACCTTGCGCACGAACGCCAAAGATCACATCTTGGCATTGCGAACACTATCTTACTTAACTTACCTTTATTGTCAATGATTTCGTAAATGTCTTTCGTGATCTGGTCAAAGCGATATTCAGCAGGACTAACTAGCTTATCCATACCGTCGTAACTAAGGTTGTTGGGGATAATTATAGGGTGGTTCGTTGGGCGAAGACCAGTGGCAACATCTTTCCACATTGTAGCATGGTCTGGCCAGCCATGATGAAAAACCAGTGTCGGCAATGATTTGTTGCCGTCGACCACATAGTAGGTGTATGTGTATCCTCAAGAGGTCTTCAGTATCTTCTTTTGGAAAACGTACATCCTGTTCAGGTTTTGTATTAACTGCTGGATCCTCAACAATTTTGAGAAATATCAGGTGTGACCTTTCTTAAGATGAGAGATCAGGATCAATGTAGTGAACGGTGTGTACAGCATCATCGGTGCAGCTGCTGGTTATGGCAATCCTCATGGTGGAACCTGCATACATTGCTATGTCATTGCCACGATGTCTAGACCTAGTGTGCAGGTGTTGTGCGAATTCTTTAGACCCTTCAGGATGATACAATACTCCTAGCACATCTTACAAGAACGTTGATCATCCGGTGAGCCGGCAACCTAGCGGACCGGCTGCTCCTGGTGAGATGGCGTCAACACCGACGTGATAGATTACCAAGCTCTTGAAATTTGCTAAGACAATACCAGCGTTAACGTGATGGATTACCAGGTAGCCGATGTTTGTCGCTATGGAACACTAACCCGACTTTATTCGGCGACGCCAAGACAGCCAGTTTTAAGAGGGCGGTGGGGCAGCGGAGTCATGCGTTGTTTGGTGGACGCGAAGATGATGGCCAGTAGTGGGAGCCGCGGTGGGAATGGGTCTGTCGGGGTCGACTATCATGTCGCAAATGATGGTTGACATTACTCGTTAATCCATTTGGCCAATTTTCATCATTCACTTGTCCAAACGATGCTAGTCCTGCATTCATCCCAATCTTCCAGGATACATCGCGTCAATAGATATAACGCTGCACCTAGCACTTTCGACGTCGTGCTTCTTCGTTGTAGTGAGCGCGACTGGCGAAACAAAAGCTGTAGTTTCTCTCGATAACCGCCACTCGAGTGGCACATTGCGCTGCATGTCCTCCACCTCTGAAATCTGACTTGATATCGGTTTTCCTACGTGAAGTTGGCGCCCTGGATCCGATGGAAGCGTGACGATGGAGCGGCTAGACTGCGCACGATCTTGGATGACGCGGACTATCTGGCTGAGCACTGCGAACTCAATCTTGAGCTTGAAACTATATACAAGAGATTTGAAGGTTGTCTGTATCATATACAGATCGAGGAATTCTGTTGTGAGCAACGCAGTATCCAGTATCAGCAGGAGGGCGTTCATTACGACGAGCTGCCACATCCACTTCCTGGCTTTACCGTCGAAGATGACGCGCATAAGCTTGCGGGTCTCCCAAAGATAGACGCAAGAGATCGAGATCTCTTGAATAGTAAAGAGAGTCATCTGTATCTTCTCCATGACCATATAGCCGCGCGTGTATGGTTCTGGGTGCTTGGTATATTGGCGTAGGTTTAGCGTTGTGGTAGGTACACAGAGACAGACTGCTGAGACAACGACCACCCAAAAGATGAATCGCAGGAGTTTGAGATTTGGCGAGATCAGGTGCAGACGAGAGTACAGTACCATGGACTGCCCAGGAACCATGAAGATCCACCCGAGTGTGAGCAGGGTGTTGTAAACGTAGGGATTATGCGCAACGTTATTTTGCTTCATCCATGCTCCTAGAGACTCCATTAGCTATGATGTTTTCGACTCAATAGGCTCACCATACCAGTCGCATATGGCACAATGCTGATCGCATTGACTATCAGACTCCAAAAGTACAGACCAGAGTACCTCCTGAAGATGACGAAGATGAGGATGAGTATCTCGATCGAGTTGTACCAGGCAATAGCTGTAAACGCAGTCATTGCCCGGGGAAGTACACGGTTGGCACCATATATGTCGAAGTTGGCGCCGGTAATGCCATTGGCATTGGTATTGTTCGACATCGTGTCGAAATCGCTGTGTGACTGCACTCGAACGTTGACTGGTATTGGAGACATTGCGTTATACCACGTAGATACAAGACCTCTGATCTTCCCATTGCCTGCACGGATTATGCGACATAGAAGTCATCGGTGCAACATCAGCATGTGTAAGCGTAGTGTCCCGTGCTGAATCCGATCTAGCGTCACGACATGCCGCTATTTTCGTACTACATGGTGTTCACGTACGGTTGCGAATACTAGATAGGTCAGAGAAGCGCACGAATCAGGATTGTGTATCGGAGTACTGGGTCGTAAAGGTATCGTGCAGCGTCGGCTGACGCATCGGCGTGGCTGTTGCAGGGAGATTGAAGCGAACCCCAGCCATGCCATGCGGCTGGTGAGAATCGCTATGTTTAGCGTTATGACATCGTAATATACGAAACATCCAAACCCAAAATAAACTGTAGATCAACCAGGTGGGGTCCATTGTTGAAAGGTTGTAAGTTCTACAGAGCTATACCCTTGATGGTGCTTGTGGGCGAGGGACGCGACGCGCTTCAGCTCAAGGACACTTCATTACTCAGACATGACGCAATGCTCCGATTCACAACAAGACGTCGACGCGTCCTTCCAACCACGCTCTTCAAAAATCTTTCCGCGCGACGACGACATCTCTAAACTTGGCCATTCATCACCACGTATCCGATCTCAAGAGCATCAAAGTGATAAAGTTCCTGTAGGTGAACTGACAACAATTAGACCCCGTGTCTTACTGTATATGTCACCAAATGGCGAGAGGAACTGACTGACTATGCTAAACTACTGTTGCCGATATTGGACTAGGTATATAACTGACTGCCCTTACAGGCTTTAAATTGAGTATATGATTTCCAAGTACTTACGGCCAAAGCTGGCTGTCAACAACCCTACTCAAACCACGCATTCGCCCGTGTATGAGCGGAAACACCTCTCAAGTGTCTTACTTATCTCATTATCTTGTTTCTTTCGAAGTGTATCATTCCTCAGTTCTGATTTCCAGCCTTCATATGTCTTCGTATTTCGTTACATTAAAGAAGTGAAACGATAACGGTGGCATGTTCTCAGCAGTTCGACAGGCTATGGCTTGACTTCCTCTCTATCTTCTATCAAAGGATGACACTCAATGTCTTCAGGGGCTCCTGCATAGGTGGGATGATGCGGTCTCCGAGCGTCACCTGTTCTGCGAGGTGCGCAGTGTATTTCATGGCTTGGCGTTAAGAGCGATTCTCTCCCTTTCACTTTCTAAAGCTACATTGAGCGCTCGCTTATAAATTGCGACTCGCCATTGTTCTTTGCAATTCATAGCTTTTGCTCTAGTCTTTTCAGCAACTCCCACCCGCGCAGTGCTCCGCCGTACGTTGCAATCCAACCGCTACCCGATCACCCGCCATCATACCCAGCAACTTCGATAATTACCATTTATTATGGCAAGCGACTTCCCGCTTGTCAGAATGAATGAGTCGCAGCAACAACTTTTCGAGAACTCCCTACTCCCTCGTCTGGAAGCAGAGCTCCAGCAGCAGGTCACAATCTATTCTCAGCAGATTGCCGAGGCGCTCGCGTACCACGCTCATCGCGTTACCGCAGAGCATATGGATGTCTTCTTGCAAAAGTTCCAGAGTGTCTCACGCTCTCCATTCTCACCGCTATCTTATGGAGCTCAAGACATTACACCAAAAGCGGCAGCCGGGGCCTCGCGATGCAGAAGATACCTATTCCTGCCTGTTCCCCTTCCTCCGACCACGATTTTATTCCAAGGTAACTTCCTGAGTAGCTTTCGCTCGACCCCTTGCGCGATGCTCCAGCAGGCTTTGTCGTCCCCCGATATGGTCGAGCTCCTTGGGCATCGCGGCACTCCTTCGACATATCTGCCACTGCGAGACGTCTCCGTGTGCCCTATTGTTGACAAAGTGAGGAACTTTGGTCGTGCGCTTCGCGTTGGGCGTGCGTTCGAGAAAACGATTCGTGTCGCGATGAAAACCTTCAGCCATCTTGTCAAGAATACCAGCTTCGGAGAGCTGTTGGAGCGCCCAGTCGCCCGCTTTATGCTCGGTCTCATACTAGAGCGCGAGTGTGCGAACTTCGGCACGACTCCTGTCTTTGTTGACCGAGCCCGTCTGTACATCGTGCGACTTCGAGGCCTCACTCGCTATCTCGACATGATCTGCCGCAGTGAAGAAAGCCTGGCCCAGTTCATCAACAATCTTCGCACCCCCACTGTCTTTCACATGAGCCATTCGGGCGCGCTCATTCGACAAAACATGAACATCGTCATATAAGTCACGCGCAGTGCGAGCCCTGTAGCATCCCCGCGCACTGTTGCAGCTCCGGCATTCGTCACTCAGATCGTTGAACCTACTTTGGCTACCCCGAAACAAACATCTATGGCTTTCGCATTTAGGTCTGACGCTACACCGGATTTGCGAACATCAGTACTAGCGACATCAAGTATGAACGTGGTGCAGCGTACAACACCGACACATCGAGCACAAACTGTTCCAAAAGTACACGCCGTGAGCTCCGAGGCCCAGCCCATCGTTACCAAAGCGACACAGCTGGTAGACGCCACAACCCGCAATGTCAATACTAATGGGCCGCCCGCCACCCATGGAGTCTCCTTGCAGAGCGATGCAATGGAAGACTGTATTCCGGAACCTGCTCGTTCCCGGCAAGTCGGCACCACAGACTCGCATGCAATACTTCCTCAAGCTATGGATGGAGTAGAGACCTCGCCTGGTTCTACTCATGGCACCAACATCGGACAAGACAAGATGGATGACATCCAGATCACTATTCAACCGACTTTCACTCCGCCCGCTACCAAATTTGTGCAAAATGAGAATCAGAACATGCCCGATGCACCTCCGCCAGCGAACGTTACACTAGATTCTACTACCCAATCGAATGTAGCTCCGTCCAGTACTCTTCTCGTCGAAATAAAGGATCAGGACATGACTGACGCACCCCCACCAGCGCAATTTACAATCGCATCCGGTTGCAGTGCTTCTGAAGCCTCTACCATCACATCGTCTACCACTCGCTCCGAGCGATCTACGTCCAGATTTCCTTTGGCTCCAACAATGTTTCTGTCTTCGGTTAGGCAACCTTCAGTGACTTCATCATTTCTCGGTTCAGACGGTACTCTGAGTACTATTCAATCATGAGCGAAGGCAAAGGCGCAAGCAAACCCGAGCAATCATTGGGCTAACGGAAAGGCCAACGCTCTACTTATAGAGATCCCTGATCTTCACAACGACCTTCGACAGGCTCTTCCGAAGATGATCGAGGAAAGACACAGGAACCAGGTTTGTGACAAGATCTTCGACTTCATTCGCAACGCAGGGTCTGCAGCTGAGCTGGCTAGAGACATCGATCTCGCCATGAGGATGCCGTCCCAAGACAAGCTATTGAACAATGCACAGTTTAACAGGCTGGAAAAGTACGCACATGAGGTGCAGAATGCTAGACGGCGGCAAGAGCGACAGATTGGTGGCGTGCTGAACATGGGCAGTCCTCTGCATACAAACAACCAGATTGGTATCTCTCAACCCCCTACCAATGGTACTGCGCAGCCGGCCAACCTAATCACGCCACCTAACCTATCTCAAGCAGCTCCCACTATCATTGCGCAGCCAACCAATCTCCCCACCCTTCCTCAGATGACCAACGCCGGCGCTGCAGGGTTTTCGACCAACCTCACGAGAAGAGAATCGATAACACCAGAGCCAAAATCGAGCAAAGAGAGATTGACTAAACTGCTGATTGATGCACAAGTGAAGACGACACGTAACAAAGACGAAGTCTCGACCTTGTTTGCAATCATGTTCCACCTCTCATGGCAAAAATCATCAGACATCGACGTCATGATAGAATATGTTATCAAACATCCCAGATTCCAAGGTCTCGACAGTAACGAGCGGAGGAGGGTGAATATCGAATGGACTATTGAGGTGATCCAAAACCTGGTCGACGATGGCAGGCCTTCCAGTTGCGAACTTCTAGTCTGGACGTGCAAAGAAGCACTGATTGCTCAACATGTGAAAGCTGAAAACGAAACGCTCTCCGCGTATGCAACCTGCGCCGACCGCCAGAAAGAGCTTGGGCCGCTCTTCAGGCGCATCTCCGCCACCAATTTTGAGCTCATGAAGGAAGTGTACCCAAACGGCTGCCTGACATGGGACGAGATGAGGGACCTTGCGAAGACAGAAGAGCTTGGTTTCTTCGACCAATCCGTAAATACGAAGCAGATGCCTTACTGGCCATACATGAGGGATAAGAAGCAATACTGGAGCGATAGGGCCAACATGAAGAAGTTGGTTGCTGATCGGATTGCTGCTAAGAGTATGACTACGGGTCGAGCAACTGCATCCGGTCCTGCAGTTTCATCAAAGGCCAAGCGCAACATCGCGGCTATCTCTGACGATCATGACAAGGCTTCGAAAGAGATAGGCGTTGATGCGATGGATGATGGTGAGACACATGTACCGGGAAGCAAGGAGCCAGCTCTGAAGCGCTTTCGAGAGCAGCCCACTGAGTAAAAAGAGCGTGCTGCGATTAAGGAGAAGACCACGCGTCAAGCTGATGACTCTGGTCGCAACGAGGTTATGAAGCTGAGTCGTGATTGAGGCTTCGGGGTTAGAAGCGCGACTTATGGCGGGTATCCTTTGGTGGGCGTTGTCGTCTTTCTGATGATTCACACGGCACACACTTGTGTCTGTAATTTAGTTTCTGATTCCCTCGTAGCAGTCTACAGGGATAGGTTTGTACAATTTGGCGTTGGATCGACGATACCCGGGCAAATCCAGCAGTTCAAACGAAAGCGATCGTTGCGGACCATGAGCTCGACTCACTACTACTCAAGGTTCTTTAAAGGTTAATGATATCGACACGAGAACTGCGTAGTTGTCGACTTATCGCTATCGCCAGCTCGCGATCTCTTTATACTCCCTCCACTTCCTCAGCCGCCTGTTGCTCTACATTGTCGTATGCTCCAGACACATCGTCTTCGCCGTCCACTCCGACTCAACCCGCATATGTTCATCCATCGCATCGTAAGCCATCGTCTCCGGAGACTGCGCGCTCGTCCAGAATTCTCAAACGTGGCAGAAGAGAAGTTCCCTCCGTGTGTGTGGATCAGCCACGGGGCAGGGCCATAGTCGGAAATAGTAGTGTGGGTAGGCAAAGTTTGTTTGGAGATTGTGTTGATGTTGGTGAAGAGGGAGAGAGGAGATGTTACGGATCTGGACTTGCTGTAGGTGAGGGGGGCATTTCGGGTATTAGCCTTTGTGAGTTGGATCATCTCATCCGTGTGTCAACCACAACACGCTTCTCGTTCCAAAAGCAAAAGCAGTGTGTGAAAAACACTGTGATGGCATAGGGACGCAAGCGCTTGCTGGATATTTGTATTAATCGGAAATGCTAATACGCTGAAATCGATGAAAATAACCCAAGTATGCATAATACTGACCAAACGCCATGCAAGCTATGCTAAAACATCGACAACAATTCCAGATGTAAGTCGCTCGAAGGTACGAATCTAGCTATCAGCATGCCCTGTGGGACCTTGCGAAGTGTCTGTGGGTCATTAGCGTCATATCCAAGACCACTCTTCTCACAATCAGAATACTCACAATCCATGGTTACAAAAGCGCGGTCTACTTCGTCCAGGCCCTCAAGACAATATTGCAAGGTCTCGGCAATGTCGTGGCACTTTCTTAATGGTGTCTCCTCCTTCATGAGCACATCAATCTCCACGCAGACACCGTCACCCGCGTGGTAGCACTTGAGGCTCTTGAAGCCCTCGACGAGGGGTGAGAAGCGGTACGCCATATACATCATCTTACGTTCAACACGGTCACTGGCCGCCTCGCCAGTCAGACGGGTGACATTCTCGAAGCAAGTGCAAGCCCAGTCATAGATGATGAATAGCGAAAGGCAAGCAGCTCCAAGAGGATCGAGCCACCAGACGCCGACGTGGCCGCCGATAAGCGGGAAAAGAAGGGAGAGCGTATTAAAGTAGACGTCTATGTTTGTTAGTACTTATACTAAGTTTTCGAGAGACATGGGCCTACCAGTCTTGCAGTCTTGAGCCAACGCCTGTACTTGCGTTGTCTTGACCTTTGCGCATCCGATCCAAATAGTGCCCTTGACGACGATTGTAGCTACCATGGCGAAGATAGCAGCGGGCGGCAGTTGAGATACGCTGTGATCGCCGCTTGGCAAGAGCTTCTTGACAGATTCTTGCAAGATCTGAAGGAACGAAATGACCATGATGATGGAGAAAACTAGAATACCGATGGGTTCGAGACGTCGTCGGCCGATGGGGAACTTTTTTCGTAGACTCTGCAAACGCCAACCCACAAGCTTGTTCGTGGTCCAAATAATGACGGTGCAGAGCAGGTCAAGTCCCGAATCAACAAGGGATGCGATCAATGACAGAGAGCTGGACCAGATGGCCGCTACACTCTTGGCTGCGAGTAGAAGAATGTTTACGAGGACGTTGATCTGCATACCGTCAGCTCTGGCTACATCCGCTGTCTTTAGGACTTACATTAATTGCCCACCTCGCGTGTTTGGCAGATTTCGCTCGTCGATTACGCTCTTCTTCGGGAAGAAAAGGTTCCAAATCCCCGCCACTAATACCCAGTGGTCCTCGGTCTTCTGCTACGCCGTCGCCATCGGTGTCTCGTGGATTCATGCTATCAACAATATCGTCGGCGAGCGAAGAAACAACCATGTCGACTTCGGCCCAGTCGTCTATGCGCTCGTTCTGCTCCTCGTAGAAGTTGCGTACCTTCTTATTTTTTATGGTTTTGAGCTGGAGAACAGATATCAGCAGGTCTGTGTGCGAGTTAGACGAATACAACGTACACTCTCGTCGCTTTTCCTGTAAATTTCGAGCGCTTCGTGGTCGATGTTATCGATCAACTTCTGTTTCATTTCATTGGCGCGATTCTCCCTCAGAGTTTGGTCGATAGCATCACGAAATCGCTTCCTTGGTTTGACAGGATTGATCGCTCCATATCCACTTTCCAGGTCGACGCGCTGGTACTTATTGACTTCGTTGAGATTGCCTCTGCTGTGAATGTCACCGTTGCTGTTGTGGCTATTGAGGATGTTGCGCCTAGTTCCAACCATAACTGCGTATTTTTCAAAGCTTTCGGAGCTTTTAGGGTATCGCTGTACAGTTCGAGAGAGAAAGAGGATGTAGACAAGTGCTGAAAAGAGAATCAAGCATACAAGAGGGAAGACTCGACGCGCTGTCAAACCATGGTAGCCAAGATTTCGAGACTGGAGGGACGCCAATGCGTAGTAGCGTTGGAGAGCGCATCATAAACTGGAGACACTTTACCCTATGTGGAAGTGTCCCTGCATAAGAAGGGTATTATTGATAGTGCTTGTTCCAGCTTGCGCCAAACGTCGCTGGAAGGATGTTATGACATCACCCTCTAACGCCGTGTGGGGAGCGCGATCCCGGCGCCTCCGCGTCAACCATCGTGGTCTCATCGGCTTGGCAGGTACCAACACGGCACATCACCCCGCGAAGTCGTGCAAACCTTAATTCAATGAGCAAGATAGGCTGTTACTTTTGTCGGCACCGCCGTTCGGCTTGCTATGCGAACAGCAATAGCAATGGTGGAATGCTGTGCCACTCGATGAGGCGCTACGTTGACGTCACGCCCAAAACCGGATGGGCCTTCCAACACCAACGCCGTTGAAACACGTTCCAGCCATCGCAATGTGCCGCTTAGCCGAAAGGGCCGAACCAAATATTCGGTATACTTACCTGGACCAACCATCCATGAATGGCGAGCACAAAGTTCATCCTGTTCGATAAAAACCACCATCTCCAAATTGGATTTCAAGTCTCTCCAGATGAATGCCCTTTAGGCCTTGCCGTCGCGGTTTCACCGAACATATACGGCCATGTAAAAATCACGTAAAAGATCCCTAGTTACTTTACCTAAGCGTCATCCTGAAGAAGACCTGCGCTATCGTCTGTTCCCTCTTGTAACCTTCCAACAATATGATCATGCTACGCTCTTTTCTGACAGCCCAGAGATCGCATCTCAGAAGATTCACGCACCGATGAGCCGCAGGGCCTCGAGCCGCGTTACATAAGCAAGCCCCGCAACCACCGGGTGTAATGCCTCTCCGTGCTGACGCTCAGCCATTGACGGAGAGGCGAAGCTCGCCAAGTTATGCCCAAGGCGCGCCGCGGGACAGCGAATAAAACCCAGCTCATCTGCTATCACGCGTCGTGGATCCCATGCGCCAGCAACCACCCACCATGGCACCATCCATAGCACGCGTTAGCCGCCCGAACAACAATGCACTACTAGCTTTGATGGCAGTTTTAGCTGGGATAGGGTTCTATACGATGCGCATAACAACCGCCCAAAATGACGTTCCTGTCGGTTTCTTAGATGCAGCCGCGTCAGGAACTCTGCCCAACGGTGTGCTTCTCAAGAAGCACTATACGGGATTCCGTATTCTCGACGAGGGATTGTCTTTCTTGGTGGCTGCTTTCTTGTATGGCCCGACGCAATGGAATGAGCCGTTCTACTGGCAACAACTCCATTTTCTTCTTCAACTCACTGCCGTTATCGCAGTCAATAATGTTGAAGCGTGCCGGGAGCGAAACCAGAGTAGTTGGCTGAAATAGTAAGGCACCCAATATGAAAGTATGGCGAGATGCGAAGCATGCAACTGACAGTTCCAGTGTTTCCATCTGGGCCTTCGTCTACCAGAACGTGGGAGGTGCCTGCATAGTCACTATCTGGTGGCTAGTCCTCCATCGTGTCTCAGGTCCCAAATCGTACTTCCAAAGCGGACGCACAGTTCCATTGCGTTATGCACGCGTGATTCTTCCTGGCATCTTACTACTCTACGTTGTACCCACGGTCGCATTATTCGTTCCTGGCCAAAGTTTAAACACGATGCAGAACCTCATCGCATTCTGGCAGTTCGCACCCATCTTCGCCAATATTCCGCTGTGGATCGCTTTTTTCTCCGGCTCCTCTACTGCCGTTACTGCAAAGAACAAGAATGCGGATGTCCGAAGTCTAAAGATTCTTTACGCTTTTGTTTTCGCTGTGTGTGTAGTAGCGCATTGGTACACCATCCGTGGTATATCTCTATCCGACAACCCCGATGTGACCTACGCTCGCGTCTTCATCCCTAGTACCTACACATGGAAGAAGGGTATTGACTGGGGCTTACTGTTCATCTTCCAGTGGGATTGGATCATCATTGGATCAATGTGCATCATCCCGTCTTGGGTCGCTGTATGCGATGTACAACGGATGAGGAATGGAGAAGCCACGCTCGAAAACATCTTTGAAAGCTTCCTTGTTGTTATAGCCGTGACAGTCATGGGTGGCCCTGGTGCGGCGCTGGCTGCAGTCTGGTTTTGGCGAGAGGGCAAGATGGCGGAAATTGAAGGTGCATCAGGCGTGAAGAAGGTGCAGTAGACGTTGAGATCGAAAGTACGTTCTGATTACATGCTATTAGCCAGAACATACGCGCGTGGAAGATTAGCCACAGAGAGCAGAATGAACATGAAGCCTATGGCTAATGACTGTTCAAGTTAGCACCTCAAAATTCTTACACGACCTACGTCGACATCAACTGATCTTCTCATATTGCATCTCTTACTACGTTGTTCACATTGCTGCTTTTCTTTCCTTCCAACACGGCCGTTCTCGTCATCATCATTAACGCTCTGTTCACCTAAGCTGATCGCAGGTACCCCTGATTCTAAGACGCTCCAGTTAACAGCTGTGTCATATTGTACTTCGTAGTGCAAACTGCCTGGTTTCCATGCCACGCTTATCACTATATCCGCAACTGTCACCCCCCTGGTGTGTACTCTGTCTCTATCTTGTGAAGCATGAGTGCTTGCTCGTGAGCTGATGTCAGCCGTTACGTCGCCTGCATCGGAGTCCGGATATTCTCAGTGCTGGACACACTGACGTGATCCGGGTACAGATTTTCAAGGTCGTACCAACAGCGTAGCATACCTTTCCCTCACATCTCTCAATAGTGGTGACTCCAACACCTTCTCCCAGTCCTCTTTCAGAACGTTCTCCAAAGTAGCAACGCCCACATCGACAAGTATCTTCGTCTCTTCCTCGTTTGACCATGTAACCATAGTAGGCCAGAATGCAATGTGAACTGCCCAGTGCACCACCACCCTCGTTAACCACGCTTTACCAAGCGCCTCTGTATGCTCCCGAGCCACAACATAGGCGTGCAAGAACGCGCTGAGCAAACCTCTACCACCTCTAAAGCGATCAAGAAGGAATGCTTCGGCAGCGAACTGACCAACATCGGTTGCGCTGGTGCCGCGGCGCACCAGTTCCCAGTCTACGACCGTTAAATCGACCGGCTGCTGCTCAACGTCCCGCACGAGAACATTGCCAGGCCAAAAGTCGCCGTGGCAGATGCACTCATTATCTGTTGCAATTAGACTCCCGAATCTTTCGTTGATAAGGTCGGCTAACTGGGGATCGTAACCAAATTGCGTCAGGGCGGTGTGCAGGCCGTTGTAGGGATACCGATAAATGTTAACCGCAATGGGGTTATTGTTGATGCCTCGATCCTCGTCCGGTGAAGCGAGGGAGATGTTCTTCGCGAATACGTGCAATGCAACGAGCCATCTTCCCAGCTGCTCTCCGATGTGTGGTATATCGAGCTTTAGGTCGATGTAAGCGTCCTTCAGATTACGACTACCGCCATCCTCAATTTCGAGTAGCTTGTTCGTCTTATCGTAGCTCAACAGTTGCACTGCGTGTACGTTCGATTTAGGAGGAGTTGCGGGCAGGGGGCTCTCGGTGGAGGATAGGGCCTCTAAAATCCGGGCTTCGTAATCCATACGCGTGGGATCGAGTGCAAAGTCTTTGTTGCTGTGCAGATAGGGCTCTGCATGTTTCAAGATGCGCGTTGAGCCATCATGTTTTGTGATACGGTAGACATAGTTTGCACTGCCTCCTGAGAGAAGCTGTACGCTGGTTGGTGCGGATTGATGCGCCTCAAGATATTCTTGAAGGCCTTGCTCATTTGTAAGATCGTATGAAGACATCCTAGTAAGGAACTGTTAGAGACGAGTCCACTACATCCCCTTTTGTATACAATTGCCTTATCATGTTTTTCATTCCCGACTCATTACAGAGACATTGATTGGTGAAATTGTACGCAGTAGTGACATGATTCAATATGAGTCATTTGCCAAGAGTTGAGCAGTGAAGAGCTACTGCCCCCGATGGACGAAAGCGGGGCTTCGCGAGCTAGGCCGAGCGTAGGATAACTCTATTCGCTTCCACCCCCCGGGTCAGCCCCCCGAGGCATCCATCCTACCCCGCTCTAGACAATGCCTCCATCAAATCTGCGTCTGTCAATACTGCAAGAGTGCATGTAGAAGAGAATCAGTTGTCTCATATTGTACGGAATAGATTGCATCTTTATTAAACTTTCGACTGCTACCCCTTCGCTGCGCTTTCCTGGGTCATGTACCGTCCTCCAGTCAATAGGCATTGATGCGACACGAACACGCTTCTGCAGCCGCGATAGATTCGCTATACCCCATGCGACTATCGAACAGTCAGATCCACCTCTTACCTATACTACCGTCTGAGTTCTCAGAGTCACCAGTCTCGTGTGAGCTTCGGCACAGTATGGAATTGACAACATTCCCGCATACGAAGCGCTCTCTTACTGCTGGGGTGACTTAACTGAACGATGTGAGGTAGTGTGTAACGGTATAGCACATTTGGTCACGGCGAGCCTCCGGGATGCGCTTGTCAGGTTGCGGCTGAAGAACGGGGTCAGGGTTGTCTGGGCAGATGCACTTTGCATTGATCAGTCTGGTGACGAGGAGAAGAGCTCGCAAGTACGCCGCATGAATTCCATCTTTTATCGCGCCAGATGCGTCGTTATCTGGCTTGGTCGCGTCGAGATTGAGCACGCCATGGGTGTCAAACGTCTTTTCGAATCCTTGGAGTACATAAGTGGAAATCCGGAGCACTACGATGCTCATTGGCGTATCTCAGATGTAGCTGCAAGCTGCGGCGGCTCGATACCATGGCATGCGCTTGATCTTTTCTTCTCACTCAGCTGAAAAGCGAGCATCTGAGAGAATATAAGGCCGATTCGACAGTTTGAAATGTAAAGGTACAAAAATTGGTCGCTCATGATCAGTAAGGTAGTAGAGAGATAACGTTGAGATCGACTAGATTTGCGTCTCGCCTTTTCCTCCACTACTAGCAACACTCATTGAACATTATTGCAACCCGCCATTACTACGCTATATCCCGAGGCCCACTAGCACCATCAACCTCACTAATGCTTTCGCAAATACAAAACCACCCATCCCAACAACCTATACACAGCAACAATGACCAACAAATACCCCACATACTTCCCTGTGTTTCCCGTCCCAAACCCGTAAACCCCTAAAACCGCCTTCCCATCCACCAAACATTGATACTGCAACGCACTGGGATACATACACTGGCAACCCCCGCCCTCAAGCCTCTCACAAGCAAAATTCCTCTTCCCAAACTCATTAACCATCATCCCCCTGAAAACGTACGCCTGATAATCGATATAATGAAAAACATACCTCCAAAAGACATTGAGTGTATCAGGCTGCACCATGAACCCATTGACACACATCCAAAGGCCATTGGCAAACGCCGTCGCTGCAAGCGCAACAACAAAGATAGGTATGAGACTCGAAAGCAACACGACCAAAGACTCGGCAGCTAGCAGGTCCAGGAACAACCAAAGCACCCATATCCAAAACCCCTCAGCACTCGGTCTGAACCCACCCAACCAATAGCTCACTACGCTAAACAAAATCGTAATGAGGAAAAGGTACGGAACTCCCACAACGAAATTGGCCAGCATGAAAGCCGTGGGGCCATAAAGGCCATTCGCGCGTTCCTTTTGGTAGATGGCGAGGTCCTCGAGGTATGCTGGAATGTACGCTACGGCCATGAAGGACATGAAGGCGCCACCGAAGAAGATGGCGTTTGTAAAGGCCTGGATGTTGGATTGCGTGGGAGAGAGACGGAGCCAGACTGTGCCCATCATTATGGCCAGACCGAGGTACATGGCTATTCGGATGCCGTAAGCGACGATGTCCCGGTAAGATTTTATAAAGGAGCGGTGGATCAGGGGCCAGAGGGTTGAGAGGGGGGAGGCATGGGTGCTGGAGGAGGGGGCTGAAAGAGAAGATGGGATATGGGAGGTTGGAGCTGTGACAGCGGTTACGCGGAGATTTTCCGAGAGTGTTGCTGCGGCGGGGGATGTGGCCCAGGAAGTATGGAGGTGGGTAAGCCTTTGCGATGCGATGTTGCTGTCTTGGGAGAAATCGGTGTTGATGAGGTCGATGACGAATTCAGCTGGATTGGTGTATAGCGGCATCTATCGACAATCGTGTTAGCCGTCATTTTCTCTGCAACACAGCAGGATTGAGACTCACTTCATACCCCAATCCCTCAAACCACCCCTGCACACCCTTTACCTCCCCATTATAAACGCACTTTCCCCTGCTCAATAGCATGAGTTTGTCAAACAAGCCAAACGTCGCTGTACTTGGCTGATGAATCGACGCAATCACTAAGATCCTATACTTTTTCGCAATATCCCGGACAAATTTGATGACTTCGTAGCTAGCCGCCGAATCTAATCCACTGGTTGGTTCGTCGAGGAACAACAGTTTTGGGGACGTAATGAGTTGGCTGGCAACGCTGACTCGTCTCTTCTGCCCGCCAGACACGCCTTTGCGGATCGGTGTGCCGATTAGAGTATCAGCTTGGGCGGTGAGACCGAAGGAGGCGAGGAGGGAAGTGATCAGGGCTTTGCGGGATGATGCGGGTATCGAACTTGGGAGTGCCAGTTGAGCAGCAAAGTAGAGTGTTTCGCGGACAGTGAGCGAGCCGATTAGCGCATCTTCTTGCTCGACGTAGGAACTTAATTTGCGGAATGCAGCTAGTGTTGTTGGGGCGCCATTTATGCGGAGGGTCTGTTGGATGGTGGCCTTGGGTATTGCGGCGCGGTGGGCGAGGATGTTGAGAAGGGTTGTCTTTCCGGAGCCGCTGGATGTTCTCCGTTAGATGTATGTACGTAGCCTGGGTGAGGATGCTATGAACGTACCTTGGGCCCATCAAGGCCATCATTTCGCCTGCTTCAACCATACCACTCACATTGGATAGGAGATCGATCGGTTGTTGGGATGTTCTATCCTTGACTGTGACAGTGACATCTGCCCAACCAAAGCTCTTCACTTCATCGTTGTTCAGATGCGCATAGTCCGAGCCTACTCTGCCCTTCTCAACATCTTCCGCGGTGCTGGAAGATGACATAGTTGAGCAATCGAGAGTCTCACCAATACCACCAATACGATTAGTGGCGTTATATATGCTACGGAATCAAAGTAGCCTGACTACGAAGGAGTAAGCAAGAATAGTGGTATGTTTCAAGTAGTGCAATTAAGAGAGAACAAGGCAGTATGAGGGTAGAAACGACAATATAATCCACACCTTTTGACAAACTGCCTGTTTATGAAGGTGTTTGATGCGAGATGAGATGGAAAACTTCAAGATCGGATAAACATGGCCATAAAATGAGCAAGAGGAAGGGAGTCAGAAACCCTATAAACCTCGTAAACCCACCACCGTCTCACTCCCCAAGCACTCAAAACATATAGATCCCGATGATACGCAACAAATGGTAGTCCCCGACGGTCCGAAGTCGCTGTCATCGGCGACGATAGTCACCGTAAGTGGTGGCCTAATTCTCAGATCCAAGCGGTTGGAAACCTGCGCCGAGATTATCGTAGCCTGCGAAGCCCAAATGGAGAAAAGGTAAGCATCCCAGACTAATCGGCTACGTCCGTGGTGGTGTTCAACCAACAGCGCTCATTTCACCATGTTCCAAGGTGCCACTCAATACAGAGCTTGGCACCGAGCTGCTGGAGGCTGACGTGCAGCTTACTTCTCCGTTATTGGTTGTCGTATGCATGTGGAGTGCTCCATTCGGGTAACGTTACTTGATACCCGTCCCGTCGTCTGTTCCAGGATATTGCCATGTAATATGCATGGCATCACACCCACATCTACTTGCGTACAATCAGTGCGACCCAACGACCCACCGTTGCAGCTTCTTACAAGACAGCATGGTGCGTACACGTGGCCATCCTGATAAAGTAGCGGTGGAGAAATTCCAGATCAACCATCGTGTCATATCGTAACAGCGTATCCGAGGTGCAGCTGAAGCCCTTCCCGGCGAGCTGGCTGAGTGGCTTGTATCTCCACCCCTGTCATCTTCGGCGACGTTGAGCCGCACGGACGCCACCTGGTGCAACGTCGCCGTCTGTTCACGAGGCTGAAGATACGCCATCTTGGCTATGCTGCGGAACGGAAGAAACCAGCAGATCATAGGTGCTTTCAGCGGCTGGGGTGGGATCAAATTTATTCCGCCTACTCAACAATAAGATACTACTTCAATTGCACTTTCCTCCCTACCAAAACTAGCAACCGAAGCCTCCGCTCAGGGCAAGTAAGAACATCCTAATACATAAATTCACTAATCTCCAACAATTGCGCATCTAGCGCCCTCTTCGCCTGCACACTAGCCTCCCTATTCTGATCATTAAGCCTCTCTTCATACGTCATCTGCAACAACTTCTTCACTTCCTGCTCCCCAAACATATCCCCCTGGACACCGAAGCCCCTGCCATACTCTTTAGCTCTTGTGACGATCGTATCTGGGCCTGCGGTGAAGAGATCAAAGAAGAGGGCTGCGTAGGGTAATGTAGCACCGTCTTCGATGTTCTTGAGGTTTTGCTGGAGGACAAGGATGTTGAGTTGCATTAATGCGCAGCCGTTGGTGTTCATGCGGGTTATCTTGGAGGTGCAGAGATTGAGGAGGTATGTGTCCATCAAGGTCGCTAGGCCGCGTGTTATGTGCATGTAGGACGCGGTTGGGATGTAGGTTGATACTTCGGTGTCGAAGGAGACAAGTGTGGCGTTAAGGGCGAGGATGGCAGGGTCGGGGTCGCTGAGTAGAGTGTCGATGTAGACGTTCGGTTGTGTGCTCGCGTTGAGCGAATGCAAGATCGTGGATCGGATTGAGAGGTGCAGCGTGCGTAGAACGCGGGTGCTGAGAGAATGGTAGGTTTGTACAACTGCATCGAATATACTGTAGATTGATCAGTAAAAAGGAGTTCTTCCGAATGTCAGGAGTACTCACGCAGCTGTGTCTGCGCTTAATGGGAGATAAACCCGAGCGCTTTGTGGCCTGGGGTCGGAGGAGGAGAGCTGGGTCCAACGTCTGTTATGCCTCTGGCCGTTCGATTCCGCATTAATCGGGTCAGACGCACGATCACTGATATGTCGTAATTGGGCGGCCTTGGTGGCCAGCCACTTCATGCTTGTGTACAGCAAACAAAGGCTGACGATACTCTTCTTGTCCTGTATCATATCCGCTTGATCCAGGGGCTCGTCAGCTTCCACTGCTTCGATCAGAAGAGCGACCTCGTTCTCGATGGCTTTGTTCAACTCCTCGTGATCCAATGGATCTATTCGCACCAGGCGGGCAATGAGTTCTTCCATTGCTTCAGACTCTGCCCATACGGCAGGTGCTTTCATAAGACGGCCGCTTGCTGTAGGCTGTGATCGGCTGACGAGAGCCTTGTACCAGCCACTACACTTCTGGGCGTATGTGTCCATTTGATTGACGATAAGTTGAGAGAAAGCTTGATCGTGGGGAAGGTTGTCCAGCATCTTGCAGAAAGCAGTGATGAGCGTGAAGAATTGTGCAGTTCCCTGTTGGATCAGTATAGATAGAGCAGGTCAGGAGTGAGCAACATACCTTGAAGATGGGCTTTTTGGAGTGTCTCGACCAGTGAGGATCCTCGTTGAATGAGTCGATCTCAATGAACGTTTGAGAACATAACTCGATGAGGGTCTCATCTAGCTGTGGGTGGAAGACGTTGACTAAGAAGTCGTCTAAGAACGAAGTCAAAGTACTCATGCTGATATCAGCATTTGATGGCACGACCTCCTTCAACCGATTCAAAAAGTCTAGTGATGGGGGTAACAGAATGCCCATGTTGAAGACACTGGGCTCAACTAGCAGTTTGTGTCCAGTCGCACTGCCGTCAAGGTTGGTGGTTGTGTTAGTGTTGACATCCTCTGGTCGCTTTGAGTCGGACACGAGTCCAGGCACTGATGTCTTGAGGATGACCTCTAGATCCTCTCGCTCTTTGGAAAGCTCGGCCGCTTTGGTATCCACGTCGGATAGCTTGAACATGCGCTTGTTTCGGTCGCGAGGAGCGCGCGAGAATGCACTGCCAGTGGACGTCTGACCTTGGCCGCCTCTATAAGACGCTTCGCCGTCCGTAGCAAGATAGTCGTGGAGAAGTGACCGCATCTAAAAAAATTGTCAGACAAGTAGCAGCTAAAATATTGCAGACTACTAACCTCACTTTGGTACAGCTTCCACAACTCTTTGAAGCCACGGGTCAATGTTGCACTTGATGCAGCTCGATTCTCTCGCCGAACGATGCCTGCCACAACGTCGTGCACAACCCGGTGGCTTTCCGCAATTGCTTCAAACCGTGCATAGAGAGTCCACATCAAGTCGTTTAGAAGAGTAGTCCGAACATCTTCGTTTTCAACTTCAGTCTTGGCTTTGCCCTTCTTCTTAGCGGAGTAGGCTCGCAGTATGCTCGGGTGCCGTTGCGCGACTTCGTTGTTAGACTTGTCTACAACCTTGAAGAGCTCGACTGGCAGCCGTTGTTCGATAGTATCTACTGCCATGTCTAGGCGGCTCATCTTGTTCAGCGCCTCGATAACCAGTCGTATGTACTGGAACGTGTCTGTCTCAGGATTATGCGTGGAATCGTCCGTCATCTGGGAGTGTAAGTAGGATACGTCATAGATAGAGGCATACATACTGGCTCGGAAGTATCGAGACCGTCTAGGAAATAGTAAAGCAACCGGCCTCTTGCATCAGTCTGGGCGCGCTGAGACAGATCGCCCTTGACTTGGTTCTGGGCGTATTCCTTCCATCTGTCCTCGCAGTAGGGCGATTTGAGGTAGAGATGACTGTGAAGTTCTTCGATCAAGATATCAGTCAACGATACTTCTTGGTTGCTAAGGTATGTGCGCAAGTCAGACAGGGCTCCAATCTTCTCCATTTCAGTCTTCCGTATCATGCGTAGCGCATCTTGTAAGATGTCTACAGCTGTCAGAAAACGCTTCTCCGATATGCGAGCCTCCAGTCTCTCAGGTACGAGCTGTAGTTTCTCAATAGTGTCGAGCATTTGTAACATCTCATCGTAGTTCTGAGAGGTAGTGGCAAACTCCTTGAGCTCTGGCTTAGCTGTAGAGAGTTGCGACTTGGCCGCGACAAGTGAGCCTTTAAGAGTTCTGACACGGTGTTGGGAGTTTTGTAGACTAGACTGAATCTGATGGAAGGTACCAATGGAGCTGTTGAAACCTTGGTGGTGTTCGTTGACGATGCCTTTCAGGGCGTTCTGTAGCTGATCGTGCGTTTGCTGGAACTGACCAGCCTGACTTGCCAGACCGAGCGAACTCGAATCCATGAGTTTTAGGGCAACTTCGATGGGAACGCATTGGTCTTTGGTCATGAATCCCCAATTTTGTTGTATGTATTGGAGCACCTCCTCGATTGCTTGGCTACCCTGTCCATTGTTTGCGTTCCTGGGCCGGCTCCCGTTCTGTCGCTCTCCGCTACGACGTTTCGCTGGGCTGCGTTCGATACTGGTAGGCCGTGTGACCTGGCGAGGGCTCTCGTCGCGCGCTGCAAAGCCGCCTCCTCCATAACCGCCGGGTCTGCGCTCTCGGTCGCTGCTAGGTCTCCTTTCCATCTCATCTTCCTGGGCAAGGCCACCGTAGCCACCAGGTCGTCGGGGTCGTTCGCGCTCATTGCTCGGTCGTGGTGCATAGTTGTTGTCTTGCTGCGCGCTCATGCCACCGTATCCACCTGGTCTTCGTGGTCGCTCACCGCTTGGCCGGTCATCGTAGTTGCTGTCACCACCCGCGTATCCATTATATCCTCCGCCAGCGTAGTTGCCGTTGCCATTGGCATAGCCTCCATTGGCTCCCGCCCGCGAGTAGCCTGGATTGCGCGACATGGTAGACTCAGATGTCGCGCAGTGTTGTGTTCCTTGTGTTCCTTATTTCCGTATTCATGGTGCGCAATGGCGAGGTTTGCGCATCATTAGGTATATGTGTGGTGCATGTGTACCGTTGCGGGGAGCTCGGGGGTGTTGGAATAGCAGGGATCACGGAAGTCGCGAATGTCAATCTAATGTAGAGGAAAGGGCCGAACATGAACTGGAAGGCACGACGTGAGGTATGCACATGTATATTGTATTATCTGGCTCTCATAGGACATGCGACATGGCATGACATGGCTCAGTCGTGTAGCTGAAAGTTGGAAACAAGTTGTTTCTACTGTTGCTGCCGTCAAGCGTCAACGTCGCGCCAAGGCTCCCATTCCGCACGTTTCGCCGTTCCGCGCTCCCTAGAAGCTCTCACTCGCGATTCTTTATCCAACCACCAACGCAGGCACGAATCAGCCTCGCGCCTTTACCTCTTTACGCCTCCCCCCTGCTATGTCGCGCTGAGACCGTCTCCGCTCCCCGATCAACCGCGAAATCATCTCCCCGATCGCGATTTCTCCACAAACATGGCTGCAGTTTACGCCAATGGCGCGAATGGCGTGAACGGCGCTGGCAGCATGTTCCCACCACCACGATACTCGGACGTGCCCAGCTCCATCACCATCTCGGTCGCCGACGATGAGGGAGGCCAGCTCGATGTCGAAATTCCCCTAGACGAGCAGATCCAGGACGACCCAACCGAGCTATGCGACATCTTGGAGGCTGAGAAGAGCGCGACATCGACGTGGGTGCAGGTCGCTGTCGCCTATGCGAAGCGCAAGAGGATAGAGACGGCTATAGATGTGCTGAGACAGGCCACTCAAGTCTTCAATCGCGCGCGCGGTGAGGACAGGCTCAGCATCCTCAACGGTCTCTGCTGGCTGTACCTGCTCAAATGTCGCGAAGCACCGCGCGTTAGGCCTCGTATGTCATCACATCAGATCCTCTATATCTTTGCAAAGGCTAACATGTACAAGAAAACGCAGATGGTGATGTCAAATTGAAAGAGTACTGGATCCAGTCGGCTACCGGCGTACTCAACGATGCCTCCCGTATCAGCCCCTCGCACCCCCCACTGTTCCTCGCTCGTGGTGTCTTATACCTCCTCAAGGCCTCACTCCAGGGCCCTGCAACTGCTGCCGGCTCTACTGTCAGCCCAGAGCGCATGGAAACTCTCAAGCAGGCCGCGAAATGCTTCGAAGACGCGCTGAGGGCATCCAACGGAAGGAACCTCATGGCCAAGATGGGCAAGGCCCGTGTTCACTACTCCATGGGCAAGTGGGCAGACGCCCTGAAGGGTTACCAGAACATCCTCGAGAGCTCTCCGGACCTCCTCGATCCAGATCCACGCATCGGTATCGGCTGCTGTTTCTGGCAACTAGGCCACAAGGACGAAGCTGCCAGCGCCTGGCAAAGATCTCTCGAGCTGAACCCAAAATCAAAGATTGCCCTGATTCTGCTTGGTATCTACAACTTCCAGCAGACCGCCAATCTTTCCACCTCTGACCCCAAGTTCGCCGCACTGATCAAGAAGGCGACTGGTGAATACATCCAACCCGCTTTGAAGATCGACAACCAGTACCCCTTGAGTTGTGCAACAGTTGGTAGCTATCTTGCTCTGAGGAGGGATCTCGCCAAGACTGAAGATGTTGCAAAGCGTGCCATCGAGCTTACCGACACCAACGCCATAGCCAGCGATGGTTGGTACCTACGAGCCAAGGTTGCGCATCAACAGGACAACACTTCACTTGCTGCAGAGTACTACCAAAAGTCCGACCAGGCTCGAGGAGGCGAGGAGCGGGGTTTCATACCAGCCAAGTTCGGACTTGCTCAGATGAACGTCCTAATGAACAACTACGACGGCGCCAAGTTCCGCCTCGAGAAGATCCTCCAGCAATCGCCTAACGTGGAAGCGCAGACACTACTTGGCACCTTGTTCGCTGAAGACGTTTTCGCCGCTCAGAACAGCAAGTCCACCGAAGACAAATCCGCAGAGTTGAAAAAGGCATTGAAATATCTCGAGAGCGTGCAGAGCGCATGGAAGGACCCAAAGAAGAAAGTCACTCCTGACCAGTCGGTACTGCTCAATCTGGCCCGACTGTACGAGACCGACCACCCTGAGAAGAGCTTGAAGTGTCTTGAAGAGGTAGAGCAGATGGAGATTGAAGCCATCCCAGAGGAAGACTACCCAGAAGGAGTTGAAGAGGGTGCCGAACTCACAGCAGCACTGCGCCAGCTCCTGCCGCCTCAACTGCTTAACAACATGGGTTGTTTCCATTTCCAGGCCGAACGCTACGTACGTGCTCAAGAACTTTTCCAGGTGGCACTCAACGCCTGTGTCAATGCAGAGAACCGCGACGATACCATCGACACAGACGCGCTCGTCACTTCCATCAGTTTCAACCTTGCCCGAACTTACGAAGCTGAGGGCCAAGCGGAGGAGGCGAAGAAGGTGTACAACAGTCTGCTTCAACGACACCCCGATTACGTCGACGCGCGCATCCGTCTTACCTACATCGCCTTGAGGGAGAACCCACAAGACGAGGGTCCTAGAGCAATGAAGGATCTCTTTAAAGAAAACGAGGATAATGTCGAGGTGCGAGCCCTGTATGGATGGTATGTCAACAAGTCGAAGAAGAAGACCTCCAACTTTGCAGCGGATGATGAGCAACGAGTCTACAAGCATACTCTGCAGAAGTCCGATAAGCATGACCGTTACTCGCTTATGGGCATGGGCAACATTCACTTAGCCATCGCGCGTGAGATGCCTCGAAGTTCAGAACAGGACAAAGAGAAGCGACGGAAGGGCTACGAGCGAGCAGTGGAGTTCTTCGACAAGGTGCTGCAACTCGACCCAAAGAACGCATATGCTGCTCAGGGTATCGCAATCGCACTGGTAGAAGATAAGAAGGATTACTCGACAGCCCTGCAAATCTTCAGCAAGGTCAGAGAAACACTCAAAGATCACAGTGTCTTTGTCAACTTGGGACACACATACTGTGAGGTCAAGCAGTATGCGAGAGCAATTGAAAACGTAAGCTTATCTACCCTGCTTCACTTTGGTATGATATACTAACACATTATAGTACGAAGCAGCCCTGTCTAGAAACAGGCACAATGACCCAAAGATTCTGGCTTGTCTAGGACGAACTTGGTATCTCCGAGCCAAACACGAACGCAGCATTGCCGCATACCGAACAGCTCTCGACTACTCAAAGCAAGCCCTCAAGGCCGCTCCCGCAGACCTCAACTCTCAGTTCAACGTCGCTTACATCCAATTCCTGATCGCCACCGAGATCAACAAGCTTCCAGAGACGCAGCGCACGCTCGAGGAAGTTGACGAGGCTGCGACAGGTTTGACCGAGGCGATCGAAGCACTTGACAAGCTTGCTAAGGAGGAGGCACCACCTTTCCCACGTGCAGACATTACCATGCGTGCAGACATGGGTCGCAACACCATGGTAAAGCAGCTCGAGCGCTCTCGCGAGAAGCAGGCATCATTCGAGGGTGAGAACGCGACCAAGCTCGACCAAGCGCGCCGCATTCGCGAAGCTGAAGTACGTCGCCGTGAGGAAGAGAAGGCACGCGCGGAGGCAGAAGCTCTGGAGAAGAAGCGCAAGTACGCCGAAGAGCAACAGCGCCTCCTCCAGCGCGACCGCGAACTTATGGAGAAGCGTAACGAAGAAGAGCGTAGACGCATGGAAGAGGATGAGGACAAGGAAGTCCGCAAGGCAGAGCGGAAGGCGCGTGGGCCTAAGGGCCCGAAGCGGAAGAAGAAGAACGCGGACTCTGATACCGACGATGGCTTGCCCTCTGACGACGATGAGCCGCGCTCAAGGCGTAGGAGGACCACGGCTAGCGGCACCGAAGACCTATCCGACGAGGAGCGACCCCGTGAGAAGAAGAAGAGGAAGCTGGCTCGCAAGAGCGAACCCGCCGGTAAATACAAGTCCGCAGAGTTCATCGATGATGAGAGCGACGAAGAGGCTGCCGCGCCCACCGGAGATGCGGACAAGGCTGATGCAGCGGCGGGCAGCGACGATGAAGGCGCTGCTGCTGCGGCTCCCCGTCCTCGCAAAGCTCGTGTCGTCGACGACGAAGACGAAGATGACGACGCCATCGCTGCGCCGAAAGCTAACGGTGACGTCGCCATGGATGATGATGAGGATGAGTAGAACCATCGCACGTCAACTCATGGTGAAGCCCGTTAGTTTCGAAGCTCGGTGGAATGGTCGCATCCGGCGTTTGAGTTACCTTGTTTGATCTTCCGCGCTCTTATTGTTTTTCCATATCACATTCTTGCATCAGCGCTACGGCGTCTTGGGGACGGAACAGGAATCATATCATCAGCTAGTCTATTCTATAGCACCACCAAAATTTGTATACCACACGTACGGCGGAGTAGAGCTGCAAATTAAGTAAATGTACAATAGAGCTTCCTTCAAAAATTCTCTGCTTGACTTTGATTCGCCTGATTGTAATGCCATGCTGACAATAATTGATTTAAAGTGCCCATTCATCCTTGTCATCTGTCGCGCTGATAAAAGGTTCATTGACAAGTTTGACGGCAAGTTCACCACATAGCACACTAATACCACGTTAGCAATCCATCCACGAACGAAATAGAAAGGAGACTTACCAGCTACTCCCAACCAAAGCGTCCAACTCCTTAATGGCCCTCTCCCTCCCTTTCCCAACCTTAACCCCCCTCTGCACCTCCGCCTGCAACTCCGCAATCCTCTTCCCCCTCGCAATCCCTGCAAGCTCCACCACCCTCTTAGCTAGACAATCGCTATGGAACGCATGTTGGCAGGGAAACACAAAGAACTGTCTCGCCAACAACGGTAAGCCACAGACATAGCATCGCTCTCCCGGTTCCACAATCGCATATCGTTGCTCCAGGGCTTTGATATCGGATTTGATGTGTGTAGCTGTCGCTTCACTATCATCCATTTCCTGTTTCAAGCTGTCTATCTTATGACTGTAGTCTTCCAGCGCAGCACAAATCTCCTCTTTGAAATCGTCGATGACGACGAAATCGGGGAAGAAAGGAATCAAGTCTTCTATCCTGAGTAAATCCACTCTCCTTAGAAACTCAATAGCCGTCTTGATACCGCTAGATTGCGAAATGACTTTCTTGGCAATGGCGAGCCAGAGTTTCTTGCGGAGAGGAGGGGATGTGTTGGAGCGGTCGGCGACGGTAGAGGCAAGGTCTACTTCGTCGTATTTCAGGGCGAGGTCGACGGCTTGCACGTATTGTTGCATAGAGCTGTAGATGTGAACGCAAGATTGGACGCGTTTGTGTTGGATGCAGAGGCGGAGGGCGAAGTCGGCGTCGTAGTTTTGTTCGTGGGCAAGGGATTGACCTTCGAGGTAGGCGAGAAGGGCGGATTCATCGGGAGTGGGATGTGAGGCGTAGATGGAGATGAGGGTGTTGTGGATGGCGGCGTCGGTGGAGTTGTGTTGGTTGATTTCGAAGAGGAGGTAGCGGACTGCTTGATTTTGGTTCAAGGACGCTTTGGTGTGGTTGTTGTAGTTGAGGAAAGCTGGGATGAGCTTCTGTGCGTCGAATGTGGAGTGGCGCATCATGATGTCGACCAGCTCGACTGGCACGTGTGCCATGAGTACGGAGCTGTACTTGTAGAAGATCTCTGGATCTGTCTGCTTCTTAAGGACGTCCAGAGACTCTTGCCACCGCTCGCGTTGCACCCAGTACGACAGTACGTAGTTGTAGTCATTTACCACAGTAGCGAAGTAGAGCAATTCCTCCTCGCGACCGTGGCTACTGATAATCTCGTAGACCGTCTTACGGTCCAATTCAGCCTTGTACTTTGCTACGAAGTCTTGGTATTCTTTCCTGATGACCGATAGTTGATCGTGAGTTTCAGCGGTATTCATGCTCTCTGATAGCTCGGCCTTTGTGGTGATGGTGTCATCGAGAGTGTTGAGCTTAGCCATGTAGAGCTCAATCAACCAGGTAGCGACCATGGTCCTCTGCATGATTGATGACTTCTTCAGCGTGGAAAGCTTCGTCACCAAGTACTTCCGTAGCGCGTCCTGCTCGCCGTTGTCGATGAACGTCAGTGCAACTTGCTCAAAGGGTTTTGTGCTTCGACCATAGATCGTCGCAGCCTCCATCCACTGGCTCTTCCCAACGAGGTAGTCACCAGATGCCGTTGCCACTGCATCCTTCTGGGCTGGTGTTTTGGCATATTGTGAAGCCGCCTCAAACTGTTGTGCTTTCAGCATGATCTTCCAGACATCCCGACTCTCGTCTGTCACAACTATTTCGAAGATTTCCTGGGTTGTAAAGAGCCAGTAGGTGTTCTTCTTCAGGTCAGCTACCAAACCAAGCGCACTTTGCCCAGGTTCCAGCACAACCTGGTCAAGGACGACTGTGTCGTCGAGACGATTGATGGCTACGATCCTGCCCTCAACTAGCTGAAGAATATGCCACTGGCTCAGTATCATCGAACTGACTGCGTCCTGTGTTCGTCGTGTGCGTCCGCTAGCCGTTTGTGAAGGCGGCACCTGAGATCTAGGCAGCATCTTTGAGTCTCCAAGAACCTTGCTGCCAAGCTCAGAAGTATCCTGCGATAGGTACAGCTTGCCGTGTAATACGCCTTGTGATGTGAGCCAACCAAAAATCCTCTCCATATTTGATTCCTCGCGATTTAAGTTCTCGTGGTTTTCTGGAGAGACAGATAGTAGCGAGGTTGCTGTGGAGGCCACATTGGACACCTCATGAACTGTCGCTGATTCGCTCTCGAACAACTTTGAGAATATAGACCCGCTTCCTTCAGATCCTTGACGTCCGACTTTGCCTGCGAAATGGAGGAAGGTCGAAGGTGTCGCAACAATGATGCGCCGCAGATCTGTTCTTCCTGGCACCATATCTGTCCATAGCCCTGTAATGGGACCATCATTTGTCCTATACACACTCTTTAGGTACCTTTCTTCCCTTCTATAGAATTCGGATGATGGTTCAATGTATACTTCGTAAACATTACCGTCTGACGCGCCCACAAGTATCTCGCGAGTCGACGCAGTAGGTTGAGAGGGATTCCACGATATGCTCTCTATGACAACACCCTTTAACCGTGATAGCGCCTTTGGTGTCCGTGATTGTGTGTGGAGGTAGTAGTTTTCGGCGAGGGTAGTGGTTACGATGAGATGAGATGCGGAGGGGTCGAGGAAGAGACGCCTGATGACGCCGACCTCTGACGGCTTCTTCGGTAGGTCGATATCTTGAGATATGTAAGCAGCTGTTCATGTTCTTCTTTGGATATTCGAATCTGCTCTACGAACCGTCTATATCTGCGGGACTATCCAGATCTATGCGCAGAATGCGCCCAGTCGACAGGGCCAGTACCACCACATTGTTCGCCACGGCAGCAGCCACAAAGTCGGAGGAAATGTTGAACTGTAATGTTACGCGCTCTATATTGAACATGGGTCCTGACGCATCCTCTTGCATGTTGCTTGTGCTGGGCGGTGCATACCCGCTCGAGGTATCGTAAGCCATGTCGGGCTTCGTGTTCAGCTCTCCGCTATCGTGGGTTCCTGCTCATTATTTGCGCGACAATCCACAGCCCCAGTACTCTATCTCACTGTGCTGATGAGTTCCGCTACAGCTATGAGCGCATCTGGTTGTCGGTGACGCCTAAGCTTGGAGCTTGGACTTCGGCGATGGAGCGGAGATAAGCCGGCTTTGGCGCAACATCATGTGAATTCGCGTTCTCCACAAACGACTGGCTAGGGTTTGCTCAGACCCGACTCAAACTTTACCTACAACTTCTCCATATGAAGAACTTCATCAATCCATAGCCTGCTGCAGTACAGTAAATATACAAGGAGTTTCGTTTCTTGCTGATAAAAAGAAAGCATTTTCAGTTTAACTCGTCGTAGTACTATTCCATAGTGCGCACCACTAGGGGGTTGATAGGGACAGGATAGGCTATTATAGTGCTTCCATCGAAACTTTGGCTGTCAAACGCCTACCGTTATTAAGATCCTAACACGGAGTGAAAGGTGTCAAATACAACGGAAGGAGCTGCGAAAATGTCAGAGAAGCTGAGGGATGCTATTCCCGTCTTCTGCACCGCCAGTATCCCGAAACGAGTAAGCCGATTAGCTTTCGTGCAATGAGTCTTACGCACATTCTCAGGATCGCGAGTTTGACTGGTAAACAGATTCTAGAAAATTATCACGTTGAGCCATGGAGTGCCGGGGTTTAGTGGTGACGAAGGGCCGGGTATGCGAAGCGGAGGAGCCGTCATCAGGTCATGGACCTCTACCCACGGAAGCATTCGCTAACAAATCGCATAGCCGTGCTCATAGACACACAAGTCATACCTCGGTTTACCAGTTATACCTCCGCACCTCCTTCCGAGGACTCCTCAACACCATGCCTAGATTGAAGCGCGGAAGACCTCATCGGATGGACAGAGCAGCACTCAAATCGCTGGAGGGATGGCATCGCCTCTTACGAGCTTTTCATCCTAGATCAGCAGACTTTGAAGGACAAGATCTGCCTCTTGGTGACAGTAAAAGATGGTGAACTCTCACGTGACCCAAGAAATCTGCTCGTATCGTGTTCAGATGGGATTTCAAGTCCTCCTTGGCCACACTCAGCGTCAAGGTTCAATTTTGTGGCGGTGATGGTCATTTTGAGACAACTGCGACGGATGGGGTCATCCGATATTACGACGATTAGGTCGACGCGATCTTAGTATCCTAGCCATGCTGGATCCTGGTGTATTCCATCCTCACAATTTCGGCTCGACAGGTCCCGAAGAATGCTCACTCACTCGAAATCCCTACCGATACCCAATTCCAACATCCCGGTTAGTACCACGGTTTTTCAGAATTGCATCGGCAATTCGCGCCTTGCTTTCGTCATCGGTTCCATCCCTCTAACCCATGTGTCAGTATATATCCCCCATTTCATCGTCTTAAGATAACCTAACCTGCGAATCACCGTTCGAAACTCTTCCTGCTCCATGTCAATGAAAGAAGTGATGTTCCGAGGACATCCTATCCATGGCCACTGATCAAGATGTGCAGCGCTCATCCCTTGATACACCTTGATCTTGCTAAAACCCTTAGAGCACAAACGATAAATGTGTGGTGTAACTAACGCTAACATGCCTAGCAAGCGCGAATACAGAGCATCGCTGCTCCTTGGCCAACACGTATTTTCTAGGTTCAATTGGAAGACAATGATGGTGTTCTTGTTGGATAGCGTAGACAGATGTTCCATACTGGCCTCCAAGGAATCAGTAGAGACAATCCACGGTACAGGATTAAGATTATCTCTCTCGCCACTGTCTCGCCTGTGTACTGGCCGGATCTCCATACGTCACCACGCACGGCAGGGTCCTTAGACATAGGGGTTGGGCTTCCAAGACACGCTTTCCGCGAGCCATGACTTGGTCATAGACCATGTCTCTCAGCTCACGAGGGAGGGCTGCATGGAATGCGAAGCAGAATGTGATTTGAGATTGACGATGCCGCTTGTAAACTTAATTAGGCGTTCTTCGCGGGCTTTTCCGTGACGGTTCAATGATCCATACGTCTTTACAATCAGTGCGCGTAACGTATTTGACTACATCATGCCTCTCATCCAATTTGCGTCGCGGATACGTTCTTGCTACACTCAGTGATCTATGATTACACTTAAGACGTAGACCGAATAACATACAGCTCCTACAGTATTGCATGCGAATGACCAAGGTTACCACACTCCATCGTGATGACTGAGAAGTGGAAGATACTGTTGCAATTCATGAGGCAGTTTGCAGTTCTGCCCAGAGCGGAATATTGGGTTTGATATTCGTGATACCTACGGATTTGAGTGCCTTTTATCCTCGAAAGCAGGCAAGTAATTACGGCGGAATCATGAACACGTAGGTAACAACACACGAAGGAACACCTCGGCGCTAGTGCAGGCATTTGTTGGCCAACTGATATGAACCTTGATGATTCAACTTAAGTACGCATATGAAGACTCGCTTGTGAACCGCGTTAACATAAGTTTAGGCTCAAGTATAAAGAGAGTGTATTACTAGATGAACGCTGGTCAGGTAGAGCAGAGATCTGATGGTAGCCATTTAAGCCTGGTAAGGTAATAAGTTATGTTATCTAAGGCTGCATGCTATACGTCCCGCTGCACTAACCCTTGCCCATTTCGTTGGACGTGGGAAGCAGCAGCAAGTAATTCGATGCACCATACTAGGGTCGCATCGTATTTGGAAACGAGTGTTCTGAGGAGATGCAGTGCATTGCAAATCAAGTCGCGGGGTTTGGACATGGTCATGCCCTATCTGCGTCCTTCGGGTCCGTATCACAGGCTGCTTGTCCATGCCCCTCAGCGAACGAGCAATTACTATTCGTTGTTCGTCTGTTTTCACCAATTTTAAACGCTGTAATATTGGTGGCGCAGCGCCACGGACCGAGAACATGCAGAGATGAAACAAGGGTATGCATGTGCAACGAGGCTGAAGTCCAGCTGAACCTTGGGGTTCGAGAACACCCCCGCTATAGATGCCACCATTGCACTCACAATGTAGCTTTTACGTGGGCGGAAAAACTCTCTCTGTCGGACCTTAGGTCTCTATTACAACGACCCAATGGTGAATATAGCTTTCAATGTTAATGAGTCCTCACAAGACTGGACTAATGGTGATCCCTTCAGGCACGATTCGTACGATTCCAAGACCAGAACGAACCTGGCCTGTACCTCGTTCACCCTCAGAATGAAACCGCTCCTTGCGATGTCGAGTATGTCCAACTGCCAAAGGAGTTTTCTGTCGCTCCAACCTTCCCGATCCCACGAGAGAAGTCGTAGCTAATATGGGCGAATCTAAAGGATAATATTCGTCCATGGTCTTATGGGAAAACCAACCAAGACATGGCAACATCCAGAAACTGGTTGCGTATTCTTTCGAGATCTCTTGCCACAACAGATGCGCGAGCAATTACCTGAGGGAAGAGCTCGAATATGGTCATACGGATATCCCGCCGACGTAGGCTTTCAAACATCACAAATCTACGACTTTGCTCTTTCCCTTTTACAGGAGGTTAGAGATATACAGAATGGGTGTGAAGGAAGACGGATTATTTGGGTCTGCCATTCGTTAGGTGGTATAATCGTGAAGCGGGCCCTGAATGAAGCGTGCGGTCAAAGTCAATATGTCAACATCTTCAGAGCTACCATCGGTATTACATTTCTAGGAACGCCCCATCAAGGATCCGGAACAGCAACAATTGGTCAAATCGCTGCTGGCATCGCAGGAGCCTTCGTACCGGGAGCACAGATACTGAATCGTGGGCTGCTCAGGAATCTAGAACGGAATAGCACGACTCTTTTTGAAACTTCAAATCGGTTTGCTTCGATTTGTTCCAAGTTCCAGATATACACCTTTTATGAGTCGCGACCGCTCATGGGAACCCGTGTGGTAGGTCCACTTATTTTTCTTCCTTATCACGTTGAGGATTTGTTTACCATAACACATGCGAAAGTGGATGTCCCCGCAACACAAGTATGCAGATCACCAAAAAGCGCTTCTGTTGACTGGGATCGGTTTCTTGAGTTCAAGGAATCCATGATCAGTTCGGAAGTGTGCGATGGTCCTTTCGGAGGCATGACGGCAAACCGAACTGCATTGCGTTGCATGTTACTTGTGCCTTGCCCTACTTTCTCAAGCTGATTATCTTCGCAGGTTGTCACGCGATCCTCCGCCGTACTTAATCTTCCAAATGAGACTGCCAGAGAGCTTAATGCAACCCATCAAAGCATATGCAGGTTCAAAGATCGAAGCGATTCGAATTGGCGTCCTGTTTTGAACAGTATCTTGGGCATGGTGACGATGACCGTCAGATCAAGTCGTGGGCCTGGTTTGTTCTACACCTCAAGAGGGATTGAGTCCTCAGCTGACTCTGAAAGTGCCGTCCCGAATTCCCCCGCTTTCGGGGGTTGGAAACCAAAGACAACCACAACCTCCATATCCACGGAGCTCTGTGTTCCAGCAACATCAACACAACTCAATTCCAGGAAGCGGGTTTGCCCCGACACCAAATCCTCAGCCTCCAGCTTTTCAGTTCCATCCATCGCAAGCCCCGGCTTCATACACAGACCAGTATCATGGACAGTACGCAGGATCGACCATTGAATGGACCGCAGAATTGCCGGAAATGACACGCAGACCGGTACCTTCACCTAGCCCTTCCGTACAATCCAACCCGCCCCGTCCGCCAAAAGTACCATTACCCGGAGGCCCTTCAGACTTGCCAGCTCCAAACAGCTCCCGTAGCTCTGTAAACTCTGCGCCAGCAATATTTCAGTCACATACAACTGTCGGTCAGGAGCATCGTGAGAGACGGCCTTACTCATCCTTCAACATTAGCCATGCGAGAGAAGCTGTCTCACCAGTTCCGTTCATATCAAGCTCAACTTCTGTCCCACAGCCCGCTCCTCCAGCCACTCAAAGTTCAACCCCCCAGCCTATTCCTCCGGTCAATCATATTCCAAATCTACAGCCTACTCCCCCGGCTAGTAGTACTCCAGCGCCCTCATCAAGTTCTGCCCCCTCATCAGCGCCACAGAACGAAGCAGAAGAGGTTCCCGCGAACACTGAAGTAGTAGCTATGTGCGACGCCTGCTTGAACAACATCTATTGCTCCCAGAGCCGTTTCCAGTGTACGGAGTGTTACGACTACGACTTATGTTTATCCTGTTTCCAGATTGGTCGAGTATCCAAGTCCCATAAGAGTAGCCACGCTGTGCGCCACATTCTGAAGACTGAGGTGCTCAAACAAGATGACTTCATACCCCCACACGACGACGTTAATCCCGAGAAAAGCGTGGACCAAGTGAAAACTTTCATCACCTTGGAACCGGATGTCAATCGACCTGAATGTGAACTACGCTGGCATTTCCTCCATGGAACTGATAGCCATCTCCGATACCTCACAGCAACCGCCGAGCCCGGTCACTATGCTGCGCATCTTACTATTCAGACTCGCTTATCAGGCTCTCTGACTCAAGCCGGGAAAGATGTTCTGAAGCAAGAAGGACTAGGGTATCTTCGCATTGGGCTTGGTACCTTGAGAAATAAGAAACAGTTCTTCCGATCGCGATATCATGAAGAGTCTTTTCAGTCTCTTGTATTGGAAGAAGGCCAGATAATTGACAAATTGCTCAATAACTACTGGTGGACTGTAGTCAAGCTGCCAGGAGGTGGTGGGCCTGTCGATATACATGCTGATTGCGTTTTCCCGGTAGAGACTCCTGAGGATTTGGGGCTGATCATCCAGTGGTCTGGCATCAGGGCGTTCGAAAGCGGCAATGAGGCCACCGTATCAATCAACGTTACAGATATTCGGTAAGACTGGGCCACAGTACACAAATGATTATAGCTCCATACTAACACTGCCTTGACAGCCTCTACGATATACGGGACTTCACTGAACCTTTGAAAGTGCCTCCAGAGCAGCCCCCTCCGCCGCCTCCCGCTGCGTCTACACCAGCGGCCAAAATCTCCACACCCGCTCTGCATAGTCAAGCAGAAGATGAGCCCGAAGAGGACATTACAGCGGAGGATCTTCTCTCCGCTCTCCTTCAAATCCAGCAGAGCGTCGAAGATGCACGACAACGAGCGCAGCTCGAGATGGCTATCAAACAACGGCTGAAACAGCAAGAAGAGGAAAGGCAAAGTGCAGTACTAGGCTATATGTTCGCCAAAGCCTTACAGGAGCAAGCTATATTAGAGCAAGAGCGACGGGAACAAGAGGAAGCTAGGAGATTTCTAAATTTAATGGGCTTTAACGTTTGAAATGTAAATAGTCTCGGGCGAGTCTCTGGTGCTTGAAGCCATCCTCAGGCTGATCGCTAGTGACCTTGGTTTGAGTAATCTCTTGTTCGGGAGCCGGTACCTCGACCTTCGTATCGAGCATGCTCACCGCGAATCAAAGTCCTTCATCGGTGGAGTTTACCATGATAATATCCACTCACGCGTTCCAGATCGGTGAAGACGCGTCGAGGTTGAGGTGTGTTTCAGGTTTAGCGTAGCTTTATCGCGCGGACGAGTGTGCAAATTTCAGGGTAGGATAACTGCGGAGGGAGGAAAGAAGGGCAGGAACATGGCGTAGAGCAGATGTGACTGGCATGCACACTCACTCCGCCTATGTGGACCAATTGTATCTCTCCTCTCTACTATTCAGGGTCGTAATTCCCACTATTGGATCACATCTTTTCATATGAGAATCACTCGGGTTGCAAACGCTGTCAGTGGCTCGTCAGCTATCAGGTCATGGTACAACCAATCTCACCCTCGCAAAGTCTGAATTAGCGAGAGCACGAATCTGCCGTGCGATTTACAACGTATTATGAATAAAAATATCAGTAAACTGGTACATAACAGCGCTAGGGTATCTGCTTTTTTCCGAACCTGTCCAACACTCCAAGCGCAACATGCAATACGCAACCTCACTATACCTACGCACGTTCAAAATCCCCACTTCCCCTCATCCTAAATCCCGTGCTGATCCTCTCGATCGGACTCTGCCTCTCAGCCCTATCAACACTTAACCTATCAGGCATCGTAGCCGTTCCATTCAAACCATTGGTAACCCTCACAACACCCTTCTCCGGGCTCCTTCCGGTACTGCGACTAGCGACATGAAGTAGCGAACCACCATCAGTTCTCCTTGCACTGCCGAGATAGCTTTCGATGCTACGTCTGCCGTCTGGACGGTATGCCGTACTGCGTCCGCGACTCAGAGCTTGTTCGATAGTGTGTGTGTCAAAAGGGTATTCAAAATCGGTTTTCTCAATACCACTGTAAGGGTCATTGGCGTCGCGTCGGATCTGCTGGCTTTGGGTCCTGCGTTTGCGGAAGCGGGTCTTGACTTCGCGGAAAAAGTCGCCAATAGCATCAAATGAAAGCGCGATAGCGATGAATGGTATGGAGATTGCGAAGCCGATGCCAAACATGTACTTGCTGACGTATGATAGAGGGAGGGAAGGCTCACCGCCTCCTGGCTGGTGGGGAAATTCTTGGATGTTGATGGTGAACATGGCTGCGATGAACGACAAAGGAAGGAAGATGATTGTGACAATGGTAAACACCATGATGGTCTGGCTTTGCCTTGCAGTACCAGCAGCCTGGTCGCGAGCGAAGCGTGCTTCGAAAGCGTTAGCATGCTTCTGCTTTAGATCGAGCAAATCAGTGATGGACTCATAGATGCGTTTGGCTTGCTTGTCCATGCGTTCGAGATCCTTGATATGAGTGTCGATCGTTTTAAGCATGTCTTTGAACCGCTTCTTGAGATCTTGCTGACTCTTGTGCTCTTCGCGATATATGTCTGTAATGCTTGTCTCCATGTCTGGCAATACATTGCGTTGGTCTTCCAGTACCTTCGTTATCATGTTGAGTTCGTCACGAATGTCCTTGGTCTCTGCCAGCAGGTCTGTTTCAGCGCCAATGTCCAGTAGTTTATCGACGAACAGCGGGGCATGAGCAGCTGTTCGATCGCTGTCATCGTACTCGAACGCTTCTTCTCGAATCGGAGGGTCAGCCAATGCGTGCGCGTGTGAGTGATGTGACGAGTGCCGACGATTGAGATGTTCCCTTTGCCTTCCCTCAGCCTCTAGGTGTCTCGAGAAGCGATTGGGCCTTCGGTGATGATGTAACCACTCAGATGCCTGAGCGGACGCAATGTTGAAGTCCTTGAAAAGCATGGTTTCCATTTCCGTAGCATCACCAATGCTCGACTCAAACATGTCAAGAAACTGATAATCTTCGTCACCAACACGATGTCTATCGAAAACACCACTACATCGGCCGGCGATGATCATCGCAAGGTCGTATACACTACGCACTGGATCTCTTGTTTTGCTGTTGATGTCTTCAATGACACCATCAAGAACGTTGAGCGGGTCATTTCGAGGCTGTTGCCATCGTTGCGGAAAAGCCGTCACTATCAGGTCTTTACCGAGTGTCCACATCCACAGTTGATCAACCATGAAGATCTTGGGGTCAACGTGTTGCGGCTCGTTCGACTTGCATTGGTACCGATAGACAACTTGATCTCGGTCTCGCGATTGCGTATCAATGTTGTGATAGAAGAATTGATCCAAAGTGCGTCGTACATGCAACGAGACTTGTGACGATGTCAAATGAGCCCTGAAAAGCATTTCGTCGTAGGTTGAAGCCCGGTAATACTGTGGCTTGAAAATGCCCCCTTCATTCTTTTCGCGTTCTTTCATCTTTTGTGTCCTTGAGATTGCAGCCTGCATTTCCTGCCGCCGTCGGTCGGTTTCAAAATGTAAGTATGGCATGAAGGCGAAGATATTGCCCTTCGCTACGGTAGTTGGATCTTTCCTTCCTGGACTGCCAGGCGACCTGAGGTGACCACTGTTGGTGAGAGAGGAGCTAGTGTGTGTGCGTTTTGCGTAGTGCTCTGGGCCCCTGGTTGGGGTGTCTGTCCCACCAGATCGTTTGCCAGCTTGCTTAGATCCGCTCCACTTCGGCGTCTTCTTGGGTTTGTCCTTTGCTTTACTTTTCCCTTCCCTGACGGTTGCGTGTCCCGAGCCTGTTCCTGCAGTCCCATCCGTTTGATCTGTATCTATGGTGTTGGTCCGTACAGGCGTACGAGGGAAGGGAGACGGAGGTAATTCTTGCGAACCAGCTATTGAATCGATGCCTAAACCCAGGCCACTATTGACCAAGATTTGTGGTATCTGATCAGCGCCGTCGGAGAGGTCTGAATCATCGTGTTGCTTCGGTGCACGCGGTGTACTCTGACACAGTGGTCGCATGAAATGTGAGTGTATCTGCTGCCCTCGATGCTGATGACTGAAGGACCGTTCAAGCGCCTTGAAACCCTCCACGTCACTGGCACCCTCTTCGATGAACGCTTTCGTGAGCAATGCCTCAATCCAGGCCATGTTGTTGGCCGGGAGATGGATCCATCGGAAGGTCGTTGCCTTTGACTCCTTGGGCAGAATCGCAACAGCCGGCTTTCTCGGATTGATAACATCACGGGCATACAGCAGCTCGTAGACAGTCCTTCTTGACACGTTGTTTTCGTTATGAAAATTGCCGAAGTCGACGATGGTAGCATGGAAACCGTTCGTAGCGCCAAGTGCATCTTCGCTAAGTGCTTCGACTTGATTGTGGGGTGCCAGAGCGTTGATGATGTCTTTGCGTGCAGAGCTCTTGCTTTGCGCAGCTCGTAAGAATGGTGTAATACCAAAATTATCTTTCGCTGCTCGTTTGACGTCTCTTCTTTCCAAGAGACATTGCACTACGTCAAAGTGACCAGCTTGTGCCGCGACATGCAAGGGTGTCATTCCAGTGAGTAATCTCGCGTTGATATCTGCTCCAGCAGCCATTAGCATCTTCAGTACCTTTACACTTCCTTGCTGGCAAGCATTATGGAGAGGTGTCCAGCTTCCATCACTCTTCGCTCCCACATCTGCGCCGTGGACAAGCAAAAGCTCGATGATGTCGTCTCGGCCATGTGCGATTGCCAAGTGTAGTGCTGTCTTTTGTCTGATTTCTATTGCGTTCACATTCGCCCTCGGTAGTCTGGCTCGTTTCAATAACATTTCGCATAGCTCCTTCTTTCCAGTACTGGCAGCCCAATGTAACGGGCTTCGCTTCTGATCGTCCTGACCCTCCGGTCCGTCAATCGCAATGTTTTGCCTCAGCAACTCGGCAATGACATCGCGACCCCAGTTGCAATGTTTGTCTGCCGCCAGGTTGTGGAGAACGTTCCGCCCAGTATTGTCCTTCTTATTGACATCGGCACCACATCTTAGCAGTTCATGCATGATATGGAAGTAGTTCTTCCAAGCAGCTGTCATGAGCGCAGTCCGTCCCTGCTTGTCTTGTGCATCCACGTTGCCCCCAAACCTCAACAGCAGTTGTACAACTCCGACATGATTCTTCTCAATCGCTTTGAAGAGAGGCGAAACCCGACCACCTGGCGCGCCATCGGGCTTCGCGCCACTCCTGAGCAAGTATTCGGTGATGTATATGTTTCCGCGCTCGGCTGCGCGCATTAAGCCTATGCGTAGGAGGTGATCGACGGGTTGCGACTTCGCTTTCGCATGCTCGATAATGGCGATCGCATCGTCGTGTTTCTTGTCCTCAATAGCCTTTAGAAGACGCGGTTCGACGCGCGCATTCTGTGCAGAGTCGGCGCCATCGCTCGATCGTGATGGTGAACGACCCATATCGGCTACATGCCCTGGCTGCGGCGGATGTTCGTTCACATGCGTGGAATGGAGTACGCCAGCGGATATTCGTTCGATTCGGGATGTGATGGTAGGTGTCTCAAATTCGACGAAGAGAATCGCGTACGTCGTCAAAAGCCATTTTCAACAGGAGGCCCCTTGTTTTTCGGTTTGCGGTCGTTGCCTTCATGGCGGTGGATGGTTACGACCCAGCCGCAGGTCTAAGTCAAGCTAAGAACATCCCCGGTCGCGACGTGCATCAGCACACGTGATGATCGGCATCTTGTGTTTCGTTATCGACATGTTCGTCAAAAGACGAGAATGCCGGTATTTACTGAAGATTCGGTGATAAAGGTGGAAGAGCCGAAGTCCAGGGTTGCTGGGTTGGATTACGTGCCTGGAGATCCGGGTATTGCGGGGACGGTACGCCAACTCACAACGCGGCGTTGACGTCGGCGCGCTATTACTGTGCTTTTTGAATGACTCGACACCGCGTTGTATGCAATTCCCATCAAATGTCACACCGGTGATTTCTTGGACGCGACTTGGAGACGCGTGCTTAGCGTGTGTTAGGCGTTTGCCAGCGGATGATGCAGGTGGTCTGCGCATCTATAAACAGCTATGAAGACCGAGGACTATAGACCGCAATCGACATCTAGAATTCAACTACCGACTTCAGCGTCTTCAACATCTACAAACCGGAAGCCGAAGAGTTCAACACTCTCCTGGCGCATCTTGGTTTTGTTCGCCAGCCTCGCTATCTACGCTATGTACAACGGCCTAGCTACTTTGCGCCCGATGGCCAACGGATTATCACGGTGTACGAACTCGATTTTCATCCCATTCATCTACAATTTCAGCCCCAAACATGTTCCACAAGTCATGTGTAGCATCGAAGGGGTCGATATCAAGATGCCTGTAGACACAGGGTCCACCGGCACGTTGATAGGAGCCCCAATACTTCCAAATGTATCGTCTACCGAGGGCAAACCAGCACACCACTTCTTCACGAGCAGCAAGATTCTCTACGTAGGTCGACTGGTGAAGCTTCCGATGGACTTCATCGGCGAGGCTGGCTCCTACGCGACCGCAAATCTGCCTGTTTTGATCGTCGACAAGAGTTGGAGATGCCCTTGGTATGATCCCAGTAAAGACCGGTTCGAATGCCCGCCAGGCCCAGACGGGGAGCGGGCCGAAGAGAGGGACACTTCGCAAATCACTTACATGGGTATTGGCTTTGGAAGAAACGGCCCGAGAGACGGCATGCCATATGCGACACCGAGCGTCAACCCGTTCTTGAACATCGACTCCATCGACGGGGAGCCGATATCAGACGAAGCTTTGCGACCTGGATATATCATATCGACTGAGGGTGTACAGATAGGGTTGACGCCGAAGAATACAAAAGCCTTTGCATTTTCGAATCTAGAACCGGGCCTGAACCATAGCGAAGATGTGAGGGATTGGGCCATGGCAAAGATGAGCTTTAGCATCGACGGTGAAGAGCAGAACCGTGGTACACTGCTGGTCGATACTGGTATAGCGCAGATGTACATCAGAGCCGAACAGGGCGTGTCGATACCGACTGTCATCGTACCCAATCCCAACCCCGATGGCCACGCAAAGATGGTGAAGCGCGTGAAGCCTGGAACCAACATCACTATTGGATTTCCGTCGCTAGACCGACCGGCAACTTCATACTCGTTTGTTGTTGGCGAGAGTTCGGCCATCCAACCCACTTATGTGTTTCCGCAGCTACCTGAACATCCTCCCTATGTCAACACTGGACGGAACTTGTTGTTCGGTTATTCGATAGCTTTCGATGCCGTGGAAGGGCGTTTCGGCTTTCGTCAGGTTGGCAACCATGCCTCTTCGTCTGTACTATAGTCTTCAATCAGAGTCATCGAGCAGACTTTGCATCGTGCGCTCAAGTCTTTCTTTCTCTGCTCCTGTCCATCTTTCCATCCATGCCAAATGTTATACCAAGTCCATCTCCTTTCCCCAGACCATCTAGTCATTTGACCGTCATGCTCCTCATTGGACTCCGGAAGCCTTCTCTGAGGTCCTTGTACTCTTCAATCGCCTTGACAACAACACCGTGCGCCTGCTCACTGTCCATGCCGACACCGACGACAACGATTGCACCAACAACGCCTTCTACGCCCTTCACAAAGACAGGGTATCCGCCACCTTCAATGGTGTATTTGGACCACTCATCTCCGCTCATAGCGTTGTGCTCGGCGAACCTCTTATAATCTCCTTCTGACTGAACACTCATGAACCATGTAGAATGTCCCCATCTTAGTACAGTATTGCGCTTCCTCTCCGACCACTTCTCATGATCGGGCATTATGCCAGGCAGACTGGGCGAGTGAAACAGCGTCTGATTCGCAGATGAGATCTGAATAAGCGCGGGGCATTCGGCGGTTCTTAACGCGTTTCGGAGGATGTTCCCAATGACCCACGCATGTTCGCACGTAAAGTGATTGAATGTAAAACTCTTTTCCTCTTTTGCCAGTTCGATCAGGTCGCGTGTTGGTTTGGGGAGCGTGTTGAGCATCTTGTTGGTTGACTGGGAGGACGAATGGGACATGTAGGGCGGCTGGTGGGGGATAGCTATAGGTAGGGAACATTCACATATAGGACATGCAAATTATGTGTATTCAGAGATGGGTCTGGAAGATAGGGGATGACGCGTTAATGGCGCGACTGGCGGAAGTCGAAACAGAAACAATGGCGGCTGTCTGTTCGGATGAGGCAAGGACAGCCGGCAGTCGGGTCGTGCCGCCGTCTAGCTCCACTTTGAAACGAGGCTGGACCACGAATTTCGGGTATACATTCCACGCTTCAATGTCCTTTCCTCCGCCTACAATGTCCAAATGGTACAAGGAGATGTTCCCAAATTCGGGATGTTACTATACAGTCATCTCGAGCTCATCACCTCATACTCTTCGTTTCAATAGTAAACTTGTCTAATCTAAGAGTCTTTTTGACTATTCCTACAGTCAACCAATTTTCACTCTGATATTACGTTGCGCTACCATTCAAAGCAGAATAGCGGACAATTATTTTTATCCCTTTCTCTCATTATCTAACGTTCTTCTCAAATACCCTCAAGATCTTTGAAATTTTGGCTCGTTCTACCAGTGGCACCTATCAGCCACTTCCTCAGCTGATCGAAAGCAAACCAGTTGTCTTCCTCCACAGTGTATACCCGACCTTTCTTTGTTCGCGATCAGAATGGGGTTCCGTATTTGCCACAAATCTTCCAGCCTGTCGGTTGCGCACTATTGAAGGTGCATATAACATATCGCGTTGAGATCGGATCGTGCACACCCTTGGGTAACTCTACGAGTATATTGTCGGGTTTTATATCCCCGGGGACAATTGCCAGGGAGTGCAGGTGCCGTATACCCGCAACGACGGACTCTAAACAACCTCGGACGTGTACCGAATAACCGCATTCGATTGCTTCCCAGAGATTACATTCGTACTTCTCGAAGACTAGATTGAGGACGCGCTCTTGATGCATAACTTTCGATGCCGAGAAATGTCTGCAGGATATTAGAAGGGGTATTCAGCATATCCACTCTCTAGGTTTCGTTCACTACAACATCAAACCTTAGAACATCTTTGTCGATCGCAAAACCCGACCTAGGCGGTTCGTTGTCAGTGACTTTGATTCTATGCAAGAGCAAGGCGCGCCATTGAAGTATAATTATGGTACATCGGGTTTGGGCGCCCGAGAAAGCAGATAACGAAGATTAGAAGGTGGTGTTGGACAGGATTGGTTTGGGCTGGACATGGTGGGAGCGCGGATTAGAGAAAAAGGAGGTGGGAGGCCAGTAGAGGGGAGAGTGTATCCAAAGACGAGTGAAATTTTGAAGAGGGCGAGGAGGAAGATTGAAAGGGAGGAGAGGGCGAAGGAAGTGGCAGAAGCGGCGAAGCGACGAAAACGGCATAGGCAAAAAAGAGAGCAGAGATTGCGAAGAGGATCGAGGCTATAGAGAAAGCTGAAGTTGCAAAGAAAGCCAAGGTTGTAAGCAAGGTAGACGCCTTGGAAAAGGTCTCAGCTGCGAAGAAAGCCAGCCCTCCAAAGTTGACTGCCCTACCCAAGTCTCAAACACAGCAAAAACCCGCCGCCACGAAGAAGATAGCCACCATCAAACCCACGCAAGCCAACAAGAAAGCCCGGGTGGCGAAACGCCTACCTTCGCCCAAGAGGAAGCCAGGTGTGCTGAAGAAACTAAGGGCAGGGCCGCCCTAGCATTGTCAATCAAATACAGTCAAAGGTGCTATGGTATATAAAAGAACGGGTATCAATTAACTATGCCTACGCCAAGATATGCTCTATCCCTTATCCTTTCTGGGTAACTATACATACAATGCATGTCTCCTTCAGACTCCAATCTGCAAACTCCATGCTCAATCACTGTCGCTTCCATAATCCACAAGCGGCCCCGCAGCAGGTGCAGGCCGTTTATTCGACGGCGTTGTCCTGAATCCCTTAAGCGCCGCCAGTGTAGAACAAGATAAAATGCCATTACCCTGCTGTTGCGCAGCAGAACCCTCGTCTTGTTGGTATTGCTGCGCATCATCTTGGTATGCCGACTCTGCGCTCTCAATCATCATGCGTTCTCCCATGCCACCAGATTCTAGCTGCTTGGTTGCTTCCCAGTCACTCTTTTCTTTCGCGTACCAAACATCGTCCGGTGCTTCGTAGCCTTGTAGACCGAAGCTGCCTTCGACCTTCCTGCGCTTCTTGCCCTCGGGATCTCTGCCTTCGAGTTCGGCGACGTAGGCTGCAGGGAGAGCTTTTCGGATGGCTTCCGCGGCCTGCTCTTCGATGCGGCGAGCTTCGCGTTTCGCAGCTTGTGGGTTGGGATCGACGGTTGCCCATCGGACGTTTAGGATTTCGTTGTGGTCGAAGGATTGGTGCGCCATTGCTTCTTTCGCAAATTGTGAGTTGGCTTCGTTGGTGTAGGTTACGAAGGCTACGCCACGGGCTGTGAGGACGCGAGTTCGCTCGATTTCGCCCCATTCTTGCATGTGGCGCGATACGATTTCTTCGATGTCGTCGGTGGGGTGGATGCGCCCGATGTAGAGGGTTCGGTTTTGTCTTTGGAAGGTTCCTACTCCGCCCATGTCGTCTCGGTAGTCAGCATGCTTGTCGCGCCCGAAGCAATCGACATTGCTCGGGAAGATGTCGGTGACGGTAGGCAGGCGATGGAGGTACTCGCAGTCCACACCCTTAGGGCAGATACCACGCGCAAAGAACAGGCAGAAGTAGGATCCAGGTGTCTTGTCGGCTTTGGTGTATCCGCTGTCCTTGGCGATGTTACAGCGTCCCTGCGCAGCGGTCTTGGAAAGGTACTTGTCCTCCCTGTCGCCGCCAGACCACTTATTGTACCAAACGTTGTAGATGTTTCCAGTTTGCGCGACTTCCTGGGGCTTTATGGTCGCCGGGTCGACTTGTGGACGCGCCGGTCTCCGTTTGCGACGGATGATCTTCTTGACTTTTTTGCCCTCGGCATTGGTCGTGATGATTGTCTGTTCGGTCGTCGGTACGAGCTCAGTCGACGCGGCGACTTCGAGAGATGTGTCCGTCGCGAGCGACGTTTGTGCAGGCTGTTGTACTTCCGTCATGGCTGTGGTGTTGGAGTTGTGGTGAGAGATGATGTCGCGACGGAACTTTCGACATGCGACAGGACGCTAGCACAGCTGACGATCGCGCACGTGACCGGATTGTTTCACCCCCTCGACTTCTCGTTGAATAATCATGATATCGAGCTTCAGTAGACATAACTCTACGCGAAAGTTTAACGATTGGAATAACACAACTCATTCCTGTTAACAGACAAGACGATATTCATTCCAACCCCCTCACTTACTCGTGGTACTACTCATCTTGATCCCCCCATCAATCTCCACAACAGCCCCATTAACATACCTCGCCCCCTCCCCGAACAAGAACGCAACAACATCCGCCACCTCTTCCGGCTCCCCCAACCTCTCCAACGCATTTCCATTTCGCATCCTCTCCACTGCCTCTCCTCCCTTCACAATACCCGCATTAGACGGCGTATCAATGTACCCCGGACAAATGGCATTGACCCTGATACCTCTAGGACCAAACTCCAACGCATGCGACTTCGTCATACCGATGAGTCCGAATTTCGTTGTGCAGTATACGGATTGGAGAGCTGAGCCTCGGATACCGGATACGCTGCTTACGTTGACAATCGCTGAGCCGCGTTGAAGATGCGGGAGACAAGCTTTGGTAACAAGGAAGACACCCTTGAGGTTCGTGTTTACAAGTTTATCCCAGTACTCTTCACTTGTGTCTTCGAGCTTCATGCTTGTTGGATTTACGCCCGCGCAATTAAAAACATAGTCCAAGCGGCCTAGGCCCTTCACAGTACTGTCAACGAATTCCTGAACTTGCGTAGAAGAGCCCACGTCGACTTTGCGTAGGTGGGTGGGTGTTGTGCATTCTGAGGCTACGGCGTTGAGACTGGGGAAGTTGAGATCGCAGAGGGAGACGGAGGCGCCGAGGGAGGAGAGTTTGAGGGCTACTGCGCGGCTTGTGGAGTGTTAGCAAGATATTTCTACTGGAAAAGTTGAGAGAAAAGAGAAGGAAGAAGAGACGTAGATGTACCCAATACCGCTCGCAGCACCTGTAATCAGGACGACTTTATCTTGAAATTCCTTGGCCATGCAGTCGCTATAGAGATCCTTCTGCAGGTCCCGAATCTGTTCCTGGATTTTTTGTCGTTCACGAGCATCGCTCTTTGCGCATATTTCGCGGATGCTCTTTGTTGCTGCTTCCATGACTGCGGGATTATAGGTGTTAATTCTCTTAGTGGGAGATTTACAAAAAGCAAGTCGGAATTTCAAGGCGGACGAGGAGTAGTTCGTGGATTGTAGCTGCAGGTGTACACAAGCGTAGTTGACATGGTGATGCGGTCGTGATAATGGTTGTTTGGGGGTAAAGGTGGGGTGAAGTGGGATGTACTGTACATGACTCGAGTGGCGCAGGAGCTCTTGCATGATAACCTCCACCTTCCTACTGAAGCTCCTCTCATGTAGGATATCACTGCTACCGCATGTGTCAAGAGCAATAGTGTAGAGATTCGATTTAACGCCACTACAGTTGATAGCGTGAACGCTCAACCCTTCCCACTAATGCAATCCGAATAGTACATTCATTTCTCATCCAGTCGTGCCACTCGTTTCGATCTAGATGAACCACTCCAGAACACCTCGCAGTGTAATCTTGAACCAATAATTCCACCGAGGACAATACAATGCAACCGAAATGCGACTATCTCCAACCACAGAGGCTATAAGGCTCACGATGTATTTTGATGCGTTAGGGACTCATTTTGGTGTGATGCGGGCCCTATTCTTATCGTAGCCCGGGATCTTGACCTTTCGCCCCCTCGATCTCGATTTTCCCGTTCATTATCTGAATGTATGTTGTCATCCCGTCTTTTCGCATCTCGTGGATGGAGACCGCCGCCTTTCTCCTTCTGATCGTCGCTCTTGCTGTCCTTTTCTGTATTTGAGACACCGTTCGGCCTGTTATCATGCTTTGAGCCGCCGCCACCGTTCAGGACCAAGTTCCGGACTTTCTTGACTAGGTCGTCTACCTTGAACGGCTTAGATATGACGTCGTCCATGCCAGCTTCACGCATACTGTTTGTCTGCGCTTCTCGAACGTTTGCAGAGACACCCAGAATATGACTATATCCAGCCTTGCCCTCATTTTGTAGTTGTCTGATCTCTTGTGTCGCGGCATTACCGTCTTTTATAGGCATTTCTTGATCCATGAGTATGCAGTCGAAATAGTTCCGGTCGTCGGGGCCGTTATCTGCCCTTTGTCCACGCTCGGCTACCGCGTCGATTGCTTCCTGACCGTTGTTCGCGGTGAAGACTTGGAAGCCACGGGATTGAAGCTGCCGCCGGAGAACCTTCTGATTGATCAAATTGTCTTCAACAAGAAGGAGGGTATGTGTATCTTCAGAGCGTTGATCGCTCTGAGATCTCGTGACTTCCAAAGCGTCCTCTTCCTGTCGTGACGTTTCGCCTTTCTTCAGATCGGGCAATTTTCTCTCCATGTTTGGTTTGATTGTCTTGATATCCTCAGTGGCTTTCTCGGTCTCTCTATAACGCGCATCTTCGTTCGACTCCGGATGCGCCTCTGGCCGTTTTTCTACTGGCGGGTCTTTCAGTGAGGGCTCAATCTCTTCGGTATCAACACCACTATGACTGGCCAGTGATTTCGCTTCAGGGCGCTCGTTCTTCCGTTCTTTGATGCTCGAGAGATTCGAATTCGCACGACTCATGCCTGGACGAGATGGTCGCGACCCAGATTCGCCTGGGCGGGCGGAAGAGTTGGAGGTTTCCGAGTTGCTTCGTGATTGTATCCATGGCCTTCCCTCGTCATTTTCGCCAACCGCGCGACGTACTTTGAAGAAGAAACCAAATGTCGAACCTTCTCCCTCTTTCGAGCTGACGCCAATGTCTCCACCGTGTAATGTGCACACTGTTGACGAGTTAGCTAGGTAGCGCCTGCGATGAATACACGACCTCACATTTGCGGGATATGAACAGACCGAGACCTGAGCCGCCGTATTTTTCCTGCGTTTTCGGTGTTGCTTGTCTAGGGTATGGTCAGCATAGTGGACTGAATATCTGAAGAGCGCACCGTACCTAAAACGCTCGAACAACTTGGCTTGGCCTTCTTTACTGATACCTATTCCAGTGTCTTTAACAGCTACCATCAAGTACATGGCGGCCCCAGCACCCCATTCTGATGTCATGGTTGAATCGAGATGAAACGCTTCCTTCTCCTCACTAAAATAGATAACATTGGGGGGGTAAGAGGTAGGCCGCTCGACGGATGCGCCCATAGATACAGTGATGTTTCGGTCGCCATTCTTCTTAGAGGTAAACTTAATGGCGTTGGTTATCAAATTGACCAAGACTAGAGACGTTAGTAAGGTTCAGCGGAAGATTAAGCGATCCTTACCTTGCTTCATGCGATTAAGATCGGCGACAACATTATCTACGTTCAGTTCCTCGAAAGAAATATCCATAGCGTAGTGGAATTTGATGTTTTTGGCCTTGAACTCGGAATGAAAAACTCGAAGCGCTTGGGAAAACTCCCACTTAGGTCTTGTTGCTACAATAGTTCAGCAAATAAATGGCGTGGCACGATTATGCAAATACTCACGTCGGGGTACCAAAGATAACATCATAGAGTCGAGCTTGGAAAAAGATAGAATGTCGTCTACAAGGGTATTCTGGTGTGAGACGCAGAGAAGTATAGTGTCGGCAGCATCCAAGATGTCGGCTACCTGGTCGCGAACGTCTTCATGCTCGGCTCCAATCTCTCTTGTAATCTCTCTCACTTCCTCGGCCAAGTGCAAGACAGCGGAAAGGGGATTTCGAATCTCGTGCGAAACCATGTCGATGAATCTCTCTTGCTGTTCCTTGCGCTCTTTGGCCTCGTTGGCAGCCTTCTCTTGGGTCAGTTGGGCCTGTTTAATGTCCGTGATGTCGATGACGGCGCTAATGAAACCGGCATCAGCTTCCTCACTCAAAGGTTTCAGTAAGAATAGCCGCCACTGCTCTCCCTTGGACTTCATTTCCTCTGGCGCTGCAACGTCGCATCGAAACTCTATCTGCAGCTCGGTGCGGCTTTCGAATGCCTTGCGATAGGCGGCCATGACGTCTTCGTAGTCGTCAGGATGTATGCTCTCCGGCCACGAGCGAAACTCGTTGTTGCCCTTGTTGGTCGTCAGCTTGAAGAAGCCATCGTTCACGAAGATGGCTTCGGCATCCTTGTCAAGAATGGCCAAGCCGTTGGGCAGCAGCTCGGCGAAGCGCTGGAACATGTTGGTTTGCATGGCATCGGCCTGCTCCGTATTCTTGTGCTTGCTCTTCTGCTGAGATTCCTTGTTCTTGACTTGTCTCCCTGGCTTCTGGCGCGAAAGTTCATCTATGCCCTCGATGGGCATGTAGCGGTCCACGTTCTGGTTTTCGAGGAGTTGGGCCAGTACGCCCTGTCGCGTACCGCTTTCATCTAGGATTGTACTGAGGAGAAGCTGCATATCCTTTTCCTCCGCGAAACTTTTGAGAAAATACCTGGCGGCTGGGAGGGTCAGTATGCCATATGATGCGCACATGAACACGGTGTGATGCTTACCTACCTTGACCGTTCGTCCTCTCAGCACCGTCCGTATCGTGCCGAGTGCTTCATGACTGTAGCTATCGCGCGCGCTCGTAGCCTGGCCGTCAAGACCACCCCTTGCTTTCTCCCAGGCCAGGTTGTGGATGACTATCATGTCCTGGCCCCAAAAGACGGCAGTGCAGTGGGGCATAGGCAGAACGCATGTGTTGACGATACATTTTAATGCAACGGGCCACGACTCGCGTGCGCCTATGGGTGTTTTAGTCCTGGGGACTGTCAGTACTGGCCCACTACGAGAGCGCATGCATAGTCGTCTTCTCACCAGTCCTTGTGTTGCAGATTCTCCTCGTTGAGATCAAATATTGGTAAGCCCGTCGCAGACAGCTTGTCGAGGTTCTCCATGGCGCTGCTTCCAGGGAATGCGCCCGGCGTGTCTTAAAGCGAAAGCAGCTGGTGGGAAGAAGCGTGCTTAGAGACGGGAGATCCGCGTGACGTCATACCAGGGCTCAAAGAACACGACCCCACGAGCGCGTGCCTGTCAAGAGGCGACCTGAGACCCAGGATGTCGAGACGAATTGCTGAGGGCGAGGAACGGACATATGAGTAGAAGGGTCTACACGGTCTAGGCCGGCAGATCGCACTCATTTTCGATCTTTGCAGCGCCGCGGGTGCTGGCAGAACATGCATCGGGTGATTAGCTGGACATCATCGCCGATTGGGGCACGTCAGTCTAGCTCTAGTGGGAACTCGCGAACGGCAAGGTAACATCATTGGCCCAGCAAAAGATTTTGACATGAAAACACCATGCATGAGTTGGTAGCCGTTCCCTGCAAGACACGGTAGCGGTACGCCTAGCCTCGCCTACGTCTTTGGGCAGCTGAACATCGCTCCATGCGCCCAACAAGGCACAGCGGATATCAAAGAGCAGTACAACAATATTCAAAGTACCCAAGGGAGCGCTCCTAACAATGAAACTAACGATGCCATCCAAGTTGCAAAGTCGTAATAATGCCCGTCGCTTCATCCGCACTCATTCAGAACTGCGCGATGCCCTCCCTCTCACAGCCTGACAAGAACTGATTCCAATCCATGACTAGCCGACGGCCAGCCCAGGTGCTCGTGCTAAACTTGCCTCCTTGGTCGTCGTCGCCACCATCACTCGTGCCGTCAAGACCATATTCGTAGTCCACATCTCTCTGGACATCTCCGTCATCTTCGATCTCGTTCTCGACCACAGGACTGTCTCCTTCGACTTCTCTGAATAGTCTCTTCGTGGCGGCAGCCTCACCTACATTCGCGCCGCCACAACCAAATCCGCAGACGCGCCGACCACAGGGACGCCAAAATCGGTACTCAGCGACTTGTGGTTCAGAAAGAGGGCGGACGCCGAGAAGGCCTGAGTCAACGCTGCGGTTGGACGTGTAGAAGAGCATAGTACCAGAGGGATCGATAGGTGATGTGGCTTCAGACTCAACTCCGTTGGCGATAGCAAAAGATGGAGACGCTGCCTCACAGTGCGAGGTTGACAAGAACGAGCGGACAGGCATAGGTGGAGAGACCGGGTATAGGTTGAAGTTGCGGGTGCTGAAGTGAGAATCAAGTCTGGGGCCTGGGTCACGCATGGACTTTGGTGATAGCTCCGGGAAACCTTGCTTTCGAGCCATTTGCTTCAGCATAGCGGTGCGTGGGGATATACATCGGGATGGGCTTGTTGGGGGAGTCATTAAACCTCTGATACCTTGCGACGATGCTGATGGAGTGCGGTTGCGCATTTCCGGTCTCGCAAGAACATCATCAATGAGACCCATCTGTGATGTATGCTGGCCGTATCCATGCGAATCGCGGTGACTAGAGGGCCCGCACATGTCCGAGTCGTCGATGCTCAATAGGTTTACCGTACGCACTGCGGGGCCCAAAGCGCGAGGTGTTACAGCCCTGTTTCCGGCATCAGACGCAGGCGAAGGGTATGTTTCTCTTGCCGTCAGAGTAGGAGACAGTGGTGTAGGAAACCCCGGATATTTCCGTCCGACGTCCGTCAGAAGTGATAGGTGTGGTTTCATAGCCTTGGGCTGAGGCAGAACAGCGTTCAAAGCACCCATGTGGTAAACAGGGCCACTGCCACCGTATTGCGATGAGCTCACGAAGCCATTTGCAGACCCATCAAGCGAACCCACCCATGAAGGAATTTGGTCATGCTCGGTCGCTGGGGTGTGCTGGAAGCAGCTCTTGGTAAAGAAGCTTGTGGGACTTGTCGGACTGTTGTTGTTACTGGAGCTTGAGGACCCATCGCCTGTGATGCGACGTAGAGCTAAAGCTACAAGGGCGTTCATTGGCTCCGCCCGGGCAAAGCGAGCATCGTCGCAAGACCAGAGTCCGCCATACTGCTGCCACGGGAAGTTTCTGAGGAAATAATCTTCTGGATAGACATCGTATCCAAGAGTGCGAGCACGGAAAAACGCGTACACGAAGCGACAGTCGGGAAACTGACGAAGTACCTAGAGAACATATGCTTAGTGAAAGCTGTTACATACGAGAAGATGGAGAGATGATGGTGTTGTAGAAATGTTAACACTTGACTGTGTAGCACGTGATAAGATGACGGAAGTGCCAGGTAAGTATCTATGTGGACGGGTAAGGCTTAGAGATGGATGCTCATACATCCCAAGCGGGAAACAAAGGTGGTGTCGCAGTGAGCCTAAACAAAGTTAGCATGCGACAAGCGGTCTCGCCTTGCGGACATACATCAGAATCTCATAAGCAGCATATTTCTTAAGCTTTCCAGCGCCACGACGATATGCGTACAGAACCTCCGGTCGAGCTGTCCTGATATTTTTCCGGCCAAGCAGCCTATGCATAGCAGGGCTCGTGTAATACATGGGATCGAAGACTACCAGGTTGCATGAGCCGTCAACATGACGCTCGAAACCGATGACGCTGATAGAGTGACCTGGTTGTTGAAGATATATAGGCGGCAGGAGGGTTTTATAAACATTGGATCCATCGCTTTCAGCCGCTCGGGCAAAGTATCGCTCCATGGCGGCGAGAAGGAGTTCGTGAGCTGCAATGCTGCGATCTTTGTTGTCGCTGAATTGTTCGACAGCGCAATTGATTTCAGAGTTCAGGAAGAAAGCTTGAGCCTATTCCATGTCAGTGCAATACGATCGGGCATGGACAAGTGGTATGGTACCTCTGGTGTACCGATATACTTTCTGGTATCGCGTATGCCGCCAGTCTGAACACGGCCAATCTGATTGATGCCTTTGTCCCAAGCATCTTCAATATGGTCTTGCATCTTAAGGACAGTTGGAAGTCGTCCAGGGAACTCTTCGTAGCCTTGAGCCTTTGCGCCTTGGATGTAGGATAGCAACATTTGTATATTTCGATAACCGCAAAAGCCACCTTCGCTTGGCGTTTTGCCGACGTGGACTGTCGATGGGTGACAGTAGTAAGCCTCTTTGACAGTGCGATCGAGAGCAGACAATTGAGCGAGTATAGGTATAATGCCTGGCGTCTCATTTTGCACCTGGTCATGCTTGATGAGGCGGCCATCTCGGCCGATCCGGTTGACCGCGGTAATCTTAGGACCTGCCTCAAGCTGATCGTGCAGCCACCTGGGCATTCGTTTCTCCCAGGCGTAAGGCCCAAGCTCGGATTTCTGGAGAAGTTAGTTAGGCCTTGCTGTGAGAACGTTGAACTAACTCCCAGACGGGCACTTTTGATTGGCGGCTTGACGTTTTTGTCAGGTTTCGCAAAAGGATTGAAGCTTAGGATACTCCTTCCGATAGTACTCTTCTCGCTGTCATCGGTACCACGTCTGTGACGACGGGTGTGCTTCTTCGACTTGCGGCCATGAGCCTCGGTCCCCTTTAAGGCATCTGATAAGTCTGTGCTGAAACTTCGCTCAGATGTTGTGGTTTTTGTTTGACTCGCACGTGAACGACGAGAAGAGGTCGAGCCTTGCATAGTAGCGGATGAATGATGAGAATGATACTTTCCTGTAGTCTCGTCAAATGATAAAGTTTCTGCGTTGTGGTAATCGAGATGGTCGTTGAAGTCGGAGAGAGGAACGACTTCGCCGCAGTTGGCATCAGTACACACTACTGTGCTTTCCTCTTCTTCGGAGTCGTCAGAGGAAGGTGTGTCCTCGTTATCGTGGTCAGTTGAGGAAGGCCTGAGGGGCAATGATGGTGGTAACGGTTCAGGATCGTCCTCGATGACGAAAGGAGAATTTTCGGTATGCACCTGCTCAAAATGTAATTGAAGGATGTAGCCATCTTTCGGAAGCACAGTGAACTTGCACATGGGACACTCCAGGAGCTCCATCTTGCTCGTCATTTCTGTGCAAGTGATACCCGGAGCGTGAAGATAGCAACCAACGCTTTCCAGTCTTGAAAACGCGGAGTAAGTGACTTTATGGGGCGTCTCGTTGTACACATGTATGGAAATGGTTACGTCGTGCGTATGCGGCTGACTCTGCCGTGGCAGTCGCTGTGGGCTTCCGTGGCTTAGCATGACGAACGCAATTCAGACGCACATGAACCAGCAACCCACAAGTTTGGCAAGAAGCACACATACTGAAGACTGGTTTATGAGGTCAAGAAGTTGTTTGCGAGGAAATGATGGTATTGGCGGTGAAGACGAGGCTAAGATTGATGCGAAGAAGGTGCGACACTCGTGGACGGCCGAAAGAGGCAACCAAACAAACACGCCAAGACGCGTGACGCGAATTCAACTCGTGCAAGTTCACTGTTAACATATGTCGATGCCATGTCGGTGTGAAGATGATGGATCTATCGCTAGCAAGTGGGTCGCAGTAAAGCGGTTAGCCTCGCATGACATTGGTGTACAGAGGAACATGAACACTTAATGTTCACAGCTTCCCAGAACGCGTATCTGGGAGGGCTATGGAGGAGTTGAGGTTGACTATGGCTGATAGTGAAAGTGTGCATATACTATGTATGATGGAACTGGAAGGGTCACGTCGCCTACGTCATTATGCCGCCAAGAGCCCGAGGATAGCATCCGCCTCGCATTTGGCGTTATCCGCAGACTTTCCTCCAAATGCTGCCCCGGACGTTGTGCACATCTCGCATTGCCAGGAAACAATTGAATCGCATACAATGGCGCCGAACACCGCTGCGATGCTATACTTCAGCAAACCCCGACGATCCACCATGGTTCCAACAGCTGCGCACCGAACTGCTGCAGCGAGACGTTACGTATATTCCTGAACACATCACACAACCACCCGAACACAAGCTCTCGCAGACCCTCACAGGCTTCTTACCGCGAGAATGGTGCCATCCTCCGACTATGCGTCTTCGTGTGATGCCTTTCGGGCATCACTTGATATGGTTCAATCCGGCGGTGCTGACCCCCGAGTTGCTTCCAGATGGGACAGACGCGTCACAGAGCCCGGGTGGGCCATGGGTGCGGCGCATGTGGGCTGGCGGCTCGATACAGCTGAAATCTGACGATTATTTTGACCACTCTCGCGGCTGTACAATGGACACGATTATGGCTGGTACAGAGCATATAAAGCATGTCCGACTACATGGAGAGGGCGACACAGCCAAGGTCTTTGTCACAATCGAGCGGCGCTTTGCGAGGCTGAATAGCATACAGAGTGCCTACAGGGCGAAGCATGGCTCACTGGGAAGGTATGGGGGCACTCAAAAAGTCCGAAATTATCTCGAGCAGCAAGCGCGCAACGTCGATGGTTGGGGCGATGCTATTCTTAGAGAAGAGCGTAACCTGGTCTTTTTCAAGGAACGCACCGCTGCGGAACTGGAGGCTGTCAAAGCTGGTCAAATGGCCACCGTGAAGTACTTGGATCGTGCGTACTCTCGCAGACCGCTGAGCTCTCTACTGACTCTTCACAGCCCCCGGAAACCCCGACTTCTCGCATGCCCTCACTCCAAACCGCGCCCTCCTTTTCCGCTTTTCCGCTCTCACCTTCAACGCCCATCTCATCCACCTCGATCCAGACTACGCTCGCAACGTCGAAGGCCACCGTAACCTGCTAGTCCATGGCCCTCTCTCTCTGATTCTCATGTTGAAAACCATGAACCATTACGTGTACACACAAACGGAAGGAAAGCAGGTTCTGGAGTCCATCGAATATCGCAACCTAGCGCCGCTGTACTGCGACGAAGAGATGCGCATTTGTTGCTCGGAGAAGAAGAAATTGCAGAATGGCAGTATATATGATGTATGGATTGAGGGACCCACTGGTGGTGTTGCTGTCAAGGGCACTGTTCACACCACAGTGAGGAATTCCGCGCCTGTCCAAGCACCCATCGTCGCAGCGCCCGTCGTACCGACCGACAACCCGAAAACGAAAGGGCGTTCGTTCAAAAGACCAGAACACCCAGCGCTTCGATACCGGATGATTCAAGCGCTCGAACAGGCTAAGACGGCGAAAGGCTCTGAAAGCAGTACTCGGAATCATGTCACCTTGAGAGAAAAGCAGTCGTTACAAGACTCGCCGGCGCCTCCCTCAAGTTCTGAGCCTACTACAAGCCCTGAGATCTCTGCAAGTTCCGAATCCTCGACAAGCTCTGAGCCTCCTTCTCAGCCCCAAGGTGAGATCCCAAACCAGTCTGCTCCCAGTGAAACTACTTCTCAACCACCGTCTAGAGAAGTAACTTCCGTAATCGCGCACAAAACAGGCCGTGCGTATCGCCGCAACCGTATCACCAATACCACGGCCTACAGCTTTGTCACCTTACCTCCTAGCGAAGTGCCGCCTGTCCGTGTTGTCGACTCTTACAAGCCCGTGAAAACGACAATGTCAGTACGTTCGAAGGAAATCCTGCACCGCGCCCGTCGACGCGCCCCGGCCCAGATCACTATCGAACCTATACCCCTGGTGCGTAGATTTGATGCAAAACCATATACTCCAGACCCTGTTCAGACTGCTTCAAGGCACAGCAGATTCCGGAAGGAGGGTATTAGGAAGATGGACAAGCCTAGTATCCGCTACGTGGCTGAGTTTTCTGAGCGTACGAAGGGAAGAACGAGGTTGGTATCACGATACGTCCAGAAATGAGGTACTAGTCCCATCAAAGCGCTCTTGCATCACTGTGTATATGTCATGAAATCTTGAAGGTGCGTGAAGAAATTGGGATCATGTCCTTTTGCACATACGCATCGTACGTGAACTTGTAAAACTTGTTTGATTTATATAATCTATGCGCTTCTGTGGCTTCGCATGCAAAATGAGTAGGTCGCCATGTTGTATGCTTCGCGTAACAGAAAGCCAAACCAATGCCCAAACGCCTGTGCCATGGGTATATTGCTCCAACCGCCAAATGCCAAAGTCTAGAGAGTGATAAAAAGTATGTACAATGGATAGTATATAACGTCGGTAGCGACAAGCGCTGGGTATCGTAGCGCATGGGAAAAGAAGAAGAAGAAACGCTGCACGCAAGCAGACCCAAGTTGTGAATGAGTGTGAAGAGGATGAGTAGCGGATCGGGCCTTGCAGAGAGTGGTGTCCATTAACGTCGCCATGTCCAGTCCCCCGAATGCGATAGGGAGGCAGAAGAGCGACGCGATACTCTCGACGGCGTTCGGGATAGGGTACCGGTCGGAGATAGCGTAGCATCTTCGCCGGTATTGAAAGTATTAAAGAGATTGACGAGCTCCTTGTAGTCGTAAGGGGGTGGTTCTTCATCGGAATCCTGCTCGTCGGCGAAGCCTTCGATGCTCCCTCTGAACATCTTGTCGACTTTGGCGCGCCATGAGCAGTGGTCAATGATGTCTCTGAAATTGTTTTCAACGCATAGGCTGTCGTCCAGCCATTGCAATCGAGTTATTTCATCCTTCCCATCGCCAAATCGAATGAATTGAATGCTGAAATGCCGGTTACCCGTCTGCAGTCGGTCTCGTTCGGCGATATTGAGGATGGTCTTGTTTAATACACTGTGGCTTTTGTTAGACCAAACGCCGTCAGTAAGAACGAGTAGTGTCGTAGCCGGTTGGCTACTACCGTTCCACTCCTCGAAGATGTTTTCAAAAACTCGGGCCATATCCGTGGTGACGTGGGCATTCTCCTTATATTCTGGCCATGCTGCCTTCAACGCTTTTTTCAGCTTTTTTCGACCTGAATCACCCTTTAAGCGCTGTTGGTTATGCCTAAGCCCATCGACCGTAAATTTGAGATCGAAGCCGCTCTTATCTAGACCAGCGGCGTTTTTGGCGAGTGTTTGTGCAACGAACGTGACAATTGGCCAGTGCCTGGACATTGTCCACCCGTTATCGACAACAAAGATCTAAAACATGTGAGCCGGGTATGCTGAGAATCTGGAATAAGCTTACAAGTTCGCGTGGGTCACTGAAAGTCTCTGCAAGGCTAGCATCTCGCGCTTTGGTTTCGATGCCAAAACTACCCTTCACTTTCTCAAGCCCTTTCGCAAACCCTTTTGAAACCTGCTCGTCGAGATCCTTCCTCCTGTGACAGATATCGTAAGGTAGAAGCAAGACAGACTCCGGAAGTGGCCGCGGCAAAGAATCGTTGGATCTCGTAGATGCCTGGATGTTCGGAACAAGCTCTTTCTCTACAGCTTGCTCTTCGTCAACATGATCGCTCGATTCGGGTGTCTTTGGTCGATCTTGTGGAGACTGAGTATCCTGAGGATGCGAGACTGTGATTGAGGGACCAAAAATCTCTACAGTTCCAACCTGCCTGGAAGTCTCGGGTGCCTCAAAGATCGGCCCATTCATGCCTTGCTCGTCGAATGGAGAGTCCATGGGTCTTCTATTAGATACCACAGGAGCTGTACCATCATGACTCTGGCGGTTTGGGTGATAGCTCGGTGAAGGTGAGCTCTGGGCTTCGACGTCATCTTCGCTGGTGCTTTGTTCGGATGTATGTGGAGGAGATCCTGCCGTAGAAACAGTCTTTTCTGGCCTAGACACGCTTGATGAAGGAAGTTGGAGTTTCGGAAAGACGAGTTCCCTATGTCCAGATCTAAATTGTAACTTTGAAGCACCATCTGACTGTGCGAATCCGGTGGGGTACCTCTCCGAGGGCGAATCCGCTGTTGAAATCTGGACGTTGGGCTTTTCCTGATTGAGGCTAGTATGTGGACCGAAAGCCAGTGGTATGGCATTGTCGTCGTAAAGCCCAGCACTAGCGCTAGGCGATTTGTGTTTGCGATCAGATGATGGTGGTGTAGCTGGAGGGACAAAGTTTATATGATGACCTACGCCTTCTGGTGTATCGTAGCCTGTACGTGACTGACCCTGTTCCAGTGGTCGAAGCTGGGGATTTAGGGGCTTGGCTCTGCGGCCACCAAATTGTAGTTCCCTTGGAGGCGTTGAGTCGGTCGGACTATCCGTAACAGCGCCGAAGTGGGCATAACCATTTGCAAGTGGCTCGGTGACCATCTTCATGACATGGCAATCTTCAAGCTTTTTTTCCAAGATTTCTTTACGATGCGCTGTTTGACCGAGTGGCTTGTTCCTGATCATTTCTTCCTTGTTGATTTGCATCGATGCTCGCTCCCGAGGGTTGACCTGTAGTAGAGGTTGTTGTAAAAGGTTAAGCTTGGGCTCAGACGATTTCTGGATTTGAGCTTCTTCCTCTATGTTGGAAAGGGCTTTCATGACTATGGGATCCGTGTCTCTTGAGTGCTTTTCGAGATGCGTGATCTTCTTCTCGGCCAGAAAACTCAAGTCTTGCAGCTTCTCACATAGTTTCTTCATGTTGTACCTCGTTGCTGGATCTGCTTGTAGCAGCCTCGTTTCTACCAGTTCCAATACCAGTTCGGTTGTCGTATCGGAGGAACGAAGATGTCCTCGGAGATAGTCATGCCACTTTCCAACCTCAGGTAGAACCTGGATACCGTTGTGAAACCGATCTAAAGGATGGCTGCTCGTATTGTTTGCTGGAGATAGTTGTCGTAGCCGCTCGTATTGGCGGAGGCCCTGAAATCCCAACACTATCCACGTCGCAGCCACTGATAGTACACAACCAAATGACCAGGCGTCAATAGACTTTGATACTCCGGACAAGGTGCCGTCCGGTTGCTTCATGCGAGATACTTCGGGTGCACCTGCGGAAGGTTAATGCTCGCTCGGACACACTTGCTTCATGCCGTCTCACCATATGTATCGGTAAATCCCCTTATCAACTCTGTTGGTTCTGAACCGCCGTGGCCCTCGATTACAGGCGCAAAGCTCGAGAAGCCGAAGTCAGCCAGCTTTAGGCGTCCACGAACGCTAAGGATGTTGTCTGGTTTGATGTCTGCATGCCAACTTGTTCGTGTCAGTGATGAAATTTATAGACGTCCAGAAACACATACCCGTGAAACCTCCAGGGTTCACTCATGCCTCGCTTAATCTCGAGATCATGAACGTGACCTATGGCTTTGGCGACTTCGAATAGCGATTTCCAGTTCTGGAGAATCTCCTGGGCCTGAACGGGGGGAACGTTGGTCTCATCCGCCCAAGCTTGGTACAAGTCGTTTTCACCATATTCCAGCAGCATATTATATGTCTTACCCAGTTCCTTGCCCTCGCCATAATCATGGGTATAGGAACCTAAGTATTGCAGTATCGGAACTTGGTCACTCGACTGCAAGCCGGAAAATGCCTCTTTTTCCATTTCGAAATCTCGCTTCCTGTCGCCGCAGTAAGATTTGAGCACCATTTGGTAACACTGGAGCAAGTTAGTTCATGTTACTAACGCGTTATTAGGAAGCTGACCTCTCCAAAGTCTTCGTCCATATAGATCGAGTCTTGCAAGGCACGTGCAAGAGCGATATCCGAAATGAGGTCCTTCTGCACAGCTACCCAGTATATCGATGCAGTGCCTCCCTTATCGGGGAGCTTGGTCTTCAAACAGAACGGAGGAATCACTTTTGTCCCATGTAAGTTCTCATCCATGTCCAAAGTCAAGGTCAAAGGACAATATCTCCATTTCTCTTCGTGGAAATCCCTGATGATGATTTCCACTTCGTCACGTGATACGTGTCTGGCTAGCTGTTCGCGAAGATTCCGGTCGCTCTCGCTACGCGCAAGGTAGTTGTCGTACATGTTCGCTTCGTAAAAACGGTCGATAAGATGGTCACGATCTTGGTTGAGAAGCAGGCTGAGAATGCGAAGGCAGGACTGCTCGCCTCTAGAAATTCTTGTAGGCTTGACTGGTAGATTCCGGTGAGGTAGAAGTGGCATCTGGTGCACGAAATGTTCTAACTTCGTACTACCAGGGCTTTCGGACGCTTGTTTCTTCCACCATGCTTCCACAGCGTGGACGTGCACAATCTTGCGCTGGCAGCTGCAAGACTCAGGCGGACGGCATTCGTTTTGACAGGCTACATGACGTGTCCATTTAGACTCCAAAAGGCTCTTGAACTCGTCTCTAATGGGCAGACGAGGATTATGTTGCTGGTTTGCGCCTGGCATTCTGACGTGGTTCCAACCAAGGATCAGGCTGTGAGATCTTGAGGAAAAGCATGCATGGCACGAAGCTGAAGCGGCGCCAGACGCGCTGGTGTCAGTTTTGTGCCTAACGGTCTCTGAAGTCGAGTTCAGGTGGGTCGCGCAAAGGATGTGCGCAATGGGGCTCGATAAAAAATGAGACGAGAAAGAGCAGACCGAGGTAACAGAGCCTCAGCGATGCGGGCGGGGCGCATGATAACTATGATTGAATATTCCCAGCCTCGTGCAGCCACGGACAGGGCCAGCTTGATGGTTGCGCCAATAGGTTCATGGAGGACGATTGTGGCTGCAGCGAGCTGATGCTCTCCCCAAGGCAACAAGGCTGAATTCCTGCTCAGCCTCTTGCACATTGTCACGTCGGCTATGTACTCTCCCAACAAATGACATATAGCGAAGATTGCATTACGGCATGCGCCGTCTTAAAAGTTTCGTGATCGTATGAGTAGAACAGGCAAAGTGAGAGATCCTGATGTTGGAGATATGCCGCCGCGATGAACGTCTGTTCGCTAAGCCCCGCCGACCCCACCCCCCGTACCTCGACGGCGGCTACTCGCCCCCAGCCGAGTGTCAGCTTATGACAATGCAGTCTGACACATGATGCGCAAAGCTCTGATGTGTGGCACACGTTCTGCCTCGACAGGCTTACCTTCCTAGCTGCCACACAAGAAGGAATTGAGTTTCAGATCAATTATTATCCTACCTAAGGCTCCGCACTGCGATTTCTCAGCCATATTTAGATGGACTGCCTTTATATCGAGGTAAAATAGGATGGTCCTTTCCAAACTGCTGTAGGCTCGAAGTGAAACGAGATATTGAAGCACCCAAACGTTTTATCGGACCCTTATTTGTTGCGTTCTGGTTGGCAGAAAGATCGCCGGTTTGTGTCTGAACGTAGGAACTTGATTCGGATGGTGTCAAATGCAGGACTGCACGCTTCAAGCGCGGAATGAAAGCCAGTTGTCTTGCCGATGCGTCATAGAATCGATATGTCGACCAAGCACCGAACAGTGTCAAGGCAGTTAGTGGTATCGTAACCTGGAGCCATCGCTTCAAGGCGAGTGTGGAGAACGAGCCGTTCTCGTAATTGACCGAGATTTGATTCTGATCTTGGTACTTGACGATGTCGGTGCTAAAGAGAGTCTATTGTTGATGAGATATAGCGCTCCAAACGGTGGTATCAACTTACTGAGACAAATGTGGCCGGAAGGTAGATCAAAGTCAGGATTGTAATGATACGCATAACAACTGCCTCTCGTTCGAGATTCTTGTTCAGCTGTTCGGTTCTGTCGGACACTTGACTCTGCAGATGCTGCAGTACAAGCTGCTTCCTGTCGCTGGTGATATTCACTAGAAGCTTTGCTCGAGCTAGTTGCATATCAAACTCGCCGCTGATCTCGTCGAGTTCGGAAAAGAAAGCGTACAATTGATCTTCACAGGATACTCTCAATGTTTCAGGGAAGTCCCTGTGCGCGACCAAGTTTGAATAAAACTTGTGTAGAGTCCTTAGGATCTTGGCGTTGGCCTCCAAGACCATAACCGCTTCATTGGCTTTGTCTTGCCAGTGTTGCAGATGTTGAATTTCCCATGCCTCGTACTGTCTGTATGCAAGACCTGAGGCACGGAGCCCATCGACGGCCATATTACTCTACAGAACTCGATGTCAGTATGAATACTTGTGCAGATGGGCACACTTACTTCTTCTCCAACCATTTCCTCGAGCCAAACGATGTACCATCTCCAGTCCTCTGTGGACCACTGACAGTAAAGCAAGTGTGTCATCAGCGTTGATCGAAAACAGGATGTCGGGTCTTTATGCATCGCATCACCTGGTCGACCACTTGGTCTAGTGAGTTCTTCGTAACGGTCGCGCAAGTCTCTGCCGCCTTTGGTAACGATCCACAATGTAGTCCCATACTCCACATCAAACCGGTGGTAGATTGCAGCATCTCGAATCGACCACTCATCAAGCCGAGCGTTCTCATTATCCTCCTTTTTGTGTTGTACGCCTTTCAGGTTGTAGCAGAACTGGAAGTGTTTGCCGCTTCGGCCCAAATCAGGTACTGAGTGTCCGCTGTCAGGAACCTTAAGACGTATCTGCTCGCGGAAGCCACTGAAACGGAGATCCTTGGCATCACTCTGTCCACCGAAGACCATCATGAAGTCCAGGTATACGGGCATGATTTGATGATACGACAGAATCTGGCAGAGGCTATCCCGAGTTGTTTTCAAGTTGTCTCGCGAACTTTCACCATAGAAGTTACTATGTCATCAGCATACTGAATAAAAAAAAGGTCGATAGAGCATACATAAATCGACATATTGGATCTCTCTTTCGGGCAACAACATGCTGGACGTTGGGATTGGTTGTGTCTTGCGCTATGTCCGCAGCGAGCCATTGCGTCACCTTTTCCGGTGTATGCAAGTATAGCTTTTCGCGTGCTGTCCGTAATTCAGTACTTCTTCAAATATCGCGGCAATGACTTTACCTTTACCATCAGCAGTGCCGATATCGATGACCGGGATTTCGAAAGTCCCGATAACCTCATCCTTTTTGGTCATAAGACAAAAGTCGTTCTCAACATCATCAAGACGCCTTCTGTAGGAACGAAGCTTGGACTTGTTTGTGAAGATGTCGCTAGGGATGAGGTTTTCTGGATAGCTGTCGCTTTTGCGGTAGGAATCCTGCAGCTCCACAGGTATCTTGCACGTCATCTCGAATGTTCAGGCTAGCATGGGAGGAACGAATGTCGCTTAAGGCGGAAGAAGAACACAGTAGGGAGAACATATTTATGAGTTGAAGATGAAACAACAGTGCCTCAAAAGGCTGATTTTGGTGCGGCTGTGTTGGATGCAACAGGTGTGATATGATACGTCAGGGGTCACTTTTAGCCCCGCCACCACACATGTAATGACGCTTTCCCTCTTCCCTCACCGGCGACAAAGCATGGCACCAGGACTCGAAGAACCCTGTCAAACGTGTATTGTCAAATACTATATAACAACTTCCACTGGCTATCACGAGGCTGAAATTTGCCCCTACTCGGGCTCTGGCGATACAGAGGGCCTCTGCGTCCGCTTAGGCGCATCTCTCCTGTTCCTCAGCTCTCTTCGATCGCCCTAGAACAGCTCAGCCACGTTCGAGAACACACACAAGGCAAAAGCACAAGACTCACCTCTGTCAGTTTCTCGGGCACTTCGAACACCCACTTGTCGTTGAACTGCGCGGCTGGTCAGGTTTGTTTCTGATGAATTAGGAGCGTGACGTACCCGACTCGGCTTGAAATCCCACCTAGGCCATTTGGTCTTCAAAAACTCTTCAATCTTCTCCCACGGAAAGTCATCGTATACCGCGTATGTGTCTTGGACGCGATCGCTCTTCTTTTGTGATGGGAGCGTCGGTCTGCGCTGAGCTTGACGCGCCTGTTCCAATGCTGGGTCGGCGGGTCGTTGACGACGCATCGTTTCAACAGATGGTCGATGTAATAGACTCAGGCGTAATGGGCAGGTGATGCCCGCAGTGTTCTGTGTCTCTCTTAGAGTTAGACGGTAGGCTATCCGTTACCGTTATGGGTGTTCAGCGCTGCTTTTCTTGGATCAGGCACGGAAGGCTGAGGTTGAGATTATATACGCTCGCCTCTGAGCGGCCTCAGCCTTATAACTCTATCTCAAGTATATCTGGGGAAATGTGGGTCGTCACATCAAAGTGGACACCGAAGTGTCTCCCGCATAATGATGCGGGCTTCCAAAAGGTCGGCAAATCGTGGGTCTCTACGTATCGCCCTAGATGCAGCGCTGCTAGGCGGCTACTCAGCTGAGAGTTTGAAGTCGAGCTACAAAGCTTGCCTTCTTTTGCCTGACGCGAACGGTGTGTCGCACAGCCATGCTATTGGGTAAACGCCTCAGCCACCTAATATATATGTCCGTCACGCTGTAGATCACAAGAAATCACTGCATTTGTGCATGTCTGATCGCTCGACGTTTGAGCAGAGCCGCGTCATGTGACCGAGGCCAGCGGTCTAGACTGTCATACAGTACGGCAAATCACACATGCGAAGTGACATATCCGAATGTAGCATACGCGCTAACGCGACAGTTGAGCAGCTGTGAAGGCAGCACACATACTAGCTAACGTAAAGTACTTGCACCTCAGCTAACGCGCTCTCCCATATAGTCGTTGAGAAGTTGTCATGCCGTAGAATACACCACGAGGAGACCCTCTCGAAAAATACGGGCTAGAGAACCGCGCAGCTCCGAAACCAGGTCGACCACAGGTTCACGACTTTGCCAGAACTGTTTACGATGATGAGTTACCTGCGCCTGAACCGACCTTCATGCCAACACATATGCAGGCCCCTCAAGGTATAGACCCAACTCGACTTGCGCCTCTAGAACCAGATAGTGGCGGTAACGACACCACTCTAGGCCAGAAGAGCTTGACAAAGGAAGAGAAGTGCCAGTGCCCATCTGGCGATACACGCTGGCCTCCGCCTAATGTATCGATGTCCAAGCCCTTGCATCTTCTTAGTGACAAAGGTGAGAAGCCTATATATTACCACCTAATACACGAAAACAGCAGCCCTCAGGTCGACTTCTGGAAGGGACCATTGAAGGCCCAAGCTACCGCCGCCTACGCAAAGAAGGGGCTCGCCTTGCAGATATCAAAAGAGGGGAAGAGTAAAAAAGAACTCAAAGCTGCGAAAGAGAAAGCGTTCGAGAATGAAGCTCTGAAAGCGAAGATGGAAATCATGCAGGCTAGAAATACGAAAATGCTGAAAGAGTTAAGCAATGGACCACGGGGGACAATCTGGCAGCTTGACGACGAGCATTTGCATGTTTGGAGATGTATCGAGGTGGTCCAGAAGGTGAATGGGGCGGTGAGCCTTAGTGCAGAGCGGCGAGAAATCTTCTATATGTTTGGTGGTGGTCTCAAGGGTATCGATGGTGATATGTTGCTGGTTAGCCAGGAGGCTGAAGTACCTAGCTGATACAGAGGGCTGAATCTAGGGATTAGCACACACAACGGTTCTTTCCAATAACGATACCACGGGGAGATCATCGCGAGCTTGTAGTACAGTGAAAATCTCAGTTGCTGACAAACATGGAAATGTGAGGTTGGAGATGGAGTTATGGATGCAAAGCCGAGGCTAGCTCACGGATGTGGTCATAGCGCCTTCTCGATGATTCCAATGGTCGACCGACCCAAATTTTTAGAGGCATCGAATATCTGTGACCACTCTTCTCCGCATCCTCCTCTACATCAATCCTATTCCTGGTTATCTTGCATCAAGCTAGAGTCTAGGAGCAACGTTTGAGCTTCCCTTCCTCTATCCACACATCCCCAATTCCGTCACAATGCAAAGAGCTTTCGCATCGCGGGCGCGGACTTCGGCCCTCAATTCGAGCTCTAAGCTCCGATCCACCAGCTACAACCTCCAGCAGCAGAGGTTTGCGCACAAGGTACGGCGATTGAATACTTATCTTCAATAGCAAGACACGAAACTAACAAACCTGCAGGAATTGAAGTTCGGCGTCGAGGCACGAGCGGGACTATTGAAGGGCGTCGACACACTTGCTAGGGCTGTATCAACAACACTGGGTCCCAAGGGTCGCAATGTATTGATTGAGTCAAGCTACGGCTCGCCCAAGATCACCAAGGGTAAGCAGAAATTCTGCCTTCATCTTCAACATTGCCCGCTAACATGACTTTAGACGGTGTAACGGTTGCAAAGGCAATTACCCTCCAAGACAAGTTCGAGAACCTCGGAGCCCGCCTGCTCCAGGATGTCGCCTCCAAGACCAACGAGGCTGCCGGTGACGGTACCACCACTGCCACTGTTCTCGCCCGCGCTATCTTCTCCGAGACTGTTAAGAACGTTGCCGCTGGATGCAACCCCATGGACCTGAGGCGGGGAACCCAGGCCGCTGTTGAGGCCGTCGTTGAGTACCTGAGGGCAAACAAGAGGGACATCACCACCAGTGAGGAGATTGCACAAGTCGCCACCATTTCTGCCAACGGCGACACACACATCGGCAAGCTTCTGTCCAACGCCATGGAGAAGGTCGGAAAGGAGGGTGTCATCACCGTCAAGGAGGGCAAGACCACCGAGGACGAGCTTGAGGTCACTGAGGGCATGAAGTTCGACCGCGGCTACATCTCCCCCTACTTCATCACTGACACCAAGACCGCCAAGGTCGAGTTCGAGAAGCCTCTTATCCTCCTCTCTGAGAAGAAGATCTCCGCCGTCCAGGACATTGTCCCCGCTCTCGAGGCCTCCCAGCAGCTCCGCCGCCCCCTTGTCATCATCGCTGAGGACATTGACGGTGAGGCGCTTGCCGTCTGCATTCTCAACAAACTCCGTGGTCAGCTCCAGGTTGCCGCTGTCAAGGCCCCCGGCTTCGGTGACAACCGCAAGTCCATCCTTGGCGACCTTGCTGTTCTGACCAACGGTACCGTCTTCAGCGACGACCTTGACATCAAGCTCGAGAAGGCCACGCCCGACATGCTCGGTTCCACCGGATCCATCACCATCACCAAGGAGGACACTGTCATCCTTAACGGCGAGGGCAGCAAGGACCAGGTCTCCCAGCGCTGCGAGCAGATCCGTGGCGTTATCAACGACGCTACTACTTCCGAGTACGAGAAGGAGAAGCTCCAGGAGCGTTTGGCCAAGCTCTCTGGCGGTGTCGCCGTCATCAAGGTCGGTGGCTCCTCCGAGGTTGAGGTCGGTGAGAAGAAGGACCGTATTGTTGACGCTCTGAACGCTACCCGTGCCGCAGTTGAGGAGGGTATCCTGCCCGGTGGTGGCACTGGTCTCCTCAAGGCCTCTGCTAACGCTCTCGGCAACGTCAAGGCTGCCAACTTCGACCAGCAGCTCGGTATCACCATCGTCAAGAACGCCATCACTCACCCCGCCCGCAAGATCGTCGAGAACGCTGGCGCTGAGGGCTCCGTCATTGTTGGCAAGCTCATGGACGAGTACAAGGGCGACTTCAACAAGGGATTCAACAGCGCCAAGGGCGAGTACGTTGACATGATCGCTGCCGGTATCCTTGACCCCTTCAAGGTCGTCCGCACTGCTCTTGTTGACGCCAGCGGTGTTGCTTCGCTCCTCGGTACTACCGAGGTTGCCATCGTCGAGGCACCCGAGGAGAAGTCCGGTCCTCCAGGCGGCATGCCTGGCGGTATGGGTGGTATGGGAGGCATGGGCGGCATGGGCTTCTAAACAACTGAAGTCTAGCCGTCTGTTTTCTTCTTCTTATACCCCATTCCGTTATAATGACTTTAGTCTCATGTCTTTCCCAGCGATGATTTATGTACACGATATTGAGTTGGTCTCCGCTCTACACTCATGGTTTCTCAAAAGCGCAGCATTGTTGGATATTTGGTTTTTATTGTACAATATTGTGTAAGGATCTCCTGGGAAGGACTGGATGTATAAAGCGATGAAGGAATATGAACAAGTTCAAACATGTAAGGACGATGCACAAAGTATGCTTGAGTTATGAATGTTTTAAAGCACGGGATTGGTCGGAGGTCTGACAAGACTGGGGCACACGCGGTTGCTGTGGCGGCGCAGAGGGACAAACTAAACCTTGGAATTGGTGCCGTGTTGCTTGTCAAGGACCCCACTACTTCCGTCGCTTGAAAATAACCCCACTACTTCCCTCAGCCTCAGCAACACCGCTCCTCCACCTCCGCCCTCTCTCCCGCATACACATCGACTATCCACCACAATCAGTTTTCTCTATTGACGTAAGCTGCAACTACTCCGTTCCCAAGCAGGCAGCCGTTCATTCACTGCTCCACCTGCGCATGCAGCAATCGCAACGATGACGACGACGCTGACAGGCAACCACAGAACTGATAAAGCTATCCGGTGCTTCAATCTCCCTTTAGCATCCTCTACTTTACACATTCGACATCATGGTAAGCATCTTCAGGATGCATCATTAAAGGGATAGTATTGACAATGTTCACAGGCTCAATCCGGGTACGTACTGCGAAACAAACAACAGGGCATCAACAGCTGTCGCTGCCCGACAACCGCGCCAACATAGCCTCCCCATACCTCCACCCTCGGCCCCCATCCCGTTCACTCCTACATCGGACCAGCACATACTAATAACCACGCAGTGTCTCCGTCTCCCCCGAGTGCATCAGCACCTTCAACGAGCTCAAGCTCGGCAAGGATATCAAGTGGATCATCTACAAGATCAGCGACGACTGGAAAGAGATTGTCGTCGAGGAGACTTCCAAGGAGGCCAACTTTGACGTCTTCCGTGAGAAGCTGCTCAACGCCAAGAGCAAGGACCGCCGCGGCAAGGAGGGCATTGGCGGTCGCTACGCCGTTTTCGACGTCGAGTACGAGCTCGAGAGCGGAGAGGGCTCCAGGAGCAAGATCACTTTCATCAGCTGGACGCCAGATGATGCGGCGCAATACGTACGTCACATCAACAAGACACAGATCAAGGGAAACAGGTTACTGACAATTGATAGCCCCGCATGATGTACTCATCCTCCAAGGAAGCCATCAAGCGCGCCCTGAACGGTCTCGCCGCCGATATCCAAGCCAACGACGCCGACGACATCGAGTTCGAGAGCATCAAGAGCCGTGTCTCCAAGGGCCGTTAAGCGCCTCTCTCCCTCCCCACTTCCGACCTGTCGATTTCGCGCACCTGCTAGTATGGAGGAAGGACACGATTGCGCTTGGTAATGACATATGACGAAAACGACTCGAGCGGTTGATTGGCAGCGATCATGGCATAGCGAGGTTTTGCGCATGGTGATTACAGTATGGATCATGCGAATATGTGGGCAGTGATAGTGCCGGGGGTAACTTGCATTATCAGGCTTGGTATGCTTTTGATAGGCTAAAACTGGTCAAACTGTCTTCGATGAACATGTCCTGAGACTGAAAGCTTGCATGGTGTGACTTTTGCAATGTTCTCTGTAATGTTTGTGCTTGATATCGTGCGACGTGTATTGCTCGTTCCTAGCATCTATATTCACCCGCTATTTGTTCTGTTCCCACGCTCCCCTGAACACACCCAGCAACCTCTCGCTCTCCTCCGCATCCTTTGTCCTCTGCAGTACGAAGTTCTTCAGATCACCCCAGAACTCCTCCGTCGCAACAACCTCCTTCCCACTCCCAGGTATGGCACCCGCCGTTCCAGTCGCCGTACCCGCATGCGTCTCGCCCGCACTAGCAAGCCCCTTCTCACTCTCTGTCGGCGGCGCAACAGCAGGCGGACTCGTCACCGGTGTACTTCCACTTGCCGGACTCGCTGCCCCACTACCACCAAGCGCAGCCCCAGCCATGACCATGACCCCAAACTCAACTTCGCTACCTGCATCGGTACCGATTACTTCTACCAGCGTCTTCGAATCTGTGACTGGCTTCTTCTTGTAGAGGATCTTTATCTTGGTTGCTGATAATGAGGCTTGTGTTGCGTACTGTTGCTTGAGGTCGTAGACGGAGGTTTTTGCGGGGTCGATTGAGGAGAGGGGGATGGTTGGTGTGGAGGGCTTCATGGGTTTGAGAGTTACGGTTATTGTGGACGAAGATGGTGTGGTGGCATTGTCGCTGGCTGTGGGCTTGGGGTTTGGACGCTGCGGGTGGGGTGGGTGTGGGAGGCGGGGCAGTGTGTACTGGAGAGACGGTCAGCCTTTGGTCGCGGGGCAGATGGATATGCGAGTTGTAGAAGAGGGACTGGGAAGACTTACGGCGCCTTGTGCGGGATATTGTCGTGCATCTGCAATGTGATCGCTTGAGAGCTTTGCCGGGCGCGCGTCCAGTGCGCTGAGGAATGATTTGCAGAATGCGAGTTCTGACATGGTGGGCTATCAGACGCCTGTTGTATGCGACGTGCAAGTAGGTTCGTGGTTGTCCGCGCTCGTTAAGATGTGTATAGCTCCAGTGCGATGACGCTGTTGGTGTTGCGGGACAGCACTGAGTGGACCGCACCTCGACCAGGGCAAAGATGCGCTAGACCCAAAGGAAGTCCGTAGCGTGGAAAAAGTTCCCATCTGCTAGCGAAAGTTCCAAGTTCGCGCTGCCCGTCACGTCGGCAACTCCCAAATTATTAGACCTCTCTTTTCTACTACCCCCAAGAATTACAAGAGAAATCTGTCGCCATGGGTCAAGGTCGCCGTATGAAAAAGCAGGGCATGCCCGATGTCCTCGACGAATCGCTAGTAACCAGGAAGCGAAAAGATGCGCCTGTCGCTGTAAACCCAGAGCGCAAGAAGAGGAGTAGGATAGCTGCAAGAGAAGCTAAGGAGGCCAAGGCCAAGGCGACACCTAAGACGAGGGTGGCTGGCAAACCTGTCAAGCAGCCTCTGAAGACGGCTGCTGCTGTCGTAAATGGAGCAAAGGCAAAGGCGAAGAAGTCAGCACCTCAACCGCCATCCGACGACGAGGACGATGTTTCAGATGTCGAAGACTCTGACATGGAGAACATCAATGTCACTGGACTCGATGCGCTCGGTAGCGCGTCCGAAGATGAAGACGACGAGGAGATGAACGACGACGAATTCGATTCAGATGTTGTGGACTCGGACGACGACATCAGGAGAGGCGCAGCCATGTGGTCTGACGACGATGACGAGGAGGACGCAGAGGAGAAGCTCACAGCCGCCAACATTGCTGGTTTGTCCACACGCTTGGATATGCAAAAGGCGATCGAGGATGCTGAGGCGCAGGCCGAATTGGAGGAGAACAACATGCAGACAAACATCGTGAATGAGCGACCTAAGATTCTGGAGGATGAGGAGGACGAGGATGGCAGGCCAATCACCAATCTCGTTAACCAGGACATCCAGCTGCTGCGCACAAGACTCACGGACACCATCCGTGTACTGGACGACTTCAAGAACCTTGCCGAAGAAGGCCGGAGTAGAGCAGAGTACATGGCATCGCTTCTGAAGGATATCTGCGCTTACTACGGTATGTTCAACTTTTAGGATATCATCTGGAGCCATACTAACATGATGAAAAGGCTACTCTGAGTTCCTTGCAGAGAAGCTTCTGAACCTCTTCCCACCTCGCGAAGCCCAAGCCTTCTTCGAAGCCAACGAAACACCCAGACCCGTCGTCATCCGCACAAACACCCTCCGAACACACCGAAGAGAACTTGCGCAGAGCTTGATCAACCGTGGTGTACAGCTTGAGCCCGTTGGAAAGTGGTCTAAAGTTGGTCTGCAGATTTTCGATGCACAGGTGCCTCTGGGAGCTACACCCGTAAGTCTCACGTATAAATAGCGCAGTGGAACCCGACACTAACTATGCGCAGGAATATCTTGCTGGACACTACATTCTTCAAGCTGCCTCTTCGTTCTTGCCTGTCATGGCCTTGGCGCCTCAAGAAAACGAGCGTGTGCTCGACATGGCTGCTGCCCCTGGTGGAAAGACGACACATTTGGCTGCCTTGATGAAGAACACCGGATGCATTTTTGCCAACGATGCCAACAAGGATCGTGCCAAGGGTCTGATAGGAAACATCCACCGTCTAGGCGCGAGGAACGTTATTGTTTCCCATTACTCGGCTCTTGAATTCCCTAGGGTTATGGGTGGTTTCGACCGTGTCTTGCTTGACGCCCCATGCTCTGGTACCGGTGTCATTGCCAAGGATGCCAGTGTCAAGACCAACAAAACCGAGGCAGACTTCATGAGGCTACCCCATCTTCAGAAGCAGCTGTTGCTTGCGGCCATCGACTCCGTCAACCATCACTCGAAGACTGGAGGGTACATCGTCTACAGTACTTGCTCCGTTACCCTAGAAGAGAACGAACAAGTCGTGCAGTACGCGTTGAACAAGCGATCGAATGTCAAGCTTGTGGAGACCGGACTCACTTTCGGTAAGGAAGGTTTTACCAACATTGGTGGCAAGATCTTCCACCCCTCAATGAAGATGACAAGGAGATACTACCCCCACACATACAACGTCGACGGTTTCTTCGTCGCCAAGTTCAAGAAGATCGGTCCTACCCCACCCAATGCCGTCGGTGTCAACGAAGCTTCAACAGCAAAGGCCAACAACACAGCCAACACCGTGGGCGCAGCCACAGAAGTCGAGGTGGTCGATCGCACACCCATTGGTGCGGACAGCGACGAGGAATCAGACTTTGGCGGCTTCGATGAAGAGGAGGACTCAAAGTACATGGAAAAGGCTAAGGCGAAGACAATGCGCAGGAAGGGCAAGGACCCTAGGGCTTTCGTGCCAAAGGGTGAGAAGGCTGCAAATGGTACTACGAAGAAGGTCACCAAGGAGGCCACGAAGGAGGCTGCTGAGGAAGCGCCCAAAGCCAAGAACGGCGAGGAGAGCGTAAAGGAGAAGTCAGGCAGGAAAGAGAAGAAGGGCGGTGGTATTGAAGTCGCTTCTACCGCGAATGGCGTCAGTGCGAAGGAGACCAAGGTTGAGTCTAAGAAGGCGCGGAGAAAGAGTGGTGAGAAGAAGAACAAGGCATAGGTGTGTTGAGTTGGAAAACTGGAAGCACAAAAGTAGGAGTTTTGGGCTCGTATCTAGATACCAATGCATGCTCGTAAGAGTCTTATCGTCGATGAACCAGTCTTTTGGTCAACCTAAGTGTTCCTTACCTCCGCTCTTATGCTCCTTCTTGCTTCAGACATTGACGATGAGGAGCCCACGTCGCGACTTTCTCACTACCTAGGCAGATGCCTGCTTGCACTGATCGTCACAGTCGCGACCCACCTAATAGGGCTACTACTGGAGAAGCTTGTTAGGTGGGCCGGGAGTGACTATGCCACACATCTGGAATCTTATGCAGACCATCACCAGCGTAACCGTCATATCACCGTGAGATGCGCGCAGCCAGTTTTTTTCAAACGAATCAGCCGCTCCTTACGATCCGGTAATGCTGCCGTAGTGTAATTGCTCAGTTAGCTCCCAATCTTCTGGTTCACGCGTTCGGGCGCTGGGACATCGGTAGTGCACTTTCGTAGCCAATCTTCGATCTTTCGGCCGTGGATTGGAGATTGCCCAAAAACATTACTTGGGGCCTAAGACACAAGCTTGCTAAGTACGCAATCAAGTCGCGATGGCGCGAAAACCGTCTTCGCAGCTTTTAGTGATGCACCAGTGCCCTTAGAGCCCGCCGGCGCCACCAACGGGCCTGTCAGCCTCCGCAACTAACCCCCGGAGCACCTCCACTATTCACCAACCTCAACCATGATTGAACCATCCTTACATGACCCAAACCTCAGCCCATAGCAGAGACAGCCATTGATAGAGTAAGACCGAATCGCGGCACGGCACACGTCAAGCATGGCCGCTCAGTCGACCACTCATCATCGACGTTGCTAACCAGGTGCTGCGCCGAGCGTGCAATTGAGTCATCGCATCGGTCCAAGCACTGCCGAGCTATGAGAAGCGAAAGGAAGCGAAGGCTTATTGGTTCAAAGCATCGCACGGCAAACTCTACGCCTGAGGAGAAGAGACATCACGAGCACATAACTCAAAGCTATTTCTTAGGGCATAACGAGCGTGGCGCTAGATGCGACATCTGAAGCACCCATATCCAACGTGTGCACATTGGTGATGCGGGGGGAAAACATATCTCTGAAAACGTTTTGCTTACATTGCACCGAGAATCCTACCGACGAGATCTCCGCTCTCCAGTTCCTGGGGTTGCAAGGACATAATCGGCCCACCCCATTTCGACATGCCGAACGCCTGACCTGATCATCAGGGAAATTCAACCTTCTGGAAGGGAAAAAACCTTTATCCTGCTTATAGAGGGCGCGCATTCCTTGCATAACGGTTCTACTTGCACACGCGCATACCAGAACGAGGCAATTGGCATCATGTTACATGGGCAAACTCGCCTGACTTAAGCACCACACTGCCAGTCTTTGTCTGATCTGCTGACGAAATGCCATTGGACGACTCTCCAAGCTTTCGTGATCGCTGTCTCATTATCAGCCTCAGACGTAAGTGGTGTGAGGGAGGTAAGCCTGCCGAGCACGGGGTAATGACCAGCTCTGGTATGTTCGATGGTGCCATGCGGGGACAATCCATGCAATAATTGCTGGCATGGGAAACATACTAGGATTAGCAGCCTGTGATGGTGCACTGAAGCTGCAGCGGCATGGAGCAAGGGTTTGTCGGGATCGCAAGCTGGATGGAGAGATACTCGGAGCGAACATCTTGAGATAAAGAGTGAATGCGCGCTCCTCTGAACGGCTTCGCTACGCGCCTCGAGCTCGCGATACATCCAATTGATACTTACGGGACTCCAAGTTATACTTTGACATCATGGGTTTTATGCTGAAGCCCCCGCCAGACACTGCTGGTAAGGCATGGTAAGCTTCGTCGGTTCTCCACATTGAGCGCTTGCCTAATGCTTGTCAAGGCCTGCCATCGTCATTGGTCTCTTCGTCGCCTTTGGTGGTGTTCTCTTCGGGTAGGTTTGTATTGTTGCTATGTTCAAGAGTATATTCTAATCAGTCTAGATATGATACTGGCACTATCTCTGGCATCATTGCCATGGACTACTGGAAGAAGCAGTTCTCCACTGAACCAGACCTCAGCATTACAGCAGCGCAAGATTCGTTAATTGTGTCAATTCTTTCAGCTGGTACCTTCTTCGGCGCTTTGACGGCTGCACCTTTCGGCGATCTCCTAGGTAGACGCCTAGGATTGATGGTTTCTACCGGTGTCGTCTTCAATCTCGGTGTCATTCTCCAAACCGCTGCGACAGCGCAACCGCTCTTCATTGCTGGTCGTTTCTTCGCCGGTTATGGTGTCGGTCTCATCTCAGCTTTGAGTAAGCCAGTCCCTTGTTGTTCTCGGCTCCTCCCAAAAACTTGGCGTTGACCGTCAATGGTGGCTGATCAACGCCTCATGCCCCGCATTTCTGAGGCTCTGCGGAGCATTTGCTTAGCCTAAATCCAAAGCTAACAACGACGACAGTTCCTATGTACCAGAGTGAAACCGCGCCGAAATGGATTCGCGGAACGATTGTAGGAGCTTACCAGCTTGCTATCACAATTGGACTACTACTCGCGGCTATTGTAAACAACTCGACCAAGGATCGTCAAGACTCTGGATCATACCGGATTCCTATCGCGGTGCAATTCCTCTGGTCTATCATTCTTGTCGGCGGGTATGCAACAACCTGAGGACGAGCTATACAGTGTCATGCTAATCCCCCATCAGACTCTTCTTCCTGCCCGAGACACCAAGATATCTCATCAAGATGGACAAATACGAGCAGGCCGCTAACAGTCTCGGCAAGCTTCGTCGCCTACCAGTGGACCATCCGGCTATTGTTGAGGAATTGAGCGAGGTCCAAGCGAACCATCTTTATGAGATGTCGTTGGGCAAGTCTACATATGCCGACTGCTTCAAGGGAACGCTTGGCAAGCGTCTCTTGACTGGATGCTTGCTCCAGTCGCTGCAACAGCTTACTGGTGTAAACTTCATCTTCTGTATGTCTTCTGGAATCTGCAAAATGGCTGCTGTCGCCTAACATGTCCAGATTACGGAACACAATACTTCCAGAACGCCGGTTTCCGTGACCCCTTCATCATCCAGGTCATCACTAACTGCGTCAACGTCGCGTCTACATTCCGTAAGCCATTCATTTTCGAGCAAGATTGAACGAATACTGACTTTCGGGTTTCCAGCGGGTCTCTACATGGTCGAGCGCCTCGGACGACGTAACCTCCTTCTCCTCGGAGCGATAGGCATGTGTGTATGCCAGTACATTGTCGCCATCACAGGAACAGTAGCCGGAACTACCGATCTTGCAGCACAGCGAGCCGCCATCGCCTTTGTGTGCATCTACATCTTTTTCTTCGCCAGCTCTTGGGGCCCTGTCGCCTGGGTTGTGACTGGAGAACTTTACCCTTTGAAGGCACGCGCCAAGTGTCTTTCGATGACGACCGCGAGTAACTGGTAAGTCGAGAGTCTTCTTCCAACACTTTTTTTGGATTGTGGGGGCTAACAGCGGATACCAGGTTGCTCAACTGGGCAATTGCCTACTCGACCCCTTACCTGGTCGACGAAGACCACGCAAACCTCCAATCAAAGGTCTTTTTCATATGGGGATCCTTCTGCTTCGTCTGTATCGCCTTTGTGTAAGTTCTCTCTCCTCCCCGTCCCCAACTCTTCCCCCATGCAATATATGCTAACACCACGTTTCCAACAGTTGGTTCATGATCTACGAAACCAAGGGTCTCAGTCTCGAACAAGTCGACGAACTCTACGGCATTGTCACAAAAGCATGGAAGAGCCAGGCATTCCGCCCTGCGGTTCATTTCAGTGAGATCGATCCCAAGAGTGGGCGCAGTATGAGTTTGAGTGAGGTGGCGCAGAATCAGGAGAGGAAGAGGAGTGTGCAGCACGATGAGGCGGTTGCGCAGCATGATGAGGCGGTTGTGCCGCCTAAGGTTGAGGCGTGATGGTTGAGGCCTGGGAAGCAAGGCCAGGGAGTCGAGGAGGGGTGGATGTATTGGGAGCATGGGGTAAAATGCGAGATGAGAGAGTATGTCCATGAACGGAGTGTTACAAAATGAGGTGAGAATGGAATGCGATAAGGGTCCGTAATGGTATGGATATATGATTTGACGCTCAGGTCGTTATCTAGGCTTGGTAGAAAGTTATTATTGCTTGGTAGGCATTGTAGTACATTCTCCTCCAGTCTACCCGCCGTTTTGCTTCCGCAAGTAATGCAATGATTGCATCATCCTCCAACTCGTCGACGGGTCATCATAACGCTGCCCGTGTTGACTAACCAATATTGTTTCCTGGCCAGGTACGTACTCGCGCGTGCCGTAGGAACCTTACGGCAGAGCTTCTTTGAACGGATTCCTGAAGGGCGGACGGTAGGGATCTCGAGCCGGCGTTTGATGAGGGTGAGCTTGGGGCTGGCCGTGACCTCGTCTGTTTTCGTTGTACTGTGCCATTTGCTGTGCCATTTGCTGTGCCATTTGTATCTCCTGTTGTTTTCGCTGATGTACACCTTGTTGCATTTGCGCTTGCACCATCCTCTGCTGTTGTATTTGCATTTGTCCAGGTGGTTGAAACTGGCCTTTCCGCATTGCCATAATCTCAGGCCAGGGATCAACTCCTTCCATTCTGCCACCTACCATTCCTTGATTGCCGCCGCCTCTATAGTCACCAACTTTATGCAAATCAGCAACTGGTAACGCCATACCATCTTCGCCAATACATAGGGAATGCTCGAAGTAATTAGCATCGCGAAACTTGAACTGGTAGCCTGGTCCCCTCTCTCTGGCTTTCATGGGCATGCGTTTCCTCCCTTGGTTTAATTGCACACATAGTTCTTGGGCGGCAGCTTTCTGGGCGGAGTAAGAGTGGTAAGAGAAAGGGCGATATTCATCCTTCTTTTTCCTTCCGAAGATACCCATGCTGCGATGTTGACAAGCTGGGAAGTTGGCAAGATGTCGAGGGCCGTGGAAGATGGAGATAGCGGATGCTGGTAGTGCGTGCCATGCTGTGAGAGTGATGTTGCGTTAATGTAGGCAAGTGTACTTGTCAGTGACTGGGTCGATGTGAAGACTCACGATGTGACTTGACTAGGAGATCGCATCAAGGAAGATGACATATGAAAAGAGAAGAAGTTTCTCGATGTGAGGCGAAGAGGGATATAAATTGTCTGCTGCACAACTACCAAGCGGGGTATTCATCATAATCTCTACCGAGGATCTGTACACTCTCGTGTGTCAAGCAAGTTCACCCCTCATCTTGACAATACGCGTTCGCATGTGTGTCCGCCGCAGACCTTTTTGTGACGCAGCGCGTGGCTCACACGAGGTTTTAGATGGAGATGGCTATCGTAGCTGATAGAATGTGTCTTGTGTTCGGCAAGCGTCAACAATAGCATCACCGTCATCACCAGAAGTCATGGTTGTGGTCTTCAAGTCGTGAATTACTCAAAGTACCTGAACTTTTATCTCATAAGTATCGTATCCGTCAAGCTATGCCATCCCATCCGATACCTAGACTGCCAAACCCATGTAGCAACCATAAGAAATTCGTGACACCATCACCATGAAGTCGTCAATCATACTATAAGACAACAGTTAGTGAAAGCCATCTTAGTCACATCAATGTTATCTTACAGTCGTTGTAAGCCAAACCATACTCGCGTGAAGACGGCGGATGACGAAGCTTTTGCTAGTTGAAGTGTCCCGCGTTAAAGTCGTAGTCCTCATGAGCCTCAGTCTTGTATACGTCGGCGAATGAACCCTGAGCGTCGATACTGCAGTTCGAGAATACGTAATGAGGAAAGACATCAGGGAAGTGAGCGACGTCTAGGTGCGATTCCTCGCCACCAGCTTGTACCTGAAGGGGATACGGGAGCCCATGCTGCGCGGTGGAAGGAGGAAGTAACGGGTGCTGAAGATGCGATGAGTGGAAAGAGCTGTAAGGGCTTTCATAAGTATTGCCCAATGGGAAAGACATCTCAGGAAGGAACCCACTTGAACGTCCGTTGTCAGACTCAGACTCAGCAAGTAGATGGTCTTGGGAGTCGTTGCCGACGAAATCATATTCTTCGTGGTCCTTGACATATTCCTCAAACATCTGTGCCTCCATGTCCCGCATATGCTGCTCAAAGTCGAACGAGGCATCAGCACTCTGGTGATACTGGGTTGGAACAGCCTGCTTCACGATGTCACGGTAGGGGCCTGCGGAGCTGCCAGGGTTGGATGGGTGGCCGCTGACGACGGTGATACCTTGACTACCGGTGGTGTGAATGTCGGTCATTGGGTAGACAACTCCGAACCCGTCGACATGGTCACCTACGAGTCCGCTGTTGTCCTGGCGAGCAGCGTGTCCATCGTTCTTGACGACGGCGGAATTCTTGACGGCGGAGTCCCGGACTGTAACCTTTAGTTTGACAACAAGCGACTGACGGGGCTCGACCATACGATTCTGACCAGTCACCTGCTGGGGTTTCGTATTAGCACTGAACGACGAAGAAGATGCACACTTGTTCTTGCGCGTCCACGCCATCCTCAACGATGGAATCTGGTAGCCCTCGTCGATCTGCTTGCCACGCAACTTCAAGATGGCTTGCTGGAGTGCACCGGCAGTACAGCTCTCTCCGACGACCTGGGCGGCCTGGTCGAACGGAATTTGAACGCCAGCCTCACCGCATGCCCAGACGATACCGAGGACTACGTTCTTCCAATCGTTGTCACTCCACTTGAGCAATCTGGGACGAGGCTGGCGTGGCTTGCGAGGCCCGCCATCCTTGTTGATCTTTGGGATCTTGGATGGGCGCCGGTCGTCGCGATCGCTCTCGGCGTAGTCGCTGTCATATGTAGGGGTATTACTCACAAAGACATCTCCATTCTCAACCTTGACTGCGGGGACTGGCGGAGCTTGTCCTGGAACAAGTCCGCGCTGATAAGTGTCCTTGAGGTACGCATAGTTGACGTAGGAGTTCTTGACCTCCGGGCCACCGTAAGTCTCGATCGGGCCGTCATGCTTGTCGAGGGTGTTTGAGTGACATTGGGCCATGTTGTAGGATCGCTTCCGAGACGGGCGTGATTGCCCCTCGTCAAACAAGCTAACCGTGTTTAGCTGGTTGTTGTGGGAGCGGGACATGATCTCCAGTACCTTCTGCGCAAGTAGCAGCAAGAGATCAAGTACCAACAGGCTTTCTGGGTCGCTGTTAGTAAGAGGACAAGCAATAGCTCAAGTCAGACGCCAGAGTCGGCGTGTTGTGTGCGGAGTTGGGGGCGGGAGCAATCAAAAACACAGGCTGGAATGCCCTGAGAAGACTGCAAGCGTGTCGCTTGAATAGATGCAGGAAGGGGGATGTAGGGGAAGCAATCGCTGAGCCATTGCGGTACGTACCTGATAGTTGTATGTAGTTTGTGGAGGGGGTGCGGGTGGAGAGACGGAAATAGACTGGCTTGGAGAGGGGACCTTTGGGTAGGTAGACGAGGCGCTAGCGTCTTTGAGCTCCTGGACAACCCAGCAACGCAGGCGAAAAGCTGGCTAGTAGAGAGGACGTGCTCTACATACGCTCAGCCAAGACCACAGCAACACACTCCTTCCTCGTTGCAAACAGGGCTAGACGGCGTGAAGTACGGGAGACGCCGGAAGAACGTTCACACTGAAGTTCCTAACCGTTGCAGTCTGTATATCTTCTTTGCCGCTTCCTGTTCGATTGAGGCTACCAAGTGTGCGTGGGCGTGGTGACTGAGGGCGCGGTTGAGCCACAAGGGACAACGCTTAGGTACTACAAGCTACCCAAAGTAATCCAGACGGTGATTTTATAGAGCCACGACCACTTAGTTCCTTTCACAGTGGACGTCGATCATACAAGATCTGCTCGATGTTACGTCCTTTTGGGTCCAAGAGTTTGATAAGCGTGTTAAGATATCGGACGGGGGCGTAGGCTTTCAGCCAAATCGTAATGTCACTGCGAGGTGCTTCGTACGAAGATGGAAATAGGACTTGCAAATTCTGGAGAGTCAACTATACTTGGGTGTACAGTCGATTTTCTGAGCGGGATAGGCGACGATGTTCAAGTGAGAGAGCAATGTTGGACTTTTGGAATCTTGATCTTGTAACCGCAGGAACCTTTGTGAGGAAGAGAAGGGTAAGTCTGCAAGACAGACATTATATGTCCATAAGTCTCTGTGACGCTTGATATAGGCGGTAGCAGGGCGGATTGATGGTAGCGAAGTCTGCGTGAACCACAAACACGTGACAAGACGTTCATATCCACGCCCTTACCCCGCATGTCAAACTTATAATGACGTGGAATCTGCGTGGCAAACTGGCGGTAAAGGTCGATACTGACTTTTGTGTTGAAGCAGAGCACGCCATAGTCTGCGCCACTGTTCGAGTAAGCTACCTACCGTGGTGACTATGGGTGATGCATGTCCATTGAACCCACATAATGAATTTTGTCCGAAGGTATGGAGCCTCGGAGTGTTCAGTCCCGGGTTTGATAGGTAGCTTTTGTATGGTCCATCTCTTTTGGTATTTCTCGCGCGGTAGTCCCGATCAGCAGCGTACCAGTTGTAACTAGTCATGTCTTGAGCGAGATGCTTGATAGCACTGAATGCTTAAGGGCGTAAATGACCATTCGAACGGGTCCTAGCGGAGTATGGTAGAGAAGACGGGAAAAGCTACCTTGAGGGGTGACCATAGATCCGATAGTGAACAACAGTTGGAACGAAAGGATGAGGGCGTAGTGGAAGAAAAGAAGATAGGCAAGAGAAGAAAGCATACCTAGACTTAGACCTATTCAAGTAAAAGTATCTTTCACGTCGGTAGAGCTGCTCAATGTCCCCGTAGCCATGGAAAGGTTACCTGCTTCTGGCAGTTCATGTGACAACTCCAACCAGACGGAGATTAACCAAGAGGACTGGAGTGCATGAAGGAGGTCCAAGTGAAACTTCTTAGAAGGAGTAGCGACTTCGGGTGATGAGTCAATCTAGAAACATGCATCAAGATGTGAAGACACTGATCTCCGAAGATCGTCCAGGGTTCGGTCGTGCTGTAAAGCTTGTTAGCCAAAGCTCAACATCGACACCGACATAGCTTGTGCGGGGTATCGAAAGACTAGTATGGGAGCGTGCAACCGACGCTAGTCGTATCATCGAAGTAGTTTCCTTATTGACGCGGATTTAAGCCGAACTCGGGCGACGCGAGATCGATTGTGGTGACGACAACATGTCGACCGAGTGGAAGATAGCCGTATCGCGTTGCATGCATAGCAATGTGGTGACAGCGATCCTATTGGCTATTAGAGTGCAATGTTTGTTTGGGAGCTTCGTGTAAACTGCCGCTGGGCATCCGCACAGGTCAGGCCGTGGGGGTATATCGAGGGATAGCAAGCGGAAGTAGAGATATTGCTATGGTCTGAAAATGTTTTCTTGAAAGACCGGCGACTCGATAGGGCATGTTAGAAGTGGTTGTGGAAGTGTCCTGACGTGCCCGCGGTGACTAGGCAGGCGACGCACTCTGCCGCAGGGAAGCATATCTGGGGGACCTGAGCCGTTGTGACATGTGTGAGAAGCTCTTCTTCATCAGTGGTGGATGTGCAAAGGGGTCTAGGAGAAGGTCAAATTCTAGGGGAGGTTGAAGCAGCGGTGGTCAGCAGACAGGAGGGGTTCGAGGGGAGTGGGCAGAAGTGTAATTAAGGTTTCAGACGCTAGTAGAGTGTTTAGCAGGGACAACGCCCTATGGGTTCATAGCCTTGGCGACTTCTGGTCCCATAGGGCAGGCAGGTGCACAACATTGGGAGAATAACAACAGTACGTTGATGGACTACGGGCATGCTACTGTATCTAGAAAACCGCCTGCTTGATTGTCAGCAGCTGTTTTCATTTGTGGAGGGGTTGTGATGGGATAGACTTACCTGCATACAAGCTAGGTGGTGTGCATTCCGCTCTGGGCTCACTCCTAGACAGACCAGATCCAGTAGTATGCGTTGAGAAGCATAAGCTTAACCTTTTGATCCTTCCTGGTGTGGTGCATCGCTTGTAGTGCCATCATCTTGCAGCCTCATGATGGCTCCGCGGGGTGGCTTCGCTAAGTCTTGCGCGAAGGATTCGGCCCGACCTCCTCTGACGTACAGACTTGCATCGATGCAGTAACTCTGTGAAATACACCTCGATGATCGAGTCGTTACTTCTGCAGCTGCGGTGCGCACCGTGCGGTTGTTCTTGCTCGTGAAGTCTGTATGTCCGCATGGACCTTCATCACCATCGTGCCTCTCTCTTGAGTTCCTCGCCTCAGCCCACACCAACTCCACACCAACCACTCAAGCTCCGCGAAATCGACTTCATGTTGCTACGACGCGTCCATTATACCACACCGAGATGAAGACTCGGGCCTGCGAGATGAAAATGTCTCCCGAGTCGCTCCTGTTTCCCAGCGGCGAAGATGGCTTTGCGCCAGGGAGCTCCTTCCCACCCCCATCCGCCTACCACGACGACCACGAGGACCTCCGCCACGGCTCGTATCCTCTTCACAATGGCTGTATAAGGGAGGGGTATGGCAGAATACCTCTGGAACTGGCTGCTTCAGATCGGCCCGATGTGCTTCAATGCAACGTTTTACCTCACGCGATAGTCTGTATCGTGGTCCCCAGCCTCACTCCCGACACCGCTCGTAGGCGACACCACTAAGAAGCTTGATAACGGCAGGCGAACAATCACTTGCTTGCGTTCCTCACTTGTGCTTCCAGGTTTGCAGCCTCCTACTCGATGAGCCTTAGTGAGCCTCGAAAAGACCTCGAGTGTCTCCGACGGCCACCTCCGCTACACGCAGCCCGTCTGTAAAACATTCCACCGAACGCTCGAACACTTGCGATCCCGCCGCGAAGCTTCTACAGCTCTGGAAGCTCTGACTGCTCGATGACCCTGCTGTTGAAGATGTAAAACCTCCATGGAAGACACTACGCGTAGACCGCGCCTGAACAGAGCATCCCCTCTACCCAGGAAGCGATAGCAACTTGCATAGGCGAACGACAAGACAGAAAGCCATCGACTATAATCCGGTTTGCTATCCTCATAGTGCTATCGGCCTGCACTTCCTGTTGCGGGCATCTGATGGGAACCACTGGCGAAGCGGTGGTATAGCTCTGACTATGCTGACCACTAGAAGGCCCACTCTGTGCTCTTACTTTCTCAGAGTCCTTCAGCGATACTCGAACGACGATCTTTTCGATATACCACCATGATCGTGTCAATCATGAGCGTGTCAATCATGGCCATGTCGTCTGCCATGCGCTCAAAGCATGATGATGGATTCTCCTCTGGACCACAGGACAAATATTCTACGGGTGAAGGTACACGAGGTTCGAGCTCCTTAGCCCATAGACATTGAGTACGCGGGTACCAGCATTTCATGCTTCGTAAGACAAAGGCGCATACTTTATCGCTCCGCGATAGCCGAAGGATCTGGCAAGAGAAGACACTAAGCACGTTACAGAACGTGAGCAGACCTTTGGACAGCTCCGAGTGACTACGTCGTCGGTGTATCGATACACCACATTACATCATTTTCATTGTCGTTCGGAAGCCGTAACTTATGGTAACATCTACGTGGTTGAAGCTTCTTGAGAGCTATTCTGCATGGACCTGTCGATACTGGATTTAGTAACATAGGACGAGATGTGGACAGCAAGAGCCTCTGGGATAGCTTGGACAAGACCAGTCGACTGATGAAAGCGGGATACAGCTTGCATGTGATGCAGCCTTTGTGTTGGACCGCTTGATCATTGCAACGATAACCAAATGCGCCTTGACCTCTTTCTCGGACATACTGTTGTAGGGCTACCGAGCCTTATCACGAGCAATATATGGTTTCGCCACGGTCCAACCCACAGCGAGCATGCAGTCTGTTAGCTGAGGCCATAACTGCCGATCAGATCAACAGCCATCATCGTCGTCGGCTCAGAGGATGTTGAACGTAGACGCCTGATCTTGTTCATGACAGCCATGACACGCATGTCTGAATGCGTCGCTCTACGTTCACTGGAAGTGGCCTATCAA